TTGGCTCATTCACGCACAAAAGGCAGAGGAAAACCAGACCAAAGTGCGTAAATTGTGGAAAATTATCGTTCCCTTTTTTTTTTTTTGCTCACTGCCATTAGCTAAACAAATCATAAATAACTGTAAAATTATAGACAAAACGCACACGCGGAAAAAAGGGGAGATAAAGAGTTTTCCAGTGCTCACATGATCTGGAAATTGGACGCAGATGGGGGTATTCCACGCGTTCTTTTCCACTCCCCTCCCCATCTTACATTTTTGCCTTTGTATATCTGCAAATTGCTTAATTTATCAAGCAAATGCACAACAACAAAGCAGCAGCCGCCCGCATTCCAGTTGCCTTTGGTTGGCATTTTAATTATTCCAATTGTCTGGGGCTCTCTTTGTTTACATTATTGGAAGGGGCGATCGGTTAATTTATTTGCCAGCGTGTTTTTGCTATTTTTAGAGCAATTTATTTACTCGGTGGCAAGTTTTTTGCAAACTACATATTTTATGCCTCATTAGGCCAATTCCTTTGCATACTTAAATGGGCAAACAAGACATTTGTTGGGTAAAATGTGGTCAAAAGCGCTAAGCAAGTTAATTAATTGGGCAAAAACTAAAAACAAATGTAATTAAGGCACAACACAAAAGTGCGTCACTTGGGGCAAGAGAGGGAGATAGAGCGATAAAGAGCGAACACACCCACAAGCTGTGCAAACTTGTATCTATGTGTATGTGCGGTTCATTCATAAGCGGCAAAGCAAACAACAAAAGCAATTTCCAGCAGCCGGTGTCAGCAAATAGGCAAATGCAATAACAATAATAACAACAAAGAGCCATGTACGAATCAGCCACCAAAAATGAGGGAAAGACAACAAAAGGCATTCTCATTCCCATTGAAAATGAGTAAGCAGCTCTAACACTCACGTAAACAGTCGAGTTCGAATTTCGAAAATGGGAGAGTCTGAAAAGAGTGAGAGGGAGAGAGCGCCACCCGCCCTGAGCTCCCCTCCTCCATTCTGTTAAACCAGCTGTTGGCCCCAAGATCGCTATCTCTCTCCCTCTCTCGCTTTCGTTACCTTTTCCAAAACCACTTTTCAGGTAAAAATTTCTGCTTGTTTTTGCATTTAGTTCTGTAAAACTCTAAGTGAGTCTAGAAATTGCAACAATAAATGCAGCCATGCTTGTTGCTAAATAAAAATCCCCTATCTCTCTCTCCCAGTTCGCCCTCGTTCTCTCACAACTTAACATTGCTGTTGAACGAATCTCGAATCTGAACATCTCTGTTAGCTAAGCCTCGACAACTTCACAGATACTTTTGCGTTTGGATCGACGGGTTCGCGGCTCTCCGTGCGGTTTCCATTTTCCGAAAGATACAAGTACTTGCCAGTGAAATAAAGCAATTACATAAAGTCCAAAGAGTGAAGTGCTGTGCCAAGTAGTGAATTCCAGTGCGAAAGTCAAGCCAAAGCCAGTTGACAAAAGCGTCACGTTTTCGCTTTCAGCCATTGCATTTGCCCACGCACTCACACAAACACACCTTGGAATTCCGCAAAAAAGAAAAGAAATTAAATCTTCCAAAAGCCGCAACAATAAAAGAAATCCAGAGAATCCGAAGGTTTGTTCTGCCAGACTCACGGGTTTATCAGCGCTTATGGTTAGTTAATCATTTGCATTTCTAATGAGATTCTCTGTCTATATCTTCAGCTCTCTCTCTATCTCTCTCCCTTTGTCGCATGAGCCACCCTCAACCCGCCCACTTTTCGCTTTATTTTGAATTGGGTTTCTTTCGCCAGATAAGATTCGTTTTCATTGTTGCCCCTAAAAGGGGAGTGCGTACACTCATGCCCACAGTAGAGGGCATTAATATATTCCCACAAGACTCGCATCTTCTTTATTTTAAATAATCTCCTCCTGCTCAAGAAAGAATCTCAAATCTCAAGGTTCAATTTCAATAAGTTGTTTAGGAAAGCATAGCTTGAAAACAAGTTCTTTTTTAATCAATCTTCAAACTCGAGCTAACAAATACTTGAAACTTGGCTCTTAGTTAAATGTAAAACAAGTTTCTTTGCTGGAGTTACCATGATCATTCTTATTCGTTTTTAAATATTTCTTGGCCACGATCCAAATTAACTTCAAAAGCTTTAATACTCCCAAATTGTTGCTGTTACAAAATTGTACCATTAATTTTACAGTAGCTGTATAAAACTATGAGTGTAAGAATACAGATAAGGGCTGGTATGATTTATTAGGAGTTCCTCGAATTTCGGGCACACTTCGGGGAATTGCTAGACGGAGGCAAATATTTGGGGCTCGGAATGGTGGGACCCCCCAACGAACTTCGTCATCCATGTTTGATATCATATTTGCCCGCCCTGTTTATCGCCCGAAATGTGTTTCCCAAGAAAAAGATATGCGTGATATTTAACCGAATCGAAGGGGAGCGTATGAAATACGAAATACGGGTGGCACCGCGAACGAGACTACGTGATATTCTCAAGTGTCTGGGCGAAAGATTAGCAGTGATATCGCCACGCCCCCGAAGATTGACCGAAGCGAAACCCTTCGATGGATCTCAATTTTCCATCGTGACCAACAGACCGTGGCGGCTCCATCGGCTCCAGACTACAGACTCCAGAGTCCAATTACCGCAGCCCTGCTAATTAAGTGCCACCCCAGAAGGCGACAGGTTGCGGATCGGATCGGATCGGGTTGTGCATAGGGAGAAATTGTGTTGTGGCCAAGCTCCACAGAGTGGTAACCCGAGCCGAGTTCCTCTGCGGATAATTCACTCGTGGGACTTGGTTCGGCGTTTGCTCTCCGCCGCCGCAAAATGCAAACTCAGCTCAATGACTTGCCACTCGACTGCAGAGCGGTGGAGATGAAGCCAAACCAAAGAGCCGAGCCGAGTCTATAATGCACAGGGAGAAAATAATAGCAGCATTGAGTAATGCATAAAATCAAGTTCAATATAATCACTGTGATATTGCCATACAGTGTGCAATGATGATTCACTTAAAAATTCATTTTGAACCCTGTTAATGAAAATGAGCGAGGTGCCACACACTTTTCCCATTAAGAAAATCGGTGCTTAGTGAAAACTTGTAGTTGTTACGGGGTAATTACCTAAATTGCTGCTTTTCCTCAGTGTCCAATGATGAGTTTGATTCACGGCGACAGAAGGGGCCATGTAAATGGGAATGTGGATGTGAACGTACCCACCATGGCGGCACCGGAAAATGTCCAAGTCAGTGTCCACTGAAGCGGAGGAATATGCTCCACCCCGCAGTGCTCCTCTTTTCTTTTGACCAGTGAACGGAGCGGAATGGAGATTGCTAGTGTTTTTAGGTGTGTGTTTTTTTACTGTGAGATTTCTTAGTGGCTCGACTTAATTGTTGCTCATTCTTGCACGATTCACTCGGGCTAAATTCAGTTTTCCCGCCTCCCGCCTCCGTTCCCATTCGATTTCGAAGTTGCAGTTGAAGTCCAAACAGTCCGAAAATTAGACGTCATTTATTTATTTTAATTATTTTTTCTTCGCCAAATTGCTCACTTCCTACTTACCGTCTGGCGGACCCCCGATCCCCGATGCCCCCGCAGTCGCCTCCTATTGTTTGGCAATCAGCGTTGATTTATGTTCGCCTCTCTGCTTTTACTCGCTGATTTTGACGAGTGTTTGTCAGCTTGTTTGGCTCCAGTTGGGGAACTGGAGATTTTTCGGAATTTAAGGCCCCTTTCCGAGAAAATGCAGAGCCAAACTCAAGTGCAGCCTAAGTAGTTTTTAAGTGTTTTTCGTATTTTGACCCATATACTTTAATTTGTTTTTACCAGAGCGATAAAACTGGGTTCCTTGCCTTGTATCTTATTGTTTATTTATGTACGAGAAGTGCTTTATCTCTCTGCATTTCTTGTGGCGTCACAAGAAGTTTCTCAAGATGATGAAATGGCATTGTTCATAAAAATATGAGAACACTATGTGAGGTTTTCACTCGACGACATAAACGCCTTTTCATCTCAATCCGCTCAATTGCTGGCGTGCGTCGAACCAATTTATAAATTATATAAACGGCTGGCGAGTTCGATACCAATTGGTTTCTATTAATGGACAAAAATGAATGAAAATTGCTTTTTCCCTTTTGAGTTCGTGTAGAGAGCGAGCTAAAATCTAAAAACCAACCGGAAACGCTGAAAATTTCTCTTTTATCTATAACAATCAGCGCTAAGCCGACAAAACAAATGTAGTTTCAGGTTGGGAATGAGTTATGGTTTCTGCGAAACTTGAGATCTGAATAGAATGATGGGTTCGGGACTGGAATTCATTAATCTCTCGCCATAAGGGGATGGCGCACAAAAGCTGTCGTTAAACGAAAGGTCGGTGGGAAATGCACAAATACAATGACCACTCTGCGACTAGAGATTCTCCGTCTGTTTGAGCAGCGATTATCGTAGCTCCAAGTGCAGTAAACGGAGGGGAAGGGGAATGGGAAGGGGATGTGGCACCATCATCATCATCTGCATAGGGGAACTCGACTCGAAGCGGCTCTCAGAGAACCACTCCAGTATGTCCAACTCCACAATTGGGAAACATAGTTTTCAGTTTTTGGGGGGGAAGGGAATGGAGGATGGAGGACCCACCATGCGTCACACAAACAAATTTATGAGCTGACTTGAGGAGTTCAAAAGTTTATCGTGCCCGTCTGACCATGATAATGACGGACTCTTCTGGTCGCCCGCAATTTGTAGTTGTGGATTGCCCATGAACCGACGTCTTGTTCCTATTCTGTTGGGCACTATTTAATCTGCCACAAACTCGTTATAATTGAAACATCAAGGGTTTGAAATACATACTACATATACATATTTTCTATTAACAAACAGTTTATTCTACACTTTGAACTGAAACCGAAACAGAATTCTATAGTTTCCATCAACTTTAGTCAATTTAGTTTAGTCAATAAACCTCATCTCTTATTGGGTAACTTATTTTAAAATCGTGTATATCTTAATCCTTGCAGAACCGCGCTCTGCCCGCCAATGCCTCGCCCTTCCGCCGAGCCTGGGGACAGTCTTCCTTCCGCACGCCCAGCTCCGACAAGGTGGCCAAACAGCAGCAGCAGCATCTGCAGCAGCACCAGCAGGGCCAGTCGTCGCCAGTGAGACGCACCGCCTCCATGAACGCCTCCGACAACGACATGTACATCAAGACGCTGATGCTGGACGCGGACCTGAAGGCGACGCGCAGCCAGCAGCAGCTGAGCCTGCTGCAGGTGCCCCGCATCCTGACCACGCCCGCCCCGCCCTCCGCCATCACGGTGTCCGCTGCAACGGAGGACGCAGCCGGCCAGGAGGGCTGCCACGGCTGCCCCAGCAACTGGGGCGGCTCCTTCGAGCGGATGCTGCAGGACGCCGCCGGCATGCAGACCTTCTCCGAGTTCCTCAAGAAGGAGTTCTCCGCGGAGAACATCTACTTCTGGACCGCCTGCGAGCGGTACCGCCTGCTCGAGTCGGAGGCGGAGCGCGTGGTTCAGGCGCGCGAGATCTTCGGCAAGCACCTGGCCAACAACAGCAGCGACCCCGTCAACGTGGACTCGCAGGCGCGCAGCCTCACGGAGGAGAAGCTGGCCAGCGCCGCGCCGGACATCTTTGCGCCGGCCCAGAAGCAGATCTTCAACCTGATGAAGTTCGACAGCTACCAGCGGTTCATCCGCTCGGACCTGTACAAGAGCTGCGTGGAGGCCGAGCAGAAGAACCAGCCGCTTCCCTACAGCGGACTGGACCTGGACGAGCTGCTCAAGACGAATTTTCACGTGGCCGCCTCCTCAAAGGTGGGTACTTAAGCTATGGAGTCTGATGTTGATGTATTTGCTAAAACGATATCCTTTCTTCCCCTGGGCAGCTCAAGAAGTCGGCTAGCAATGCGGAGGACCGGCGGCGCAAGAGCCTGCTCCCCTGGCACCGGAAGACGCGGAGCAAGTCCCGCGACCGCACCGAGATCATGGCCGACCTGCAGAACTCGAACCTGATGCCGGCGCCCCCGTTGCCGCCCCCCGCCCTGCTCACCAGCGCCTCGCTGAAGCTCGTCTCCGGCCAGAACTCGCTGAGCGACCTGCACAGCTCCCGCTCCTCGCTGTCCTCCTTCGACGCGGGCACCGGCGCCTCCGGCGGGCAGGGAGCGAGTGCGGAGAGCGTGTGCTCGCTGTGCCGCGTGATCCTCACCGACGGGGCCACCACGATTGTGCAGACGCGACCGGGCGAGACGGTGGGCGGGCTGGTGGAGCGGCTGCTGGAGAAGCGCAACCTGGTGTACCCCTACTACGACATCGTGTTCCAGGGCAGCAGCAAGTCCATCGACGTGCAGCTGCCGTCGCAGATCCTGGCCGGCAAGGAGGTGCTGATCGAGCGGCGCGTGGCCTTCAAGCTGGACCTGCCCGACCCCAAGGTGATCTCGGTGAAGAGCAAGCCGAAGAAGCAGCTGCACGAGGTGATCCGGCCCATCCTCAGCAAGTACAACTACCGGATGGAGCAGGTGCAGGTGGTCATGCGGGACACGCAGCTGCCGCTGGACCTCAACCAGCCGGTGAACGCGGCCGACGGCCAGCGGCTGCGCATCGTGCTCCTCAACTCGGATTTTCAGCAGGGCGGCGGCAGTAGCATGCCGCCGAAGCAAAGCAAACCGATGAAGCCGCTGCCATCCACGCTGCCTCTGCAGCAGGGCCAGCTGGACGAGCTGACGAACAAGGTGTTCAACGAGCTGCTGGCCAGCAAGGCGGACGCGGTGGCCGGCGAGAAGCCGCGGCCCAGCGACCTCTGCTCCATGAAGTCCAACGAGGCGCCGTCGGAGACCTCCTCCTCGCTGTTCGAGCGCATGCGGCGCCAGCCACGCGACGGCGGCAACATTCCGGGCAGCAAGCTGCCCAAGCTCAAGAAGAAGTCCACCAGCAGTCAGCAGTCCGAGGAGGTGACCCCGACACCAGCGGACCCCAAGAAGCCGATCATAGCCAAACTGAAGGCGGGCGTGAAGCTGCAGGTGACGGAGCGAGTAGCCGAGCACCAAGGTGGGTAGCCTTGCCGTGCCTCCGCCGAAGAGTGCTGAACTAACAAACGTGTGATTTTCCCTTGCAGATGAACTACTCGAGGGCCTGAAGCGGGCGCAGCTGGCGCGGCTGGAGGATCAGCGTGGCACCGAGATCAACTTCGATCTGCCCGATTTCCTGAAGAACAAGGAGAATCTCAGCGCGGCCGTTTCCAAGCTGCGGAAGGTGCGCGCCAACCTGAGTCCTGTGAGCAAAGCACCCTCTTCGCCCACGGAGATCCCTCAGCCGGCACCCCGGCTGTCCATCACTCGCAGCCAGCAGCAGCAGCAACAACAACAGCCGGTGTCGCCCATGAAGGTGGACCAGGAGCAAGAGACTGACCCGTCTGCCCAGACACAGGAGCAAGCAGAGTTCGCCAAGGCGCCACCTCCGCTGCCGCCCAAGCCGAAGGTGCTGCCGATCAAGCCCTCCAACTGGGGCGTGGCCGTGGCCCAGCCCACGGGGAACTACTGCAACAAGTTCTCCCCCGGCAAGCAGCTGCCGACGCCATCATCCAAAGAAGTTTCCAAGCCAGCGGCGTTCGCGAGCAAAATTCCCCTGGAAGTGGGACGCAAGTCCCTCGAAGAGCCGGGATCGCGGTGTGCCTACCTCGACGAACCCAGCAGCAGCTTCGTGTGATACGGGGATGCGGGGCCGCCAACGCAATTAAATTGGCTTAACTGATCTTGCTTGTATATATCTGTGCACTATTTATTGATACTGTATGTCGGACTCCCTGTCGAGTGTCCATCCAATCCATGACGAACTCTTGTATGTAATCAACTGAGTGAACACCTGTATTTATAACTATTAATTATAGGCTCTAGCTTTAACACATTTTGTGTAAATATATTACAAGTAATAACTCAAAAGCGTATTTTTTGGGGCTTTCATTTAGATCCGATACCTACAAAAAAATTAATTACTTACGCGTGTTATAAACTACAAGTTAAAGGCTAAGGATGCTTAACGTCCACATTCGTAAATTAAAAGTGCAACAAGTTTCAAATTGAGTTATTTAAAAAATAAATAGTAATTAAAAACACATATTGGCAAATCGTCCGTCAAGTTGGTCATAAAATACAAATTGTTATCCAAATAAAAACAAATTAAAATTTCGTTTAAAATTATAATTCACAAATCATTCCGCAATAACAACGCGCATTCTTTTGAGCCGCCAGGCGGCCCACAGAAAGTACAATCAAATGGCCAACGACGGTTTTGACCGGCTCTCAGCCGGGGAAGCCAGCTGCAATTGCTCCTTGGGCTGTTCGCTGCCCGCCTCCAGTTGCTTGCTCTCCTCGCCAGCAACCAGCTCCTTGGCGGGCTCCTCCTCCTCCTCAATGAGGCGGTAGGTGATGGGAGCCGGTTGCCTGGGCGGTAGCCAGTCGGGGATGATCTTGTCGTGCAGCCGCCACTTGCCGTATTCGTTGGAGATGTGCTTCTCGAACACGACGTACTCCAGCACGTCCTTGGTCAGGATCTCGCTGCCGTGCATCAGCCGGCCGAAGCGATCGTAGATGGCTAGCATCTGCTGGCTGTGGAAGCGCACTGTGACCTGGGCAAACTGGTTTTCCTTTGTTATCACCTCGGTGACGCGGGCATGGACGACGCGCGGAGGCTCCAGTGACTGCAGGAACTTCCAGCGGATGGTCTTGTCCTTAACGTTGTGCATCATTTCCGGGTAGCAGCGCTCGCTGACGAACTCGCGGATCTTGTACTTCTCCTTGGCGGCCATGTGCGTGTGGGCTTGGATGTAGATATCCTGGGCTTCGGCGCCAAAATCGTCGGTGCTAAAACTCTCCTCGTAGGAGCGGATCTTACGCACTGCCATTAGGCTCTTGGACTTCTTCTCTAGAAACTCAAGCTTTTGCTTAGCGCCCGATGTCGAGATAATCGACTTCTTGCCATCGCCCTCTGGCGGGACGTAAGCCTCGAAGATGCCGCCAGTGCAACTGATGTGGAAGGGGCGCTCCATCCAGGGCCGGGGCGGTAGGACACCACGCTCCTTCATCCGGCTGCGCATCTCCTCCTTGCTGATGTCTTCCTGTTTCTCGCGCAGATTGGGTATCTCCATTTTGACAAACTTTTGCTTCCGGAGGCGCTTAAACTCGGGCTGCCAGTGTTTGGTTTGTCGGTGACGAACCTGCTGCATCTGGAGCAAATTATGGACCGGAGGAGCCAGAGCACCCAGGCTAACAGGAGTGGCAGCCTGCTGCACGCCGGGCATAACCTGGGATAATCAATGAAATGCGTGTCAGAGCGAATATGTTCTGTTACCCAGCTAGACAACAACCCACCTGCAGCAGTTTAAGACATGTTTTGGCTGACATGAGCTTCTCCATCGCTTTTTATCTATTATATAAATAAGGAACTCCCCAATAACAAACTTTAATGAATCCCCAAAAAACCACTAACGCGTACCGCAGGCAAACGTGACTGCGATAGTTGGTCGATTGCTTCGATAAGGTAAACAAACGTTTATCGATTGCTCACCAGAAACATTCGATTTTCTGCAGCTTTGAATTATATCAAAAGTTCGTTACTCTTGCTTACTCAAGTAAAAAGAGAAGTTCGTTACTCTTGCTTACTAAAGTGAAAAGAGAAGTGGTTTCCGAAATATAAGCATTGGCGGATTTACGGGGGGTGTTTTTGGAGTTCAACCATCCCCCCCCCCCACCCAAAAAAAAAAAAAAAAAACCGAATCTAACTCGGTCAATTTTACCCATTTGCATTTGCAGAGCGGTAAAATTGAATTGAAACTATGTATTCGTTTATAAATGAATAATTTTACAATATTGTTTTTTAGAACTTCTTTTTTTTTAAATATAAGCTTATTCTAGCTTTTTTTTTTTAAAAATCTAGCTTATACGGGCGCCCATCACCTGGCAACACTGGTTGTGTGTAAGTCATCACTATGGATCCCACAAAAAATATGGTAAGCCTGTGCAACTCATAATTTAAATTTTTGGAATAACTGTTCGTTGTTGTGTCATGCGTAACATACCTAAATATATGTTAAGCTCTTTAAAAAACACAAAAAGAAAACATCTTTAATTTCGATAATGATTTTCTTTAACTTATCGATTATCAGCTGGTGACTCAGGGTGACCATGATAGATCAAATTTTTAAATTTTTTGGCGCCACTTGAAAAGGCAAGCAAAAGTGAAACGTATATAGTTGATAAAGTAACGAGAGTGATAATTCGAACGGCTACCAAGTACATTTATTAGTATCTAACTTTACCTATCGCATACAAAAGATGGCACATAATGGAAAACAACGATTCGTCTACAAAACTTAACATCCAACAACTACTCTTTGCACATTTCTCTACTCCAAATTCCTTTTATCCGTGGAACTAATTGGTTCTAAAGTTCATAGGCCCGGTCGCCGTTCTGTGATTGTTAAATGAGCGTGTCCTCGTCCTGCCCCTCGAATACCATGAGGAGCGAGTGCTGCGAGGGCGAGCGACCCAGGGTCAAACCGCCCAAGGATCCATCTGGGGAAAGGAGCCCTGTCTGCAAGCTGTTGTTATCCCGATAGCCGGAAGTGGAGGATGTCTGAGAAACAGAGTCCCAGGATATCTCTCCCAGGGTCTTTGCCTGCGCCTGCTGAGGCTGCTCCTCCTGGGAGGTTACCTTTCGGAAAGAAGTAATATCTATAGTTGCAGTGGTAACCTATTTCCGAACTACTTACAATGCTTGGAGGTTCCATGGGCGTAAGACGACTGCGCTTCAGTCTGAAGGTCTTCCGACTGGCCGCCTTGGAGCGCTGAAGTCTGGACCTTGTGTGATCCCCGGAACTGTCCTCCGCCGGACTCTCGGGCGATAGCGGCGTGGTCGAGGTCTCCCCCGAGGAGTGCCGGAACTCCACGGAGGACACGAAGCGCAGCTTGGGCGGCTGCGCCTTGAAGGGAGCCTGCTGCAACGACTGCGAATGCGAGAGGTGCGAGGGCACGGCGGAGGCGGTGCCGCTAGCACCGGCCGATCCGTGTCCCGATCCGCTCGGCGTGGGCCCCACCAACGTGGGCGCCGATCCTGCGTCCGCCTCGCCGCTCTGGCTCTCGCTGGTCGTCGTGTGCGGATCCCGGCCCGTCGAGCTGCTCGACAGCGACTCCCGCGGCGGGTGCAGCGTCTGCTGCGACAGCGTGTCGCTGGGCGTGCAGATCCCGCCGGATCCGCTGCGCGAGTCGATTGGCACGGCGGATACGTGCGAGTGCGATGCCTGGCCGGTGGTGGTTCCTGTGAAGATAGATATGAGTGAAGGTCTTTGCTGCGACTTGTGGGCGTCTGCCGCACTAGTTGCCGCCGGTGTGTCGCTCTTCTTCTGCTCGGAACTCTCGCGATCTGTGGAGACTGAAACATGAGTGGGTTTGCTGTGTGGACTGGGAGTGTGCGGACGGGGTCCGGGTTTCGGGGTTGAGGGGTCTTACCGTATCGTTTCTCCTCCAGCTCGTCGCGCAGGTCACGCAGCTCCCGGGCCAGTTCCAGCAGCAGAGCTCCCTTGGACTTGATCCCACCCTGCGGTGGCGTTCCACGCAGTCGTTCCCTAATGATGAACTGCATGTGACGTTCGTGGTCGCCGATGGGTGGCTGCGAAATCTGGAAAAGTCGGTTCGTTAGTCTTACTTACTATTATTTAATTTAATTATTAGGGGGTTTAAGTGTAGTGTAAATGGGGACCAAGACAATAAGTAAGTATTTTTTAGTCCAAGTGTGGGGCATAAAAGTGCAAGACTAGAATTTACATTAAAAAAAAAAAATAAAATGCCACAAAGGTTCATGGCAACTTCAGAGTTTTGTATTCAGCTCTTTAGCAAAAAATAATAATATTGAGAACTGTGTTGAAAATAAATAATACTTGGGGTATAAGATAGAAATTGATATCTAGTATTACTCAGCTTCTTTAGCTTTAGCAATTAGCAGAGCATTAATGAAGTACAAGCTACAATTTGGCAAATAAGTGTTTTGGGGTTTGAAATTTTACCAAAGACAAAGCTTTGGTTTTGGGGTCACCAACTTACATGATCAAAGTCGAAGTTAGGCTAAAAGTTTTCTTGAAAACACAAATTATTAAATCCGATCCCCTTTCTTACCTTGTGCAGAATGAAGGGCAGCAGGACAATGTAGAGGGGCGTTCGGTGGGTCACCACGAACTCCATGAAGCTCCAGAGGTCCGGTGCCGCCTCGTTGCGCCGCCCGAGGTCCCTCATCACCCGGACAATGCGGGGCCACTCGGTGGAGAGCCGGCTCTCGAAGCAGATGCACACGATGCGCAGCGCGAGGAAGGCAGCCTGGTAGAGGGAGCCGGAGATGCGAGCCGGGCGCTTGGCATCCCGACTGCCGGTGAAGGTGAGACTTCCGGCCCGAAGGTCGCCGGTGACCCGGTTTATCTGAGACACGGCCTGGCCGGTACGACCCGCCGGGGGACTCATCGCGTTCAACACGGCAGTCAGCAGGAAGGAGACGTCGGTCATCTTCAATTCGCCCACGTCGGAAACGCCTCGGCCCGAGCAAACCTTCAGACACAGTGGCATTATCAGATGCATTAGAAAGCCCTCGGCCTTTTCCTGCGTGGCAAACTCGGCACTGCCGCCGCATATCTGGACCAGCGAGAAACAGTCCACGGGGCTGACCACCTGGAGGGCCACCAAACGCACCACGGCCGAGCAGAAAAAGGCCGGCGGATTCTGAGACATGAGCGCTGCTCCTGCGCTGGAGACGCCCTCGGGGATGCCGGATCCGGGTTCGTTGACGATCAGATTCTGCACCGTACTGATCAGGGTTTTCATCTGCTGCCAGTGCAGCACGTACGAGTGCCGTATGATCGTCTCGTGGATGCCCTTCAGCAGTCCGGCGGCCGCCTCCCAGTCCGTATTCCTTCGAATCGACGGTTTCTTCGAGATCTTCAGGAACACCTTATCAATGCGTCGCAGGATGGTGACCAGTGCGTTGCGTAGAGTATCGTTGGACCACTCCGCTCTTGGTAATACCGCCTGCATGTATCGTTGAAGCCCCCGACAAGCCATGGATTCCGGATCGTAGGGAGAAACCTTAAGCAGCGAGTGCGCAATGTCCGCCAATCGAATGTGGCACTTGGCATCCAGAACCTCCGTGGGTTTCGTATCACTTGGCATCTTCTTGGCCAATTCAGCCAGTCTAGCTGTGGATTTGGTGAGGAAATCAGCCACCACGGAGAGCAGAACATCACGGGGTCTCCTGTATTCCGTTCTTATCATTTCCGAATCCTCAGCGGAATCCATCATGTTCTTCGTTCGGGCATCAGTCATATATTTGGGATGCGTTTCCTCCTCGAAATCGAGTCCTGGGGAGCAGGGAGGTCCCCTGCTGCAATTTCGCTGTGAGGAGCCCTTGTGCTCTGGACTATTCCGATATGGTCCATTGTAGCTTTTTGCCAGACCCTCGCAGTTGTGCACCATAGTCCTAATGGCCACTGCCAACTGGAGGATAATGTCCCGCTCGGATTTTCCCTGCAGTGGAATATAACTGGGCGATTGGATTTGTTGCAGGTAACAGGGCAGAATGGCTTCCAAAATTATCTGAAATAAAACGATTTTTAGATCACAGATAAAGATACAACTTAGAAAAGTTTAAGTGGTCTTACTAGCATTTGATATCCTCTTGTGCTCTCGGCGGAGTAGGACACCACCATGACACAAAGTGTGATGCAGTCGAGCACAGTGACATCGTCATCCTCGTCGTGGTAACAGAAATCAATGGCCTTTAGAGGTTTGGGTTCCTTGACCAACTCCGCAATGTTAAGCGGATCCGGAGAGGGATCCTCCAGACTCAAGAGCAGGTTGAAGAGACAGCTGGACTGGACCTTGTGGGCCTCGCCATAGGTGCCATCCTCATCCGTGTCCAGGATGGCGGAAACGGAACCGAACATCTGCAGGATGAAGGGCTTCCTGTTGAGCAGGTAGAACTGCTTGACCGCGTACTCAATCGTTGTGGTGATCAGCTTGTTGGTCTGGTGCAGCGAATAGACTTGCAACAAAGTGGGCATGATCATAAAGTAACCGTTTGTGGAGAAGATGTTCTTGAAATTAAAGGCGGCGTTGATGAAGGTGGCCATCACATAGCGCATGATGCACGAGTCTTCGGCGTGCAGAATGGAGGCGCCGGAAAGGACGTTCAGGAAGAGTTGGATGTCCGCCGAGTAGGCAAAGTTACCGGCCATGGCCTCGAACATGCGGGCGATCAGTCGCACCCACATGAACTTGTGCAGGACGTCCAACCCGAGCAGCACCTTTCCGTACTCGCCGCCATGGTGCAGATCCAGATCCACCTCGAGCGCCTTGCGCGGGAAGGAGGGCAGCTTCATCAGCTCCTCGTGCAGGAACACCACTCGCTGCACCACCATGTCCACGTTCTTGAGAATGGCCCAGGTCAGATGCACCTTGCCGATCTCGACGAACTTTTTGGTGAGTTCCTGTTTCTGGAGCGCCAGGAAGGACTCCTCCGGACGCATTAGCATGAGTCGCACCTCCGGGTATTGGGATCGCTTAAAGAAGTACAGGTCACGGATGTACCAATTCGGATTAAGGATTTTACCTTGAAAGTGGAATTCAATTTAGTAAGAACTGATAGGGCAGATAAGTTTGCAAATCTTACTGCTCTTGTAATCCACCAAACAGTAGTGACTGGTGTTCTTCTCATCAATGGGATAGTAATCCAAGGCCTCCTTGAGCAACTGGCAGAAGAGAGTATCCTCCTGCACTGGAAACTGGGAGGGTATATTGTAGTCATCATCAGCTGGTCCGTGTACTACAATCTTTTTGGCCGCGGGTACATTGGCTGTTAATAGAATAGAAGCATCACATTGTTCCTTCCTTAAAATCTGCTTTAAATCCTTGAACATAATGCCATGGACCGAGTGCACCACCATCCAAAGTACCGATAAAGCTGATCCAACGAGCTAAAGAATAAGAGTTTATTAAGTACAGTATATAATATTATTTCAATGGCTTCTATAATTACCTCCTGCTTTAGCTCATTAGAAGATCTCACATAGAACATGATGTATCCTATTATCGAGTTATACAGGGCAAAGGCAGCTTGTTGTGGCAAACGTGGCACAAATCGAATGAGGTGCCTCAGCAGCTTGAACATCTGATCCTGACGGTCCCTAGTTAAGCGCTCAAAAACATACCGCAGGAAGAGAGCAGACTCCTCCACCAAACAAACCCAGATCACCTGGTAGGCAATCTCGTACACCGCATTTCCATCCGATCCAATGGCTGCATCATCCAGACAACCGACAATCTGCATCACGGAGGAGCAAAGTACAGAGGGGAAAAGCGAATGGGCATGGTGCAAATGAGAGGACATCCGCGTGCCATCCAGATCCTCCTCGATCTCATGATCCTCCAGCTTCTCCATTCCGGGTTCATGAGAAGCCTGTTGACTAATGGGTATCATTGTTATAAGGAAACTGTGGCGCTCTGCCCTTTGCTTATCCCTCTGCTGTCTTAAAGCATTTCTTATCGCCTCCGTTTGCTGCATCTTGCGGCTTTTGGTGGCAGTAACCAAAGATCGCTAAAAAGGTGAGTATATTATTAATTTATCATACAAGTTCCCTCCCCCGATCAGTACATAACCCAGTGTCTCGGCAGCCTTCTCACTCACATGTCTATCCTGATTCAGGGTCACATCCATGTCCTTTGTCTGCTGCACTGGCATCCAGGGTGGATCCACCACCGGCAGGCTTTCTATTCCGATTTTAGGCGACGGTAGGGTGAACTCGATGCCACCTGGTGGCACCTTGAAAGTCACATCATGGGCATTCTCCTCCATTCGCGGCCAGACGTGGAATCGGCACTTCCACAGCACCAGATAACGCTGAATGGCGCCGATCCTTATATCCGGATCCTTGTGCTTCAAAGCCCGCTGCATAATGTCGAAGGCGAAGTTCTGGGCTTTCACTGAACCCATCAGAAATACGGCGGCACTTGAGGTGGCCGTATCATGATTCGTTTCCAGCAAAAGTTCCCAGGCAGCGGGCATTGCCTCAATGACCATCTCCTCGGTGAGGACAACAGCTCCTTTAAGCAGAGTGGCCAACGGAAAGTGGAACAGGTTACGGATGTGGATGCGGATGAACTTCAGGATGGGAGGTTCCTCCTGCATCTTCTTTTCCTTCTCCTGGCGGAAGGCTTTGGCCAGTTTCTCCGCCATTTCCAGATCAGGATCATCACTTATGCTGGGGAAGAGAAATTGATAATTCATCAAGAGGAAATAATATATATTCCACCTACCGATCTTTCCGAGACAAACTATCCTTCCGCTTAGAAGGAGAAGTCTGGGTGGAACTTTGCTCAGAAACTTTTCGAGTGGAGCGAGAACGCGAAGTGTGTGGTTTACTTGAAGTAATTATTGTGGGTTCCACATTGGGATGATCTGAATCAAAGCTAAAGCCGAACTCCTCGCCATAAACCTATTTAAGGAAAACCATAGTTTTAAGGTGAATCTGTTTGTTTTAAAAATCAATTAAACTCACCTTTCTGGTGGCCTTAACCAAACGAGTGCAGGAACGCATATGCCTTTTATAACAGAAAGGATGACAATATCCTTTGTGGGTGCAATAGTAATTGTAGCTGGACATCAAATCGATGATAGCCTTTAGCCAAGGCATATTCTTGGCTGTGTCATCGTTTTCATTTGAGTCTGTAGGTGATTCCGGCTGCTGATCATCACTGAGGATTCCCGGTGACTCCTCGCCTCCGCTGATCATTCCCTGTTCTGAAGTATCACTGCGGTCGGAAAGCGAGGAGACTTTGCGACGCGATTGCATGTTGACTGGAAGAATGAATTGAATTTAATCTCATTATTATATTAAAAAGGTTTAAAGATTTTTACTTACAATCTGTTTCAATGTCCTTGCTGTCCTTGGTGTTGCGTCGCAGCTTCAAAGATCTGCGCTTAAAGGATCCTCCCGTTGTAGTGGCTGTGCCACGTCTTAATAAAAATGGACGTACAGCTGATGCAGTTGGACGACGAGCTTTAAATTAAAAAAAACTATGTACAATATGTCTTAGTTTTTAAAATTAAATATGAGTTACCTTCCTCCCCCTCCTTGGTCAGCGTTGTGTTGCTGCTGTTCTCCGACTCGTTGTCCGGTTCGTGGAGCACGAAGGATATCTTCCGCTCCGACTGGCCGGCTCCGTCGTTTCCCGCTGCTATCGACTGGAGGCTCTGGGCGGAGGTCTGCGAGTGACCCATGGAACTGAGGGCCATGGACCAGCGGCGATTGGCCTCGCGATAAACCTTCTCCCAAGGCGCCGGTTTATCCCGATGGATCAGCTTGGAGGTCTTTGGAAGCATCAAGTAGGTGTCCCTCAGAAAGGCGGTAATCTCGAAGAGCAACACACAGGCGATGAGCTTCAAGGAGTGGGGACAATCATTGCCATGCGGATTGACGGAGGTCTCGTCCAGGAAGTCCTCCTCCTCGTCCTGCTGCAGTAACTCCCGCTGCTTCTCCGGGTCCGTGAGACTGGCGTTCACAGCTTCGTATTGCAATCTCTCGGTGAACAGGATCTCCTCCAGCCTGGCACCCACCATCTCGGCCCACTGGTGGAACATCTTTCCAGCAGCCCGCTGCAGGATGTGCGTCCTTCTGGCGCTCGTTTGGCTCACCTGCTGCTTCATCTGGTTGAGATTAATATTGGCCCCCGATGCCCGATAGCTACCCACGTTTTGCTTCATCCATGCCGGCCATTGACCCTTGTTGCACAAATGGACAAAGTGGGCGCACTCCAAAAGGAAGGTGGCACGAGCCACGAGGGGGGCTTGGGGCTACATTAAAAAGAGATTTCAGTTCATTAAAGGAACACTAAAAAGATTTCCCTAAGATTATGGCATTAGATTAGCTAATTTTGTAATGTATTGCAAATAAGTATCGCTATTACTCATTCAAGATTCTTGTTTTCTTCAAAGATATACTGACCAGATCAAGGACTGCTGCCACGAGTTGTGGATCCGGAAAGGAGCCAGGCGCACAGGTCTCCAGGAGGAAGGACAATCGCAGCATGCCCACGCGTACCGGTTCGGTGGGCACCAGTTTCCGCTCCTTGAGGATCACCACCTCCGACTCCCGCGGCCCGTCGCACATGTCCGACGAGCTGCGCCGGCTGAAGTCGGCGGTCTCCTCGATGCCGCCCACCTTCTTCTTGCCCTTCACAATGCCGCCGAAACGGTTCAGCCGCCGCTCGACGCGTCGCTTGGCGCGCTGCAGGGCCGACGGACCATCGCTCGAGCGGCCGCGCTGGATCTTCAGCGAGGCGTGCCGCATGAACGTGGAGGAGATCTCCGGATTGAGCGACCCGATCTCCAGGTCGATCGACGAGGCCTCCTTGGGCGTGCCGCGGAACCAGCGCACCAAGCCGCTGAGCCGTCCCAGCGAATTGCGTTCCGAGCTGGACGTCGAGTCGGACAACAGGGCGCGTTCGCTGTGCCGCGGGGTCAAAGTGGGTCGCACTCCGGTCGTCCTCCGGCGGAAGTTGCTCAGCGGCGACTGGCTGGTCTTGTAGTGCTCCTCGCAGGCCTCCGTCTCCAGCAGGCTCTGTGGAGAAAGATCCAGGGATGAGCTTCTGGTTGGGATCTGGGGATAGGACTCACCACGGCGCAGGCTGATGAGGTACTCCGCTTCTTGAGCAGCAAACGTCGCTGGGAGCGATTGTCGTCGTTCTGCAGACTCTGTGTCACATTCGCCTGAGGAATGTGCCTGTAATTAGGGAAAGTATTTAATAAATACAAAAAAATTATAAATATAAATAAACACTTAAATATATTTAGTCTAGAAATCGAGATAGTATTTCAATCCTGATTACAAGAAAAGCTTGTCAAACCATAAATTAATATTAATACTCGTATAACTTTGTTAATTTCTGATTGTTAGTCCGAAAGAATTTCTGCGTTTCCACAGGACTTTCCTTATAAAATATTTGAATATATATGTACTTTCTTTTACTCACCTTATGACCCTGGTGGTCTGCGCCGACGGACCCTTCTTGTGTGGCCTTGGGGTGACGGCTAGAATCCCACTGAGGGCCACCAGGCGAAACGGACCGCCATGGGCTCCCTTCACGTAGGTGACCAACTGCCGAATGTCGCCGTAGAGGGCGATGTTCTCGGGACCCTTCAGATCCTTGCTAGCCTCCACGAAGCGACTGACCAGGGGCTTGAAGACCGCTCCAACCACTTGGGCCTCGGCACCGCCGCTCATTCCTCCACTAAAATTGGTGGAGTAGCCGCCCTGACCTGGTACGCCGCCAATATCGGTGTTAGCATTTTTATATCCACTCTGACGTTTATGAGCTATTGCATCATTTCATACATACATATACATATATATACAACGTATTGGTGGTGACAGTAAAGAAACCGGAAGGGGACAACTCAAAAGCATTAGCAAAAGACTCGGCATGCAAAATGGGGAGAGAGAGCCACAAACTGGTGGATTAATGGATGCAGATGCAGGGGGTCAGCGCCGGATGAGCAAATCAAAAGGCGGCAGCGAAGGGGTAGGGGAAGCCCAACTCAAAACGGCCAATGGAACTCAAGAGTCTGGTTGGAACGACTGGTATTAATCGGGGGATTTGGTGCGCCTACATTGGGTTGGCATCCAAGCCCAGCATTTGCGGTTAAGCGGTTTGCCTATCCAGTTGGTCAAAACTTACTTAGTGGCGAGAGCAGGGAACTGGGATCCACGCAGAAGGCCAGGAAGGCGTGAAAGTAGTCGATGAGTTCCGGAAGTGGCGATGTCTTCACCATCTCCTGCATGAAGCGCTTGGTCCTTTGACCTGCCTGTCTCAGCATGCGGGACAGGATCTTCTGGCACTGGTTGCGCAGGAAGTCAGCTGGTGGACCTCGAACACCTGAAACAGCAGGATATTAAATTATTAAAATGAAATTATATAGATTAAATAAAGATTTCCTACTCACCATCATTACATCCGTGTGGGCAACCCAACACCTGCAAAGCTCTCCTCGTAATACTCATGGAAATCTCGTGAGCATGTTCTCCCAACTTGAGAACTCCCATTTCGATCAGCAGTTCACAGATGTTTAGACCTGCTTCCAAAACTCGAAGAGAGCAAACCTGGGCAGGATCCCTTTTAAAAACATTGCTGATGGCCAGCAGGATTATCTCGTAATCAATGCCGCCATCGCGTGTTATATAGAAGGAGGATCCTGGAGCCTCCGACTCGTCCACTCCCGTGTAATCGATGTGGGAGTCCGTGTGGGAGCGCAGCATTTGTCCCCGGTAACGAGTTGTGGTACTGCCCATGCCAGTACTGCCATTTCCCCCTCCATTTCCACCCATGCCGGCAATACTGCCGCCATTGCTCAAGGCATCCAGCTGGGAGTCAATGGATCCCTGGAAACAAAGGTAAATGGGTTTTGGCGTTCCTTCGAATATGAAGGTAATCCTTAATTAATTACCCACCTGTCGCTTCATGTAATCCGGCGAGGGTGTAGGTGTGTGTTCCGTGACCGTAATGATGGGATTCCTAGGATAGAACGCCGTGGAACGCGGACAGGTGGCCTGCGACGGCCTTGGCGCCTTGGGTGGCTCAACGTATCTGTAAAATCTTGTATTTTGTAGGATACATGCGAAAAAGCGTGTGTGTGGCATTAGTCAAAAACGGAGTGCGGCAAGCTGGAGGATCGGGGTTAAGTAGGGGAGAAAGGCTTGGGGGTGGTGACAAAGAAACAGGCTTGGAAAGGTGCCGAAAAGGTGAGCAGGCAAGGTTATAGAAGGATTAAAGACAACTGTGTCTCAGAGCACATAAAGCATAGAGTGTTCTTCTAGATCGATATATATATCATGTTTCGTTGCTTGGTAGACCATAACTCACCCGCTATCAAGCAGACAGCTGGTTGATCAAAGGAGAAAGTAGTACAAGTCATAGGGTATAGAATATATAGCATTAGCTTGCGAGCAAAGATTGAGACTCTGAAGAGTGTAGAATTTTGAGAATCGTTTGGAAGTGTATATGTTCTTGTTTCTGGTGTCAGAGGCCTGATTAAGAGTCAGTAGTTTGGTTGTTTTTGGGGTTTAATGGATATTTCTCTTTACCTGAGACTGGGCATGGATTTTCCCTTGATTAAATTACTGGCTGGTTCGCGACTTATCATTGAAGCAGATCTCGATAGCTTCTTTTCACCCGTATCCAGACTGCGATGGTATTCCTAGATAATAAAATAAACATGATTATTACCATTGAACTAAACGGTTATGGAGTAAATTGAACATTAAACTCTCAAGCCAAACAAACACCATGTAAAATGAATTGTTTATATGGGGATTATAAGCGGGAGCCAGGCAGAAACACTTAAGAACAGTAAACATTAGTTTTTGCTCCGCTTACTGCATGTTGCAGTGGTGTCTTGCCATTGGCTGAGTTTGTGTCGAGCCCTACTTTTTCCAAGTTCTTCTCCGACTTGGAGAACATCTTTGTCTCCACGAATGCCCGCAGATCAGCCATTTTGACTCGCTTCTTTTTCTCGCTGCCACGCCTTTCGGTTGTACTGGGTGCACTATGAGGTTCCTCTGTAAATGATAATAATATGTAGAATACATTAATAAATTAAATATAAGAATTAACTTACCTGCAACACAGGCTGTCACAGTTGGCGAAGGATCGGGTATTTCGATGTAGTCCTTAACCACTGAACTTCCAGGACTATCGCGACTGTTGCTGCCGGGTCCCTGGTACAGTGATATCTCGATTTGTGGTATGGGCAAGGAGTTTGAGCGCTTGCGTGGTTGATTTAAAGTGATGGCAGCCTCCTCGCCAATGTCACTTAGTCTATATTAAATGCAAGATATTATAAAGTTACTTATTTTTTATTATATAAACCAATAACCCACCGATTGTATAGATATTGCAGACTCCAAAAGATGCCCTCCTCCTGCCAATGGGAAATGAATAGGCAACGAAGTACCGCCACATCCAGAAAAGTAGCTGCCGAAACATCTGCCTTGATACTTTCTGACTTATCCGAATCAGTTTCCTTTTCAATGGAGGCACTCCGCTTTTCCTTCATCGAAGCACCGCGCATTAATTCCTGCTGATCAAACTCGAATTTGGTGGAGGGCGCTTTGTCTTTATCGCGGGAATTCATCGATTGACGACTTCCCCGACGACTCTGGGATTGCTGCTGCTGCAGCAGACTGGCATCGGCCTAGAGATTTATAAATTTATTATTACATGTTAAGCAAACATTTCCAAAATATCAACTTACCGTAAAGAATGAGTTATCCATTAGTTGTGGCGCCGAAGGCAGCCGAAAAATGACAACGCGTTCATCTTCCACGCTTGAGGCTTCTTCTGGTATGGTTTCAGGGAAGGCGAACTCTTTGGGAGAGGAAACCCAGGAGCCCTATAATTATCAAAGAAAATGTACTGTTAAATAAATGTAAGAACAAATTTAAATGAAAACCAACCTCCTCATCCTGCCTGCCATAATCAGAGATACCACTTTGTGGCGAATCTGCTTTGGGTGACATGGCATCTGCACTAAGAGAATGCTTTCTGGCTGGGAAAACATCTGTAGAACCCTTTGGAGTGGGTGCACAAAGCAAGTTCCTGGCTTTCGGTTTAACCGGAGCTGTGAAACATGGAGCACCTGGTGCTCGATTGTCCCACATTCCCTGCCAGAGCTTAATGCCATTCTCCAGGCGGAAGTTCTGGAAATCTGATTCCTTTAAGTGGTGTATTATTGGGGCAAAGAGGTACACAAAAAGCTGAAGGAAAATAATGTTATGTATACTCAGGAAAGTGTATATAATATTAAATAAACTCACTGTAATTGTTGGCACTGAAAACAAATACTGATCTATAGATTTTGACTTTGGCTCGGCTGCATCGCCCAATCCCAGATCCTCACCGCCTTCATCATCGGCACATTCCTCGGCGGCATAAAGAAGGATCCATTGCATGGTGTACAGCAATTTGGTTTCCACCGGTCCAATAGCCTGCATGTCCTTGACTCGATTATAGAGTAAAGCGGCACAGGCATGCATAACATGTGGAAGAGCTCCTTGCAACAGTCGCCATCGCGGGATGACACCCAATCCTTTTGTGAGAGGAGGTGACAGACCAAACTGGATGTTCTGCACAAGCACTTTCTCAAAGGACTAAAAAAGGGTTAATAAATATTTAATCGAGCTTAGAATACCAAAAAACATTACCTTGCAGGCTTCCTTCGACTCCTGAACATCGCAAAGTGGACGAGAAAACATTCAATTTATAGTAGAAAAGCTTGGAGGAAAAGGGTTTAAAACTACCAAAATTACAGCACAAAAAAGGGGTCATAGTACAAAAAAATCTTAAACATAGGTACACAAAACACCAAACATCTACAATATAAAAGAAGAAGAAGAAGAAGAAGTATTGCTTTCAACCCCAATGTACAACACACTAACCAATTTAAATGGTTTGCCAAATGTTGCACATTGAGGCAGAAAACTTTATGAGTCAGAAAAAAGGGGTTATAACTACCACAAACATTTATAACTTACATGGTGTCCCGGTGCATGTTGACAAAACTACATTCAGATTCAGACAAATTGCGAAAGATTTTACAATGTTAATTTGTACAGTTTGTTATTGTTTTAGTTTTTGGTTTTAGTTGGTTTGTGTTAAAAGCATACTGAATGTAATTATACACAAGCGCAGGAAAAGTTTCCAAGACAAACTTAGTCGTACTTTTTGCAGTTTTCAGTTGTAAAATATTATTCTTGGTGGAAAACTTTTCCCAGCTTGGCATAAACGAAAGACAGATTTGTTTTGTTCAGTTTGTGGAAGGTGGCCGTGTTAGTAGTTGTTATAAGAAAGTATATCGAATGCAGGAAAGAATAAACACATCAAACATCAAAGTCAAGATTGGGTTTTGGTTTCCAATTTTCCATGAATTTTGCTGATTGAAATCAAAAGGAGAATACATTGAACATAATCTTTGGTTTTGGTTTCGATCTGATAACTGGTTGTGCCAATCTGAATGCCAATGATTTGGGTTTTGGTATGTTACACAGTCCATCCTTACAACAAACACGCATAGCGAATATACAGCACCCATTTTATTTTATTTTTTTTTTGGGGGGGAAGAGCGGAAATGCTTCCTTGTTTGTCGGCCATCGTATCTTTTTTCTTGGTCTTTGGCAAACGCGACTCGTGACCGATTTATTTGGCACACCCATTAGCCAAACTCACCAGACAGGTAGACTCGTGCAGCTTGCCCAACTTTGGCCGGATGAAGGGCGCTATTTGGCGCCACAGGAATGTCTGCACGGACACCGGCAAGCCGAGGTCCTGCAGTCCGCTATCCTGGTCAAAGTCAAAGTCATCGTTGTTGTTGTTCGCCGCATGGCTGTTGTTGTTCGTCTGCAGGTTGTTGTTGTTCGTGGTGTTGCTGTTGCCGGTGTTGTTGTTGGTTGCACTCGTAGTCGCTGTCCCCGTTGCCGCAACATTGGTCACCATGGTGGCCAGCTGAAATGGCAAGGACACAAATCAAATGGCGTGCAACAGCTGTCTATCGAGTCATTCATAAAAACAAAACCCAAAAGGGAAGGGGAACGGGGAAGGGAAACCATTAGCATGTGCAACAGGTGTTTGCGTGCGCAGGCTCGTCGTGCTCCTTCCTTGTTGATTTCTGGCCATCCGGCGACTAGGTCAGTGCCACATCCATGTGGCAGACACTCCCCCTTCCGAATCGAAACAAGCATAAAAAAAAGGACCAGATTTCGGGTCCTGGGACGCTGCGCAGAACGCAGACTCCGCAGCGTTGAGAACAGAACGAGGCGACTGGGTTATAGATACAGAACTGGGTTTCTGGTATACATGCTAATTTGGGGCAAAAATTTTCACAGACTTATATAACCCGAGCTGGGATTGTGGAAAATTTCGCTTTTTCCCCCAATTAATTGCCGTCGCACTGTCAATTGTTTGCCACTTAGCACACACTCAAATCAAACGTTGCCGTTTTGTGGCCACATTTCGCTTGATTGGTGCCGCACCCAAAGGAAATCGCTTCTGGCCATCAGTCCATTGCTTTCCTTAACTGGGTTCGGCTGTGGACATTCACTAATTGCGGAGCGAAGAGCCTGAAGCACTTTCTGTTTGATTTCAATTTGTGTACTTTTTGTCCACTCTTTTTTCTGCTTTTGCAGCTCAGTTTTTGTAGTTTTGCAAGGACATACCTTGATTTGCGCGTGGCCAGTTTCGGATAACGTTTACTGCTGGAGCGTTCGGATGCAACTGAGACGGGCGTCGTTAACTGACGAGCTCTGAGCTCCCTGTCGTTGTTATCCTCGCTGCCGCCCTCGTCTTCCATCGTTTCCAATGCCGACAGCAGCAGGCCAGCAGTGCGTATACAGGATATTTTGTGGGGGAGCGCACAAACACCCTGAGAGCGACTCAAACACCCGCACTTCGTATTAAGTATACGCACTGAAGGGCTGCTCTGAGTGCAGAGGGAGTCGTTTTACTTGTTGTCTAATGAAATGTTTAGTTCTCTGATCGGGACACCCTGTTTCAGAAGCACACTTATCAATGATAACAAATGCCGGAGGGTGGACATTGCGTATACGCCGTGGGTTCGCCATTAAGTTCCTTTGTTCGCCGGTCTCGAGGGTGCGTCTGCAAATAAACGGGTAGTATTTAAGAAGTTATAGCCATACATAAGTCACTGTCGTGTCCAACTTAAGTGGGAATTAAAGCAGTACACAAATGTTCTGTCCACTAATTAATTTATTTGATGATGGTATTCAGGTACAAGAAGATATATAAATGTATGGTAAAGAATTATTAAAGTATAAAAATTGAAAACTTTATAATTAAGTTCATAATTTCTTTTTAAGTACTTCAGAATACAGAATAAACAGATTATTCTAAACATTGTATCGTTTTCATATTATAAAAGTTATACAATTTTTACTGCAAATCCAAAAATTCTAGTATTCCGCTAATTCATCGTACATAAACATCCAATTTTACTTATTTTGTTTACAAAATCGAGAGCTATATTTATACACTTGTGAGTTAACATCTCCCCGAACGATTTATCAATGGCTTGCGCACTTTAATCTGCGCAGATCCAATGCAGCTATTGTCCGCTGATAACAGCTGTTCAATTAAGGGCCAAATCGGCCTAAGTGCCCCATTTACTCCCCCTGACAACAGGTTGCACCCGGGAGTAAACAATAACAAAGCCAGGGAGGCTGCGCGGCCAAAAGCCGAGCCGAGGGCTCAATTCAACGAGAGAAGGGAGAACAGTCAAGAGAACAGAATGTCTGTCAGCCGGAAGTTGGCAACACTCAGCTGGGCTTAGAAACTGGGTCAAAGAAGGGCCTGTCTGATGGGCACGTACATGTAAATGTATTCACTCTAGCAGAGTGCCAAGGACAAGGACATTCGACTTGCCGGCTGATGCCAATGGCCGGCGTTATCTTAATTGCCACTTCCTTGCCAGATTTGCCGCCTTTTAAGCACCTCTTTTTACCCTTCAGGCTCGATCGGGCGTTATGTGGCTGGCTTTATGTACCCCATGCCCATGCAAACAATTCGAACACACATATGTATATGTTTTGTTGCTGTACATTTTTGCTCTGAATACACTTTGTGTATCTGTGTCATAGTTTTTATAAATAGCGCGCATTAAAATGTTGTATGGTAGAGACGGCACACAATAAGGCGCCTGAGGGGCCAGTAATGCGCCTTCTATGTAGATGGGGAATAGAACTTTTTGGAAGATGTATAAATATTGAAAAGGCTTTCAGGTGTTGCGGCCGACAAACAAGAAATCGGCCATTTAACACCCCCGCCAACGACCGGCTGACAAAACATTTCGAGTGATAACACGCAAGACCCGAGAAATACGCCGCGGGGCTTGCCAAAAAGACGATCAGGGTCGATGAGTGTATAAATATATATAAATCTGACGAGTATATAGTACATAGCCCCTAAACAGGATCCCTTTCCCCACCGAAAGAAGCCCCCCTCCATGGAGGCGTCCATCTATTGCGCAGCGCTCTAAACAATAAATTCCTGCCACCCCCGAAAAGACTATGTTGCCCAGAGAATATTATCTGCAAAATCATCTGTAACATCGAATGATATTCAACACTATCCGGCTGGGAATGCCACAAGCGATTATTATTTTGCCTTCACGAACGAAATAAAGCGAACAAAAATTCACAGAATTACCGAAAAAACAAAATCTTAAAAATAGCCCGGTTAGGAGAGCATGAAAAGAACATCTCTGGCTCCAAAGGAGAGCCACGAATGAATATATCTTCTGGTCCGCTAGATCTCTGAAGAGAGAGTGGCATTCGAAGATCGAAAAAGTTCCCAAGATGAAAGTAAATTCTTGGCATCGTACATGGGCAATGCGTAGTAGTGTGTGTGTAGCCTTGCGCAGGAGAAGAGCGAGCGTTTCGTCATCCATTCGTATTCGTATTTGAATTTTTCAATTTGAATCTGTATCGGCGTGTGTAAGTGTATGTGTGTGCTTCGGAAAAGCGGCTGGTTGGCTTTCACCTCAGAATTACCTTGCCGTACTGCCGCTGACGAATAACGTTCAGTCGAGACCGAGCTCATCCGCGATACAGTTGATTTTCGCATCAAACAGACAAAATGGTGAGTGAATATCGGGCAAGGAATCTTCTTCACACATCTTCCTCGAATATCCAGTGATCTATATATGCAGCAGCTGAAAAGATTTTCCACACAATCGAATTAATGACAAAATCTACAATCTTTTTCGATTCCGTTGACAGGCTGATGTCCCAAAGCGTGAAGTTGAAAGTAAGTTGAAGCCCGCACGAAAAAGGATTATCTTTAACCTCAAACGAAACCCATCAAGTTAAACCAATAAATTATAATGCATCGCAAAGGAATCGGGAATATCCCAGCAAAAAGGACTAAAATTCATTAAAGAAAATCCTCAAATAACGATTACATAATGTGCGCGTGTGAGATACACAACAAAAAAGTACACAAAAAATCGGTGAACATATTTCGTAATCACTTGGAATATATCGCATACATATACGCGTGCCTATATATAACACTATGCGGAAAATTTTCATTAAGGAATGTCTATATGCATCGCTGGGCTATTTTCATCGATCGTCGGCTGAACGATGAACCAGAAAAGGTTGCCAACACAATTCCGGTAGCGAATCTAGTGCAAAGTTAAGTTTGAGTTATAGAAAAGCCGCGGAAAACAACAAAATATCGTGTGTATATGTCGGAAAAACGAACGCGCGATTGCGATGGCGATGGCCATCTCGTCTGCGAGCCGAAAAGCTGGTCGTTTAGAGATCTAATTTTGGCCAAGTTATTTCTTGAGATTTATTTTCGATCAAACGCACCGAAAGAGAGGAGAAAACCAAGCGACTTTGTGTGTGTATATAGCGCATATATACTGTGTATACTGTGTATATAGCGAAGACGAGGGCGAAGGCGTTCGGTTCGGGTGTCGGATTACGTATACGTAGTGTGTTCTTCTTCGGGTTGGCAATGCTCCCAGATCCCCACTCACGCACACGTATACACGCGAGGGGGCAGTAACTAATGCCCAGCCATGTCAAGATTTTCATGATGACCAAAAATGTGCGTACCAGAATTTTTCAGGGTTACCACATCGACCTCATTTTCGAAGGGTGCCACAACACCCCCACCCTAAAGTATTTTTAACTCAATTAATGAAACATCAAAATAAATACAACAACTTGATGGGATTTACGTTTTACGTTCGGTTGTTCGGTTGCATATTCGAAATGCTAATTGGAATCCTTTTTGCGCAGATGTGGAGTTCGTCTTCGAGGTTATGGGCTCCCCCGGCGAGGGCATCGATGCCGTCGACCTAGGTGATGCCCTCCGCGCCCTGAACTTGAACCCCACCTTGGCGCTGATCGAGAAGATGGGCGGCACCAAGAAGCGCAACGAGAAGAAGATCAAGTTGGATGAGTTCCTGCCCATCTACTCACAGGTGAAGAAGGAGAAGGAGCAGGGCTGCTACGAGGACTTCATTGAGTGCTTGAAGCTCTACGACAAGGAGGAGAACGGCACCATGATGCTGGCTGAGCTGCAGCACGCCCTGCTGGCGCTTGGTAAGTTTAACTAAATTAATACCTTCCCTAATCCTTTAATTAATCAATTAAATTTCTTTTTACCAGGTGAGAGCTTGGATGACGAGCAGGTGGAGACTCTGTTCGCCGACTGCATGGACCCCGAGGATGAAGAAGGATTTATCCCCTACTCTCGTAAGTATTCGTCCCGCAGGCGACCCGTGTGTCCATGTGCTTTTTGTGCATATACAATATGTAAACGCTGTTTGTCTATTCCACATGTCACTCTTTGTCTGCGCACAACCAAAAATCCCCACCAAACTGCACTGTGCACTGAAACCCAAAAAAAAAAAACAATAATATTTGTATGCGTACCTATGTTTGCGTGTCAAATCCCAAAAACACTACACACTCGAAAACAAAAACCAAAACCAACTCCTGAATGTCAATCGAATGGTCTCTGCACGGTGATTGCGTCCTGTTTTCCCGCCGTTTGTCGTCGATCCAAAAAAATATAAACAGAGTTCGTCCAGCGCCTGATGAGCGATCCAGTCGTCTTCGACTAAACAGTAAGTAGGGATTGAGCCCAGATCCTCCGATCCGATGTCTGAATGTCTACTTGTTCCATTCTCTGTAAAGATCCTTTGCTAATATTGTTTATCTTCTTTTTTCCACAGCATTCCTCGCCAGAATGTGTGACAGACCAGATCAGCTAAAATAGTTGAAAACAACAGCTTCAAACCAACTACTACAACAACACCAACAAACTTTTAGCGACAACCATTCTCCATAGATGTTATATTCATCGCTAACTCTCTCTATCTCTCTCTCGTATATTATTTTAATTAAAAATTACTTCTGCTACTACAACTGCAAAATTGAACTTCAAGATAATATTATTTTTTAAAAAATAAAAAAATTTAAATTATAAAATAACGAAAAAAAAACTGAAAAAAGATTCAACGTTTTTGTGCCCATTATTTTGTTATGAATTTTTTGTTGGTTCACCCAAAGAGCAAAGCAATAGTTAATGATTATTTTATATGAGACGTAAATAAACCAAATAGCAAATAAAATAATGTTTAGGCAAATTCGACACCCTCGAGAGCCAAAAGAAGAGGCATTAACCAAGACACAAATTGTTGTTCTTGTTGCCTTTGAGCCTTCTGAGTTTACCATGTGAATGTGTGAAAGAGAAATAAGTCAAATGTATTTAAATAAACACTAAGAATAACCGTGCGGCCCAAAAGGTGTTGCACAATCAATGAAAAGCAGCCGTCGAGAGGGGAAATTGTGGGGTGGGATAATCAAATCAGAACGGCTATTTTAGGGGACGCTAATATTTTTAAATCTGTTAACTTGCTTGTTGATTTTAAATTCAACTCAAAAAAAAATAATAAACAAATTTTCCATTAGAATTTTTCGTAAATAAACTAGGAGCTTAATTTAATCGGAAATATTTGCATGCTATTTTTAAAAAAAAATTCGAGATTATGCAGATTCTCCAAAAAATTTACGTAAAAGTTTGTGAAGCAGCCGATAGATGGGACTATTTTCGCCCCAAGACGATGTTGATTAGTTGTGACACAAACCATTTAGCTATCTTGACAAAAATATAATGATATTATACTTAGGCATGCATTATTTAAACTTAATTATACACTTTTTACTATAGAATTTCAGGCAACATAGAAAAAAGATATTTTGGTGAGATAACTAATTTGTAAAATGTAAAGTCCAAGCAAGTTCTCTTTCGTCAGATATATGCAACCCTCGAATACCCTGTACTAAAAAAGCTACTTCCCACAGCTTGCGGAAAAAGCTCAGCGGCGCGCGCCGCCTGCGAACGTTAGTTAGGAATGAAAATCAGTTGAAAACGAGATAACAAACCCAAAAGATACAAAACAGCCGACAGAGCGGGTGCTGTCTCGCCGTTAAATTAAAATTTGCACCAGCAAAAATTCAAATAAATTAGCAGAGTGACAGTGAAGTGAGTGAGCGTGAAGAGCAAAGTGGAATCATAAATATTGCAAGCAAAGTATATATTTTGCGAGCATTTTTAGCGGTCTGTATCTCTTCTGAATAGTGCAATTGAAGAGCAAGCGAAAGGCATTATACAAAACGCTTAGGCAGTGCTCAGTGCAAAAGTGAAAAGGACTAGCCCAAAGATACACACACAGGAAAATACCGACAGAGTCCAGGTCCTCTGAGTTTTCCCCCCGAGTGCAACAAATACAGACACGATACACACACTCACACACACACACACACTCACACACACACACACACGAACAAAAACACTCGCTCGACTTTCAATATGGCGGATGTCCTGGAGAAAAGCTCGCTGCTGGATGCTGTGCCAGCACTAGGCGATCCCCACCCACCGGTGACCCACCAGCAGTTGCAACAGGAAGCAGCTCCAGTTGCACCACCACCACAGCAGCAGCAGCAACAACAACCACCATTGCAACAGCCACCGCAACCACAACCACAACAACAACAGAAGCCTGCAACTGTGAGGGCTAATCAGGATCAAAAAGGTGAGGGGGAACTTCTACGTTGGTATACCACCTGCAGATATAAGTAAAAGTGACTTCACCGGCCATTACGCATACGCCGTGTGTGTTTGTGTTTTAGAAAATCAATTAGAAAAGTTCAAGGCACACCTCCTTTTGGCCCAAGTTGCATTAGCGATGGCTCAATTAGGCAAATTGTACAGCCGGCACTCCCCAGGACATTGATGTTTATGTCGGGAGGACATGCAGACCCCGTCGCACGTCATGCCCACCACATTATGCAAATAGATTTGGTTGTTCCGCCGTTCTTCGGTTTGTGATCTGTTTGAATAGCAGCTTAGACCCGCAAGTTTACGGCTTTTGGGCCCGTCTGAAGGGGGCTCGACTGCCGGCAGGACGTGGAATGGGCCAGGATGCGGATGCGGCTCTGTTGTGCAACCAACTCTCGGTTTAATGACCTGCAACTGTGGCAAGCAAGACAAGCCACCACCCACTGCTTTTAATTGTACGTAATGCCCGTGCCTTCAGTCCAGACCGATGCATTGTCTAGGTACAAGTGTGTATCTATCAGATACAGATACAGCCGACTGCGATAAAAGTTATCAGACAATCGAGTTTGTGCTGCACTCAGAAAAAGATTATCCGCATTATAACCATACCTAAGACTTTTAACTTGTTTTCAAGTTCACAATTCGTTGAGCAAATAATAATACCACCTTGCCGAAAAATAAATATTAGCTTGCGTTACATTATTTAAAAGTTTACACTTAACTTAGTCATCAAAGTTTGGGAACCGTTTTATATATACATATGTATACTAGGTTAGCTACACTGAAATTATTGACCTTTCTATGATTAGGAAATATAAAAAATATTCAGCAAATGGTGTTAAAATGTTTTCCGAGTGTGCTGCTGTTGTGGTCGCTCTGCAGTTGACCTCGTTTCAATTCAAGCAATGTGTACCTTCGATGGGGTCGTTCGGCTTTGCAGAATTCACCAACAAAAGCCGGCTAAATACTTTAGTATATTTCCTGCCGCAAAGGGTATTTCGCACACGACTTGTTTCCAATTCAGCATTTCTCTAATACAGTTGACTTCATTAGGGCAGCATGATATGTGTGCATCAAAAAAGATACACCCCTGCCTCGGGTGATGATTAAATCAAGTGTGCAAGTCAAGAGCAAACCGGCTCTGTGAAATAAAAACAATAACAATGCGACGCGGCGATAGCTTTGTTTAGCGCTAATAATAAAAGTAAAAATATAGTTGTTGATTACCATCAGGGCTCTCATCCACATGAAGTCACCCGCTCTATATCAACTAGATTAGAAATGGCACTCGCTAGTGTTTTGTTTTGATAAGCAGGTGGAAAAGGCTTTCTACAGTTCGCACTTTCTTTGTCAGTTATATTTTTGCTTATATGTATTAATATTCATGGTCTGACGTAATTCTGCTCTATTGAAAACAAACAAAACTCTCAGCTTTTTTGTGCACTCACCGAGTTTATAAATAGCCAAGATTCGTTGCATTTTCTGTCACCTATTTCACGGTGGCTTTTCAATTATCACAAAACACTGCCAGCTGAGCGACAGTTTCGTTTCTCATTTGCATTTGGCGCTGCAATTGATTTTCCCTCGTGTTTTCTTCTCTCTGTCTTTTACTTTTCTAACGGGGGCGCGCTCTAGTTTTTCTTAGGTATATTTTTTCTTGGCGGAAAGCTTTAAAAACTCTGCTAATTGTTAAGGTTTCCGCTTTGAGAATCAATTACCGAATTTTCGGAGCCATATTTGTGCGGCACGCCTTGCTGCAAACCGTTCGAGCAAGACGAATTTGGATTTTGGTTTTGATTTTGTGACTTTGGGATACGCATGGCCTGCCCATATGGTCTTTATGATTAATTAATTAGTTTGTAAATCGATTAGGGAATTTGTAGCTATTTACAAAAGATATATATTACCTCATGGCTTAATTGATTAAGTAAGTGCAACGATTAGAATTCAAAAGGCATACAATGAACATTTATTAAGTTGTTGTTTTGGCATATAAATGCGTTGTTTATCTGACGGATGCATCTATGGGCTTAACTTGGGAATGCGGCATAGTTTGTGCTTCATTTATTAATTACAAAATTTAAAGTTTGATCAATATAGATGGTAACAAAAAATTAATAAAACTCCTGAGGACCGCTGCGGTTGGGTGTTTGCTTAATTGTTTTCCCGCGAACAAAGTGTCGCTAGACACGCGACATGCAAATCCCCCCAGTCGGTGTGTTACCCTCTAATTAAAGCCACAAAAGAGTTGTCAAATGGCTTCGGCGCGAACATCGCCCTTTCGCCAAGTTGGCACTTCCAATTCCAGTTCAATAAACTCGGCCACCTGCTCTGATTTCGATTTACTGGAACTTGCCCGATTTTCCACGATTTTATGGCCACTTACTGCACTTTCGCCAGCTGGGGAGTCTTCAGTTGGGCGGGTTACCCAATCCCCATTCCGATGGCTAATGCCTCTTTGGACAGACACCGCATAATTTGTTGTTCTGGTTGGAGTTGTATCCATGACCATATTCGGGGTACAGCCCGTTTTGGCCGACACGTCGTGCGTGCTGCTGCCGCACTGACAATTGCCACATTTTGTGGAAGGCAATCAATAATCGAAGTGCGTCAACAATACAAATGTTAAAGTTACCAAACCACCGACCCACCAACCAGCCATAAAAACAACCATGTTCGACACGAAATACGCGTCACCATAGGTCCTAGTCAATAGAGCCATAAATTTGGCTCTTGATTAATTGATAAGGTGTCTCCTTGGGTAAACAAAACTGTAGTAATCAACTAGCTACTAAAAGACCCATATGATTTCAAGAATTTAGGCACAAAGAATTCAATCATAAACATTAAGAGATATGCCTCTTTAAAAACTGGCTACAACTGAAAGCTTTAGAATTGAATGATTTAGTTTAAAAATATTTTATCTAACATACATTTTTTTGAATGCTCACCCGAATTGGGCATGTGTCCTTTCGAGCATGGTTTTATTGTCTGATTAATACATTTACATCTTGTTACCAAGAAATGGCTTAATAGCGGGATCCGCGGCCGAAGCCTCCGCGGAACTGGGGATCGCGTGCTCCGGGTCCCACATCGCCTCGCTTGTCAGGCCCTCCGTCGCCAGTGGTACGCCTGTAAGCCGCGCGGTCCTCGTCGGTCTTGGACGGTCCACCGAAGCCCCGGGATCTTCCAGCATCAGGACGAGGACGAACCGTCTCGCAATGAGCAGTCCGTGCCAAAGTGGAGGGCACTATTTCGGAGGGCAGGTGCAGGTAGCTGCGCAGCTCCTCGATTCCCTCGTTGGTGAGGCACCAGTAGAAGTGCCGCCAGGCGAACTCCTCCCTGACCAATCCTCGCGAGTGCAGTGACCGCATTATCTTAATGACTTGCAAATTGGGAACGGACTGCAGATCAGGATGCTTCTGCACCCGAGGGTCCTTCTTGGCCACGATCACGCCCTCCTTGAAGAGGTACTCGTAGACAGCAACACGATTGACCTTGGGTATGAACATCCTCGACTTGTTTGATTTTAATCCAGAAAATAATGATTAGTGAACTTCCTTAAAGAAAAAGTCAAAGCAAAAAGATGGCGGCCTTAAATAATGTGACCGACCTGACCAACTAAATGTAGTGTTGCAAGATTAAATACTTTTCTTAGTCTATTAACAACACTTTATAAAAGCTTAATTGGTAATTCGCTTTAAAACAAATTTGAGATTAAAGGCATTAACAGCCTTGCATATTTTTGTGTATTTTAAAAAACTTGCCCCATAAACTGGACTGTACTTTGTCCTTACTAAAAGAATAAGGAAAATTTGAAATTAAAATAGCAAAGTATCATACAGATCACTGCTCATTTTCTAAGGTGTTAAACGGTTAGAAAATACCCCTTTTTTGTGTCTCTGCACCTTGATACGCTTTTCATATTCTCACACTCCTGCGGAGCTGTGATTCATCTTTTGCGTCGCAGGACATTCTGGCCAAACATGCGCAGTTCGAGCGACAGCAACCACATGAGGAATTCCTCCCTCGCAGGAATGCTGAACAGAATAATCAATGAGCGAAACGCAGACACAAATTGACCAAGGGAAGCCATCCAAGAGGAAAGCATGCCGATAGATACAACGTAAGCTCACCCCAAACCGGCTGCCTCCCCCAAAAAAAAGCAAAACAAACGCCGGGTAGAAAGGAAATCGAAAGCAATTGGGGGTGGCAAAGCAACCCCCAACGACAAGTGACAACAAACGCAGTCGACCTTGCTTTGCATGCGTTTTCAATTAAATGCATTTAATTTACATAAGGTTTTAGTACTTTTTAACTGAATGGATGGATTAACAAATTAAATTAGGCTGTGTTTTACATATTTTTTTCAATATATTATAGAGATCTTTGCATGAGCTTTACAAGCTTTAAATTTGTATGTTAAATATTCTTAGAAAACAAAGTTATTTATTTATTTGAATTTATTCAAATTTAAATTCCAACTAAACAGTCAAACAATGCTACCAGTCAACGATTTTAGTATGAACTTAACCTTCGGTTGTTGTATTAGCTTAGTTAGGAAAGCAACCAAGCGGCGAATTGGTTATAATTTGAAGCGAATTCGTTTGAAATGATTTTGAAATACGTTACAAGTTAACTTGAAAAACAAAGAAGTAAACAAATATGTATTATTTTATTAATATTAAAACGTATAAAACCCTTAACTCATTTCTTGGATGTACATAATTCCAATTCTAATGTATACAATAGTTAGTTTAAACTGCATTAAAGACGTTCTTCTTATAACTAAAAACATATATTCTCTTCTTTTCAGGTTTGTTTGAAACGTATGCAACTAAATATTGTTAAATGTTAACTCGAAATGGCTTCACTTATTGGTATGTTATAAATATATAAAAGACCCTGTAAAATAAATTTAGCCCTACAACCAGCACAAAAGCATAGACCCATAACCTTGACAATAAAATTAGGCTAAAGAACGTTCCGTGGACGTGACTAGACCACTTGCCTGCCGAAGGATTTATCCTTAGCCACCCCCATGTCAGTTGGGATCCTCGCTGGTTTACCTTTATGTCTACGCATTAGAGCGCCGGAATCTTGCGTGCTGGCTGCTTGTAAATAGACAACAATTAGGGGAGCCTATGACAACAACACCTGGATAATAAGAAGGCCGTAATAAATATTTGCGGTGCGTGGCAAGCGGTGCAAGCTCCCTAAACTCGTGTGTGTGCCCGATTGCCGTTAGCGAAAGGATTATGCCGAAGGAGCTGCACAAATGCGCGTCCACCTTCCTCCCCCATGGCCCATTAAATTAATCAAGTCAAATGAAATCTGCATATAAAATCAACGGAAACAGGGGGGTTCCCATTGTTGGCGTGTTGAATTTGCATTTTTCCCCGGCGCCCCACTAATAAATTAGTATGTCAATAGAATAAGCCAGGCGACGGCAACGACCAAAAGCCCTGTCAGCCCCTCTCCGCGAAGGAAATATCCTGCTCTTTGAACTGCGCAAGGACACGTTTGGTTTGTGCGCCCCGAGAAGTTTACGAGCGGCTACGCTCCGCCAGACCAACTTGGCGTATCAAAACAAATTCTAAGTATTGTAATTCGAAATTTTTCAAAGCAAATAAAAGCAGTCGAGTTTTAACACTCGCGCCAAACACAACGCAGTCTCGCAGTCGTCGCGAGTGCAGTTCGCTCTAATAAAATATTTAAATAAATAAGATAACTAACCCTTACAAAAAGGAGAAGAAATATATAACAATTTTACACAAGTTACAAAAGCAAACTTTTGTCAACGTGCGTGGTTTTCTGAGGTAAATTCTCGACCACATCCTGGCGGCAATCGCAAAGTGCAAAGTGCATTAGCCTCCTCAGACTGTACGTGGCCAAGTTATTGCCCTCTGGCTAGGAAAATCGATACAGTTGCATGGCGCTTGTTTTATGGCCAACTGCAACAATTGATAGTGGTCTGTCTGTGTGATAAAAATCGCTACTGCAGTGGTGCAGCGAAACGGGGAATTCAATTGCCAAAGGACCAAGTTTTGTTAACAATATTTCTGGTTCGCCCCAGCAGAGGGTGAATCTAATTGAAAAGCGACCTGCGCTTAGGAAACTTTTGCGGTTTATGTGTTGCACCTGCAACTGTTGGTTGGCTTGCACTGCCAGTCAGCCAAACTAAGCCCGCTGCCACACAATTGTTGATAATCAATTTGGCCAAGACCATTTGGCCACAAATGACAGTTGTCATTGTTGCGGTTGACATGAACATTGTGTGGAATTTCGGTTTATGTCAGCCGCCAGTAAATCACAAATCATTCTGGCCCTAATTTGCAGTTCTTGTTTCTGCGGGGCCTCCTTTATTTTTATTTTTATTCCTTTTTCGTTTTTCGCTTTCCGATTTTTCCTCTCTTTTTTTTTTTTTTTTGTGTTACTGCCAGGAAGTTGGCGATTCCGGGTCTGAGTCGACACAAGTTGCAGTTGGGGCTTTAGTTTGCCAATCGGGTGTGGCACGTGCTGAGGTTCCTGCTCCTCCAGCAGCAGCGATTTAAAGACGCCCTGTGCAATTTTATCGATTCCCCCCGTCAAATGTAACACACCAAAACTAAAGGCGAAAGTTTTCGGCTGTATTTTTTTCCCCATTCCTCCGACCGAACCGCATAAAGTTAATTGCCAGGCAGTGCCGAGAACCAGTCCACAGTCCAAATCCGAACAGCAATCCACTCTGATATGAGTGATACCGATGCGGTGAGTTATCCGTTCAAGTTCCCATATATTATCCTTTGGAGCTGCACTCAAAGCACCAAATTGCCCATGCACAAATGATTTACGAGCATAATTTGAATAAGACAGCCATGTTAATGGGTGTATTATGCCGGCGACCTTGCATACATCATTGTCAGTCGAATGAAGCGAAGCCAGAGTAAAGCCGAAAAAGAACCCTTTGCCAAACAAATCAAACTGCGATTTCTTGCGGCCCGTCGATTTGGGCCTTAGAACTGCCGAAACTTTTGTTGAATCAATAAGCCACAAACACAATTTGGGTCATGTTACAGCTGGCAACCGAATTTCATGACAAAATTCCCTAATGGTAACCAAAGACCGCCGACGACCGACGACCAAAAACCAAATACCAAAACAATAAAATGTAAACAAATGCAGAAAGAGCCATCAAAATTGAAAGCACCCACTCAATGTGAACCGTATTGATACGTCTGCTCCGGAACACGGAGCACACGGAGCTTTCAGCTTTCAGCATTGGCACTTGGCACCCGCGCAGATATGGTAGTAAACTCCCAGCGATATATGGCCATACATATGCAAATGATATGGGCCAGTTGGCGGGGTGGATATAGCAGTGGGTGGAGTATGTATATGTGCTGGCATTGGCCACCAAATAAAGCTGGCTTTAGAGCCCTGCCAGGTATTGGGTTACCCGACACTTGCACATTTCTGCACCGACACCGCAGGCGAGAAGTTCTCGAGCTCCGGGATGTTCGGCACGGCCAAGGAGCGATCGAGCCAGGAGGTTTCTCAGCAGGATTACCCAGTGACAGAGCGTCCAGTGCAGCAGCAGCGTGGTCAGTCCAGGTCCGAGTATCCCCCGGCAGAACGTTCTAATTATGGTTTAGATTCGGAGGCTGTAGATCGCCAGAAGCAGCAGTTGATCACTGAAACTAAGCAGCAGCTAAGATCTCCGGCAAACACTGATTACACCACTAGCAATCCCACCTCAGATGGTGCTTCCTATGGTTCCGATGCAGTGCCAACAGATCGCTCCAAGCAGCAGCTGAGATCCCAGCCAAATCCGGAGTACCTGAATGCAGCAGCTTCTTACGAGCAGCAGAGATCCCATCCGGTTGCAGATTATTATGAAACCGCCAGGCAGCAACAGCAACAGCAACGGCCACAAGCAACCACAGTTGACTACACCACCGGCTATAATGCACCGCCCAAAGATCGCACCCTCGCACGCAGCAATTCCAAAGCCACCATCTCACCCCATCCCATGCTCCAAAGCAAATCCCCAACCGAGTATGTGCGTCCGCCACCACAGAACTTTGTCTTGCCACCGCAGATGCGTCCGGCGGTGGGGCCACCGCAGCCGCGTCCCCCGTTCGCGGGGGCCAGACCCATGGTGGGGATGGGACCACGTCCGCCCATGCCACCGAATATGGCGGCCAGGCCGCCGCCATTGCGAACCACAGACAGCAAGAGCAACCTGCTGATGGGTCCGCCGATGCGACCGGGAATGCCGCCTCCGCTCAACATGCAGCAGGCACGTCTGCCCAACGCCGGCGGACCACTAAGTCCGCCGGGACAGGGACCGCCGAGGCCACCGGGCGGATTTCCCTGGAATCCAGCCGGGGCACCGGGAATGCCGCCGGGTGCACGACCTCCGCAAAATATGACGCGACCACCGCCCCCCCACTTTCGCACGCCCGCCGCCGGGTCAACCGCTTCAGGCCCCCTTTCGACCGCCCTTCAACCAGCCGCCCATGCAACCCCAACAACTGCAGCAGCAGCAGCAGCAACAGCAACAGCAGCAACACATGCAACAGCCACCACCACAGCAGCAACAACTACGCCCACTCTCGGCAGCTGGTGTACACAACAACAACGATGACGACGATGACGTGGTGATGGGTCCGGCGGTGACACCGCTGAAGACTTTCAACTCGCGGCCGGATCCCATGGGCGAGCCCCTTTTGGAGGACGTCGAGCCCCCCTTCGAGACGAGCCCCTCCGCCGGAGAAATCAAAAAGGGGCACGGCTTCAGTAAGATTGAGTTTACAGAGTTTGTAACCTAAAGATATTTTGTAATTTTGTGTGCTTCTGAATTTAACACAACCAATTTCCAGATACATTTAGGCCTGATACTAAAAGTGAAGCCATTTATGAGTTTAATATTTAAACGAGTATAACAATATTTTAGTTTGGTTTAAACTTTCATTCCATTTTACTTAAGTGATGATGTAAAAAACTAGTTTCAAACCAAGTGCCATTTTAAGAAAGATTTGATTCCATATATTTATTTTTAAATATGCCTATGAGACATTCCTTCGAATTGGTATCAAGTTGTTCGTCAACAGACAGATAAACCAAAACCTAAAAATAATTTAGTGAAAGGGAAACCCAATGTGAAATGCTCTTCAAACCGTTTTGATCCATAACTAATTTATCTCCCATCAACCAATTCCAGAGGGTGACAACGACAGCGGCGTGGACGAGTCCACTCAGGAGAAGGTGAGTTAATAATTTCGGCTGTGAACCAGTTGACTAGTTAGCCATAAATAGTTACTACCGCTGCGTCTCCGTTAATTGAGAGGAAATTAACTGGAACTGGCAACAAATTAATTTAATTCCGTTGACCCTCTCCCTGTCGATTTGTCTGTCTGCCTGCCGCTGAGTTGGCTTCTCAAATCATAAATATCTGTAAAAGGCCGGGGCAAGCAGCGGGCGATCTGCGAGCTATAAGCTCCACGCTCCATTAGAGACCATATAGCATATAGCAAACAGCATATAGCATATAGCACATCGAACATATTGTCTGCGACAGTTCCGTCGCTTTAGTTCCCAAGTTGGCCCGTGTGCTCGTGTGCAGACGCCAAAGTTCAGACTAAGTTTTGTGTTGGCAGACGGCAGTTGGCGCGTCGGAAAAACCCGCAGAAAGTGCGACAAAAGTCGAGCAAACGGAGGGAAAACTCACTTCTCCACATAAAATTGTATATATGCAGTACGTGGTGAGCTTCACAGGTGCGAGCCAAAAAAACTCCCAGAAAGACAGAGGCAAATATTGCCGAAACGCGCAAAAGAAACGAAAACACAAAAAGCGATTTATATGCCCGGTGATATCTGCGCACAGATAAGTGCCAAACACGAAATGGATTTGTGGAAAGGGGCGGGAATCGGGGGTAAATCATAGCCCACATATAACTGAGCCGGAGTTGTTGTCCCTATAAATACCCAGCCATATGCAAAAAAGACACGAAGCGGCGACAATCGATAAAACAATGCATAAACTATAAGTCCTTCGTACCGAGACATCGACATCGGCAAGAGGACGACCATAGGCAGCCATAAATGCCATTGGCATTACGTTGACAGCTCCGGAAAGCCCGGGAGTGTCGAGAGCCAGTCGTAAATAGTTAATAAAAACGCGTCATCGCCGCCAGCTTCAGGATGCATCTCGTTATAATGGCCGATTCGACCTACTTGCTAGTAATCCCCGTGGAGTTTACCTTCGAGTTTACCAGCTCTTCAAGCAACGCTCTCTGATTGTTTCTCGACAGGATCGCAACGGACCCATCTCGCCCAGTTCACCGGTTAAGACGCCCACATCGACCTCATCGAAGCCGGACAAGTCGGGCACCTCCCGCCCACCGAGTGCCACGCCCTCGAACAAATCAGCCCCCAAGTCGCGGAGCGCCTCCAAGAACAGATTGCTTCTCAAGACCCCAGAACCCGAGCCAGCTAAGAAAGGTGAGCTTACATTTTGATTAAAATTAAAAAAGTTAAAACATTTTTGGCAAATTTGGAATGGGGTTGCATCATAAAAATTTAAAAAAAAATCGGGAAAAAAATAAAAAAATAGAAAACTTAATATAAATTCAATACCTCGTAATAAAATCTGTAATCTTATGTGAAACTCTATTTTGTACCTTTAGTTCCAATGAACAAGGTACAAGTCGGACATGCGCCTTCGCCCAACCTGAAGGCGGTGCGCTCCAAGATTGGATCCCTGGACAATGCCACCTACAAGCCGGGTGGTGGCCACGTGAAGATCGAGTCCAAGAAGATTGACATCAAGGCGGCACCGCGCATCGAGGCCAAGAACGACAAGTACATGCCAAAGGGCGGCGAGAAGAAGGTATGTTCGGGATTGAATATAATCGAATTTACTGGTTAACCCAAGGGCGGGACTGCTGGATCCATTTAAAGCATAATTTCTGGGCTCTCCCAGGACATAACTCTTTCATATATCTTTGTAAATTTCTCTCATTCTACAAATGGCTTTTAAAAATACAAAGAATCTTCCTCTGTAAACAAAGAAACGTAAAGTATAGTCGCGTAAAGTAAAGTAAAGTATTGGCAAAAAATAATGCAATTTCACGGTCGATTTGCGATTTGAGATTTATGCCCATTATAGATGGGCAATCGGCAGCACGGTATCTTGTATCTTGTATCTCGTATCTTGTTGTAGGAAATGCAATTACCAGTTCGCAGCGACACTTAGCAGCATAATTCCGTTGCCTTATGTAGCGTACTCGTATTCCAAACCCATCCGTATCCGTAAAAAGTTGGGTGCGACTCTGACATTGACGCGTATATCATGCATCCGATCGATTTTGACTTTGGCTTATAATCGTTTACCTACCTTGTATCTATTTACAACTTACGACCGTCGAAACCGCACACACTCGCACCAAAAAAATCCACAAAAAAAAAAACACTGCAAATTCGTAGATAGTTACAACAAAGTTGCAGTGGAATGCAAAGTCGAAAATCGGATCGCTGGATAATGCCGCCCACAAGCCGGGAGGCGGGGACAAGAAGATCGAGACCCTGAAGATGGACTTCAAGGACAAGGCCAAGCCGAAGGTGGGCTCCACGGTGAACGTGAAACACCAGCCAGGTGGCGGTGACATCAAGGTATGTAGTTCCCTCCTCCACCTCCTCGTGACCTCTCACCCCTAACCCCAAAACCAACGATTCATGTTTGAGTTTGACCCAGAGACGAGAACGAGTTCGTTCATATGTATTGATTTTTGTAGCGGTTAAGTATGATTTCCGATTGCTGTTGGCTTTTGTTGGTTTTTGGATGCTCCACTTAAGTTACCAACTGGCATGGGCATTGGCATGGGCCGCATCTATTCCAACTATCTGTTTCTCTCAGTGCATGAGCCGCAATGTTCTCTTTACTTTAGTTTTAAACAGCATGCTGTCACGTTTAACCTCCTTTTGAAGAGAATCAAAAAAAAAAAAACATATAGAAACTAACACATAGAACACCCGAATACCGATACCTTGAACCACTTTCCAGAGCTTCGATAGAAAGATGAACATCATCTATGGCGAGGGCTCCAAAATAGTCAGCCATTGCGCAAATGACAAGCGCCTGGATCAGAATTTGTATAATGAAGAGGAGTAGTGTTTAGTTGGGTAGGTAACACCAGCCAGCTGTACATACATAAGTAAACCCGAAACATGGTGCTAAAACGAAACCCACCCACCTAGCTTAGTTTTTGGGGTCAGCATTGTAAATTTCCCAGAGGGAGAGCATTACGTTTAGTTCCTAACCATACCAAAAACCACTCTGAATAATTGAGAATAAATTATTGTTTTTCCAATCCTTATTTTAACAAACCGAAACATGTTTAAACAATATTTTGGAAACTGTATTTTGTTTTTAACTAAACCATTTAAACAACGAATTCGAAGGATAACAACCCCAAGGAAGTAAGTAGTCGTGATAACTATTTTTCTCTGTGTAATACGTGTGCTTTTGTATGAAGTCTTAGATGCATCATGTTTTTCCTATTTTTCTGGTATTTTTGGAACACCTTATGCAACACCTTTTGAGATCCCCAGTTCACTGCACTCCGTAGAGTATTTTTTGTACATTTGATGTAATCCATTTGTTGCGTTCTGTGCTCTGCTGTTTCTGTGTGTGAAAATTCCAAATTTCAGTTGTGTCCCCCGATTGGCCGTTGTCGTGTGTCCATAATAAACCACTCGCAAATGTCGAATATCTAATCGAAATTCCCCCCAATGCCGATATGAATGTGAAACATGATCTTGCTAATTGTTTTCTGTACGTTGCCGGTGCCGGTGCTACTTTTCAGATCCAAACGCAAAAACTAGAAATTAAGGCACAAAGCAAAGTTGGCTCTTTGGATAATGTAAAGCACAAGCCCGGTGGCGGTGAGAAGAAGATTTTCGATGATAAGGATTATTTGAAAAATGTTGAACACTCTGTTGCACTGACAACACCACCAACACAGGTAAACAACGTGTACATAAGCTCAAAGTAGTTACGTATGATAACTAGAACTTAACCTTAGCCCTGACTTATTACTAGACTTTTCATTTCATTGCGAAATCAACCAAAAGTAATCGATACAAGTATTATATATATCCCATTTTGTGTTTACTTCGAGAAATTCATTTTTATGTATCCGTATTTGTAATTGATTGCGTTGCATTTGTGGTTAACACTTTATGGTTTAAGTTCAGCATCTAACAGAGCACCACACCCCAAAAATAAAGCCCACACAACACCCAACCACCCACACACACCCACCTTAAACCGCTTTCAGAGAACTCCCTCCAAAATATAATCCGTTCATGGGGAAATTGTACTTAATGAGAACTAACATTTGGACAAAGTATTTTGGCACTTTTAGGTCTTGAAATGTATCCAATGGTGGGGTTTTGATATTTATTTCTTGGAGGTGGCTACAGAAATCTCTAGAATTTGGATATTCCTTAAGAAACATGTAGAGATTTCTAGAGATCTCTGTGGCACCCTGGATTTTTAGTAACGTTTGTTTTAAGTACCTTTATTTTCTATAGTTTCTTTGGTTTGATTACCTTTAGTTTACATTTAAAAATGAATTTCTTTCAAACTCAAACTGAGATTCATTGGCAAAAGCGCTTTCCATCCATGTGTTCCCGAAGTGTTAAATGATTTTACACGCAATTCTCTTAACTATTATCTTCTCTCTCTTTCTCTGTTCCCCCTTCCGGCTAACTGTAGTTTGCGGCACAAGGGCGCTTGATTGCCACGATCCATCTAGAATTCGGTCTCTGTAACTCAGACTGTGTGTGTAACAATATCTTTGAGTCGCTTTTTAAATGAACTCCCTAGCTTTAACTAAGACATCCATCAACTACTGTACTGTACCTAAAGCCAAACGATATAAACTGAAGCAGGACTAAACCGAAAGCAACTAAACTAAACTAAACTAAACTAAAAACACAACCGAACTCAACTAGAAAAGCTCAAAGTCTCGAATGAGTTTGCAAGAGTTTCTATTTTAAATTGTAACCGATTGTATGTGTTTATGCAATTTTCAATGGTCAACCCTTGGAAGTTGTATAGATAATGTAAGCTGATCTGCCCAGGAGCAAATCCCTTGAAAGATCAGGTGTATATAGGCCCTGATCTTGGGTAAATGCTTGTGGGCACAGACAGTAGAGCCCCAGAGGCCACAATGTTTGTTAAATCCTCTAGTTCGTAGCGAATGTCCTTTAACAAAGTATTATTTATGGCAAACGGTCAACAACCTTACACTAATTAGGATAGTACAAATTTTGAACAATATACCGATCCGCAATTGCTCAAAGAACCCCGAAACCCAAGAATCGGACCCTGAGGACGGTTTAGCGAAAGGCTGACCAGCATTTAAATCATCATCTAACAACAGTGCTTTGCTCTCTTACACCAAAACAGAATACCACTCAACCATTGACCCCATACTCACATCAGTTTTCAATTAATTACTAACTTTTAAGTGTTTTCTTAATTTCTGTGCTTAATATTTCTCTTTCGTTTATTTTAGGAATATATATACAATTTTTATTAGGCTAGTCATATACGAAACTAAGTGCATTAAATTCGAAATTCGTATACACGTTACGTCCATTAGAGTTATTTCTCGCTATAACTATAACTACTACGTCATATACTCGAAATGCGAATGCGATGCGGTTTTAACCACTATAGAAACATTCGATCAGATCCGATCCGATCCAATTCGTTTCGATTTGATCACGCAAACCCCGTAAGTTAATGTGCGTTGCGAGTTCTTCAAAGATATGTCCGTTGCGTATATAGATAGTTTATATTATATATACCGAATATTTAACAGTGCTGTGATAGACTAACCGAACCGTTGGTACCGATCCAAGCTGATTTGCCAGACCACCTGCATCCATAACGAAAAGAAAACCCAACAATATAGAGCCCCAAACGGTTTCATGGGCATTTGCTTGCGATCCCCTCGTTTTCTCCACCGCATTCCAACCAATCTCATGACTCTAACTCTAACAAGGCTTATGGTTTATCCCTAATAGTTTACCTTATGATTTGTGCAATCGATACGCATTCACGTTTATATTTTTATCTTGAACGCAGAGTCCACTACCATCCATGACGGCTTCTGGCGCTGATGAAAATTTAAATCAACAAAGCTAAATGCCCGAATTGCATGTCGAGCTGAATCTTTCTTTGCAAATTTAAGATCGAAGTGAATTACGAACACTGAACCAGCTAATTTGAAACGTACTATCTAAGCAAAAGCAACACAAAGCAGAACGAGAGTTATGCGATATTTTCCACACACCCTCACATACCAGTTATCAATTACCAATTACCAGTTACCAATTACCAGTTACCAGTAATGAGATCAAACCAATTCGATAGAGGTGCAAGCACGCAACGAGATGCAGATACTCGTACATCTATCTACACCACCACCCCACATAGAAGCGGTATTTGGTATACAAATCGAAAGTATATTTGACTAGTTGAGCAATGCACTCTTTATCATCAGATACAAGACATAAATTATATATCTCAATGTATTACCAGAACTTCATATATACATACAAATATATATATATACATAAAAGTATCTAAATATTTAAGCAAATTATACAAGAATCGTACGAATAAACCGAGTGCTTAGTTGAAAATGTTACACTTGACGTCTAAATGTTAAACGACTAAGATAATGCGACCCATTGATTTGTAAACAGTTTAGATACTTTTGCGACGAACAAAAAGTATAGATGAAAACCAAACAGAACCGAACCGAACAGAACAGAAAAAACCACGTATAAGCATATTTTTACTATTAATTTGTATCTTATTAGTCAAGCGCATCATTCTCACGATTTATTTACACCCTGTTACAAAATGTAAGAAAAATGGCAAAATTTAAGCATAATAAACAAACAAAAAAAAAGCGTTTTTTCATTTACCAAATCTCGGCGTTGTTGCACTTAGTTATTGAATTTCAACAGCCACATATTGTATCGGTTTGAGATAGACAAAAACCATTTTTTTGGAGATACCTAAGTATCTTATTTGGCAAGCCACGCCCACCGCCGCAAGCGTTCCAACAAAGCCACGCACGAGCACACATCCTCTTCTACCTCATTGGATGCATTGGTAATCGAAACAAATAAATTTGATCAAGCAAATTGTAAGTCTCCATTCTCGATTGAGCTACGACAACTTTTTTGCATCTCTCCTACTCGGGAATAAAGATCGCATTTCCTTTCTAAAAACTCTCTTTCGAATCCCCGCAGTATTGGAAGGCGCCGCGCATTCAACGCGCCACCACACTCACCTCGTCCATGTCCCTGCCAGCGGAGTGCCTGGTCCTCTCCGTGTCCATGCCCTCGCTCAACTCGGAGCCCAAGCGTCCCAAGAGCGCGGGTCCCAAGAAGAAGCCCGGCCAGGCCGTCCACGCAAAGCCGTTCCGCCTGTATTGAGTCGCAGGATAGGACATCCCAGCCTCCCGCAGTCGAGGAAGCTGCTCCACAAGTTGCACGAGACGTCACCCAATCGAAGCACTCAGAGATTTGTGCACAAGTTGATATCGAGGCACGCACTTCTAAAAAAACATACATATATGCAGAATACATTTTATCAAACCGTTGATTGTTTAGAACCGAAAAACGAAACGTGGCATTTACAACAAAATAAACGACTATTTGAGAGGCAAAGTTATGCACAAAATGCAGAGTGTTTTCTTTCTTTAAATAATTACAGTATATATTTTCGTAAGTATTAAATCAGTTTTTCGGCTGCTACATCTCTTTTGGCCAAACGGCCTTCGTTTACATTTCATTTACATAAGACTTGCGTTAGATTTTTTATTTATATATGTATAATTAGTACAAAAATTGTCCTGGGATTTCGTTACATCTTAACTTTATCATTATGCTCATTGTGTTTTTGGAAAATTCTGTGCTTTTCTTGGTTTCTTTAGGTTTTGTATTCGTTTTTGATTCTTGTTTCTTCGTTTATTCGAGTCGCGTCACATTTAAATGCAGTTGTTGCCTTTTCATTTACATAATCCTTTTGCTATACTTACGCCGTAAAAGTTGTTTATACAATTCGTTTTTAAAGTTAGGGTAATAAATAAGTCATTATAAAATAATAAACAACAGTTGTTACATTTTCAAAAGACATGGTCAAATGAGCGTCAAGTGATTATGATTATGATTCCGAGGGTCGAGTTAGAGTAAAAAAATGCGCATGCTTGAATATCATAAAAAGTGGCTTTCTCTAAGAGCTCGTCGTCAAGTGAATTGGCCTGATTTCAGATTTGGTAAGCGTGGAACAGGCTGCTTTTGCCCATGGCTACATAACTATAATACATTTAATGGGAAATTAGGAAATGCAGAGATGCTCGTGATATGCGAAACCAATATTTGGATGCGAGTTGGCTGCGGTTCTTATAATTTTCTTCTTTCTGCTTGATACTATTAGTACAATACAATCGATTCAATTGACTAGATTTCTACATATGTAGCTGAATTACATTATTAATTTTTCTGTGGTTCCGATTTTGTTAACAATGTGGTTTCTTTTGTTGCGGGAGGGAGTCGTGGACCGCGACGAACCCAAAAAGAAACTCTTAAGATACGAGAAACTTCACACGAATTTTGGTTGCTTAAGAGCTTCTTAACGGGGCCGTTTGGGGCTTGATACGAGAAATTTGAAACTTTTATAAATAAATATGTGTAATTGATTTGCTGATGAGGGCGCTGCGTGAGTTTTTATGTGAGTCGGCCGTTGTGCCGCTGTACGTGTCGCTTCCGAGGAATCTCTTTAAAGCCAATAACATGCTAACTTATTTACATAACTAAACACTTTCGCTGGCGTCGCTTTAGCGGCTCCGGTCTGAGCACCGCACGCACCGCTTCCTCGAACACCTGAATGAAATCGGAGTTGGGGAGTTAGCCAAGAACGAGAAATGAGTGTGCGTCAACAGCGATGACTTACCGGCTTGAGGCCACGCTGCGTCAAGGCGGAGCACTCCATGTATTTCACAGCGCGTATCTTGTTCGCCAGCTTCTGGCCCTGCTCGCGCTTCAGCGGCGTCAACCCCTGTTCTGCGAGACCGCTCAGTGTCTCTCGATCTTCACGTAAATCGATTTTGGTGCCTGTAATGCGCCAAAAATATATGTACTTCCCGTTTGGTGTTTTCACAACGCTGGCAACTTACCAACTAATATGATGGGCGCATCGGGGCAGTGGTGCTTTATCTCCGGATACCATTTGGAGGTGACGTTTTCGAAGGACGAGGGACTCGCCACACTGTAGCATATCAGGAAAACATCTGTCTGCGGGTAGGAGAGCGGTCTCAGGCGGTCGTAGTCCTCCTGACCCGCCGTATCCCAAAGACCCAACGAGACCTGTATTGTGTCCACTTGCATGGGTGCCGAGTAGTTGTCGAAGCTGTGAGGATACCATTACAATAGTTAGATATTGATCTGGGGTTGGCTGAAAACAAGGCAGATAGATACTCACACAGTGGGCACATATTCGCCGGGAAAGCAGTCTGTCGTGTAGGAGATTAGCATGCAGGTCTTTCCGACTGTGCCGTCGCCAACAACTACACATTTTATGGGCCTTCCGGTTGACATCGTGAGTGCTGAATGTGCCGCTAGCTATAAACTGTGTGTGCTGTGGGCAAAAATAAGATAGAAGATGAATGTCTTCGCCAGTTTAATTCAATTAATTAAGTTCTGCTCGAGGCAATAAACTCGACAGGCCCAACTGACCGTACATTTTTATACAGTCGATCTTCCCAATTTCGAAAAATCCGCTGCAAACAAAAATATTAGGGAAACACATATTTTGTTTAATCTTAGTAAAACTCAATATCTGCAAATTGTTAGCTTTATCATTCAAAATATACAACATATAATTAAAATATAATAGTAAAAAATATTTTATTTATTCTATAACTAAAACCAGGATTGCCTAGGTTTAAAATAATTAAATGAAGTATTTCAGTTATCGAAGTTCGACTGTATATTGTTTAATTACGAGGGACTGCGGTATATCTCTGGGGTGATCAAAGGCAGGGCTTTCAAAAGGTGTGTCCCAGCCGCAAAAAGACAACAACCGCAGACTGGCGGGCCCATAAAGCATAATAAAACAAGAGTCTCATTTCGACTGCGGTGGGACTTTGTTTTCGCAAATAAAATTTTCAAAAATAGCTCATGATGGGCGACACAGACTGCTAGGAAAAAAAAAAAAAAAAAACAAATGGGAACAGCGGACCAAATGGCGACCGCCCCTCCAGCGACAAAGTGGGCGGGGCCGGCCAAATGTTGTGGTGACGCGGAAGCCACCGGCAGACGCAGAAACCGCCCGAAAATAGACACAATTAAGTTCTCATAACCGATTCAATTAAAGTTGAACTGGGGCGCATTGCGCCACATGCAACTAGGGGCGTGGCCGGGGGAGCGGGATGCGATGAGGAGGCCCCGAAAATCTTTTGTTATGGCATAATATCGAATGGGTTCATATTGTTTTACCGTTTTCACCTCCAATCCTTTTCTTTGTCTGGCAGTCGGCGACTGTTTTGTACTTTGCTTATATCACTGTGCGTTCCGTTCTTTTCCGTTTGTTGCGAAGCGCTGGCTCATGCCGCACACCAAAATAATTGATTTACACTATTTCGCCACGGTTTTTACTTATAAATATGTGTCTAAGGGACGAACGCTGCGTTCTCGAGTAATTTTCGTGTTTTATCTTTTTGTTTCCACACAAACACACACCCACCTTTTTTTTGACAGCTCGGCGTCTCTCCGCTCTCTCTCGAGTTGACAAGCAGTGTTGTTAAAGCTTGTGCAGAAAATAGCGATTTTTCAGTTGTTCAATACTAAAAGACATGGGCGTAGGTAGGTCGAATTGTGTAAAAAAAACCCGGTAAAAAATAACTTCATTGCAAAATATCTCTTACACATAGATAATATCAGGTAAATTATTTGATCATTTTTGAAACCCCTCTCAGAAGCCGCAGCCAAGTACGCCCATGTTCTCTTGTTCGCCGTTGTTGTTGTTTTGGGCGGCGAAATGAGCAGATTTGTTTGTAAACTATTACAGAGTGTTAAACAAACCAATTCGGGGTGCAGATACCTTTCCCTGTCAGCTTTGCGAAATGCAGAAAGTGGAACTAAGGATGCGACACCTGCTCGCACAGTTTTGGTGGAGAAGGATTCGCACATAACATTAATTGGCCTAAACCGCGAGCAACAGCGGAACTCTATTGATGCCAACACCGCTGAGCAATTAACCGAAGCTATAAGCCAATTCGAGGCAGATGATACTTCCCCCGTAGGTGTACTATATGGCATAGGTGGCTCCTTCTCCGCTGGTTACGATTTGGAGGAACTGGAGGCGGAAGCACAGCGCGGGAGTCTCAACTTTCTGTTGCGTCACGAGGGCTCCATTGGACCAACAAGGCGGCATCTCCGAAAACCAATAGTTTGTGGTATCAGTGGATTCTGTGTTGCTGGAGGAGTTGAACTGGCTCTCATGTGTGATCTTAGGGTAATGGAGGACACTGCTGTCCTGGGATTCTTCAACCGACGCCTAGGCGTTCCCCTTAGCGATGGTGGAACTGTTCGCTTGGCCGCTGCTGTGGGCTACTCCAATGCATTAGACATCATTGAAACAGGGAGGCGCGTCTACGCCACGGAAGCCAGGCGAATGGGTCTAGTAAATCGAATTGTGGCCACGGGCACAGCTTTGGGTCAAGCCGTCAACCTGGCCTTCTCCATAGCCAAGTTCCCAATGGCTTCCTTGATGCACGACAGGAATGCTTTGCTGGAAAATGCCAATGCCTACAACAAACACGGTTTTCATGTCGCCAGCTACAACGAAATCATGAATGTAACTTCAGACATGATTACAGATATGCAGGAGGGCGTAAAGCGCTTCAAGAACTGTGAGTTGTTATTGAATCCATTATCTTAAAACATATTTTAATGTATTTATACTCCCGTTTTATTTAGCTGAGACAAAGGGCCCCAAAACCGACTCGTGGCACATAAAGGAAAAAACCATTCCAGATTGGGAAAAAGCCGAAATTGAGATCGAAATTCAAAAGCAGAAGACATGATACTGCTCCATCGAAATATTTTTAAAATCTCCGGATAGTTGCAATTCTTTGTTGATATTTATAAAACGAAAGCCTTTATTCACGTAAAATACATTTATTTAATGATTTATGTAGTTGACCGCCTAAATCGTTTACGACTCGCGCTTATTTCAATATTCACAACAATTACAATAACGAATTTTCCTTGAAATTAAGCCTAACTACCAAAAAGAGTTGAGAGGAAAAGCACAAAGTTATGTATCCCTTGCTGTCGATCGATTCAACATTCACAATTAGTTTACACATATAAAAAATATGCTAGCGTTAAGTAATCGGACTCGTCCTTTTACTCACAATGAAGTTTTTCGAGTGCTGGGCCAAGCGGTTTGCTGGTTTCGCCAATATGTCTTAGATCTAGGAGTTAACGAATGGAGTTATTGCACTTAAATCGAGTAAAGCAAGAAACGAAGCTCTATGCAAAAAAGGCTGCTCTTGTACAAACTAGTGTTAAAAACCGACTGATCGTTAATCGTGTTATAGTAGTTTGATTTAAAATACATCGTACGTCGTCTACGCCTAACATTTACACTCGGCTACACTTAATCCAAAAAATTTGTCATACAAATATTGCACAAAAATGGATCGGACTGTGAGTTTGCACATCCATGTGCGCACTCGTAATTCTTTGTGCTGCACATGGCAAAACCTTCAATCAAGTGGTGGTACGTGTTCACATACATAATCACTAAAGTACGGTACTCGGAAACCTAAAGACCGCAATACATATACAATATATACAAATTAAGAAGCAATCGTCCATCCGCCGTGTCTGGTATAAAAAATATATATAGCGTAGGCCAAAAAAGCAATTGCTGCAATCGGCTGGCGACATTTCTGTAGAGCCATGCCCGTTAAATATGCGGTGCGATACGATAACTGATCCCTCGATCCTCGATTACTTAAGTCGCTGTGTCACATTGGCCAGGGCCACGGCAAATGCCTGAAGGGCGGAGAATGGATACTGGAAATCCAAGGTGTAAGCGTTGCCATCAATGCGTCCAAATTGCATGACCTGTAATTTCAAGATGTTATTTACATAAGTGAGTTTTTAGATTTATTTCAGAGTCTGCACACTAACCTGCTTGCCACGAAACTCAATTTGGAAGTTCTTGGCCGACTCCTGGGTAACTCGACCCCCAAAGTCCAGCTGGTACACTTGGCTCATCTCATTCCACATGGGCGCCTTATTGTGCATCACAAATTCGCGACGCACTGGCGCCGGATTGGCACAACTGGCACTGCCGTTCGGTTCGATTTTTCCACGCTTCAGCTGTGGATAAAGATTTTTCCATAAAAATAATTTAAGCTGAATATTTACATCAAACAAAATAAAAAGAACTGAAGACTTGCCTAAACGGTAGAGATTTTCTATTGTTCCTTAGATATGTTATGTTTATCTCACCTTCTGGCGTAGTTGCGCCTTTTGGAATGTCTCCAGGTCGCGGTACTGTTTGCCGTTACCCGCGTTGTTGCTCTCCTCCCCAGAACCATTTGTCTGATTGCCCTCGTCATCGGAGCTCTCGATGATGCTTTGCTTTTGCGCTGCCGGCGGTTTAAAAGCGGTGAATTCAATATGTGGCGAATGGGGGAGTTGCTCTGCTGTCGCTTATTCTTTTTGCTGGCCGCCGGCGATGCTGGGGAACTCCTTGGCATCCTTTGAGGGGTAGATGGAGGCGTCAGTCGACCCTCGTCGAGATCACGCAGACGGCTTATTATGTTCTCCAAGGTGGTGAGAGCCTGTGCAAGATAACCATGAGTATCGCTGCATAAAATTGAATAATTCACATTTTGGATACCTGAGTGTGTAGCGAAACCGATGCCTTGGCCTCCACTGGCGTAGCCTCCACTGCGCCACAAGCTGCTCCAGTGATCTCCGGCTGTTGTTGCCTCTCCAAAGTGCTGGCATTGCTGGATCCATTAACTTGGGCCTGAGTTGGCTGCTCTTTGCGCCTCCAACGAACCTCGGAAAGCTGCTTCACAAAGCTGAATCCATTGTCCTGCTTTCTACCGAGCAAAGGTGTTGAGTTCTCAGTGGCCGCCGTTTCCTTGCTGCGTCCGATTCCAAATCGATGTTTCCTCGTAAAAAGTGGCGAGTCTGTGAAGCTGGTAATCACGTCGAAGCGTTTCTTGGGTGCCGGCTTTGCTTGCACAGTGGCCACAGGAGACTCCTTGACCGGCTCCACCGACGCCACAACGGAGGTAATCTCATCCAGAACGGAACCAGCCGAGGGCTGGCACCGCTTGCAGGCACTGCTGGGATTCATGTTGTTGCGGCACTTGAAGCACAGCGTGTTGGCGGCACTGCTGCAGGCGCTGCTGTCGGAGATCTCCTGCAGCTTCCGCACCACCTGCTCGTGTTCCTTGCTAGAGAGCTTCGTCTGCAGGGACAGCAGGTCGCACGAGTCCAGGCTCTTGGATTTCCCAGTCTGCTGCAGCTTGTGCCGTCGGGCATCCTCCTGCTGTTGCCGTTTCCGTCGATTCCTGCGCTTGTCAACCAGTATAAGCCGTTTGTTGGGAGCATCCTTTCGCAGGGCGGACAGTGCCTCATCGGATGGCGTGATGGCCACCGAATCCAGATAGCCAACGCTGCAACTGCGCGTGATGGAGTCCGGCAAGGCAGGTGCTATCGAAACCACCGTCGGCGTGCGCTTCATGCTGCTGCTACTCGGCGTTGGAGTTGGCGACTGCGTCTCCTCGTCGATATACAGCATTTCCCTTCGCTTTGCGGTGGAGGAGGTGGTGGGTGCCATGCACTTTACCCGCGCATCCATGCGCTCCAGATTCAGGTTGAGATTCAGCGGCACCGGATTCACGTGGCTGTTGGCCGAGCGCACTGGCTCCGACATCAGGGCGTTCTTCACCTGAACCACATTGTTCGCATAGTCCGCATTGCTTGAATACGACATGAGGGTGGTTTGTCCAGCGGCGGGGACAGCCGGACGCTCGAAGATGATGTCCGAGGGAGCCACTGCATTCTTGGGACTCTGCAGCGTGGGCACTGCTCCATCGCAATAAAGCGGAGAGATGGCGTGACGCGACTGGCAGCTGGAATTGGAGCTAGACCGACTGTAGCTGTTCTTGAAGCTACTAATGGTCTTGGGTCGTGTGATGGTTTTACTGCCGCTGGGACCATTGGAACCATTCGAGGGTGCCTGGTGCAGGAGCACAGTGGTGGACTGGCAGCCCGATGCCCCCGCCTCCTGCGACTCATTGGAGGAATCGTCATCGTAGCTCTCCGCTCGCGCCAAAGGACTTATGCCCGCGGAGGAACTAGCTCCCCGTTCGCTGCCATTCACAGTCAAGGAGTTCTTGTGCCGCGCCAGAATTCGATTGGGACGTGGCGACATGGGCGCTATCAAGGGAGCAGAGGCTCCGTCGGTTAGACGACGCTGTGGTATGATCGGTGGCTTCAGCGAAGCGCCATCCTGAGCGGTGATCACATTCACCTGCGGCACTGCATCGTGGTGATTAACCTGCTGGTGCTGGTGATGCTCGTCCTCGTCCTCGGAGAATATGTTTGGATTGAAGCTGGGATCGGGACCAGGTGGAAAATCGTCGCGCAGCTCGGTGATGACCAGCGTCATTTGACGCGGCTGCAAATGCAGTAGGGACGTCTTATAAGTTACTTGGCCTAAATTGGCTGGGACGGTTTTGGCAAGTCCATGGATCTTGAACTTGGTACCCCAAATGTTGGATGTCACCTCCACCAGCTTGACTTCCTGCTTGAGAAAACGAAACGAATCAGTGATGGCGTGGATCTTCTCTTGAAGAGAATGTAACCTACCTCCGGCAGTGTGTCCACATAAGCCAGTTCATCCAAGCTGTCGGGATCGTTGGTTCCTCCGCCTCCGGAGGAGCTCAACCGGTCGCCCGCTTGGTGTCGCCTCTTTGGACGCACTCGCTTCTTGCGAGGAGTTCGTGGCGAACCGAAGCGGGAGCGCTCCTCGAAATCGCTGTCCGAGGAGTCGGTGCGTCCACTATTACCCGTGGTGGTCGACTGACTGGAGCCCGATGAGCTCTTGGCCTCGGCGGAGTATTGAAAGTATAAGGGGGCATCTAAAAGATTTATATTTATTAATTGTTCTATTATTATATTGTTATTATACCCACCATTAACCTGAGGATCGAAGATTACAAACTCGGGACGAATCTTGGAGGTGCGCTTGCCCTTCAGGAGAGGCACCAATCCACCCAAGTACTCCAAGTAGAGCGTGTAGCAAGTGCCGGAGCTCAGGTTGGAGTCATCGTCGTGCCGGATCATGGTGCAGTGCAGCCGGGTGGAGCAAAGCGGTGGTCGCGAAACAAAATCACGCAGCGACTTCAGGTCAGGTACACAGCACTTAAAAAACAAAATAAAAGTTTATTAATAAATCTATCGTTAAGATGGTATTATTCTATGTATTTAATTAATAAATTAAAAAACAAAATAAAAGTTTATTAATAAATCTATCTTTAATATGATATTATTCTATGTATTTAATTAGTAAATAAATATAGATTTTAATATCATACTTTTTATCTTATATACAACTTACTCTTATCGTTTGAGCAAACAGATTGCCAATGAGAGACTTAATCCTAGAAGGCAACGGCAGCAGGGGCAGCAGCGACTCGGATCCGACGCTCGCCTGGATCTCCAGCCGGCAGAGGAGCTGCAGGGAGGCCACCCGCCTGGAGACCCAGGCGATGTGGACCTGCGTCCCCGTGGCGATGAACAGCCGCTTGTCGTTGTGGCCCCAGGTGATGGCCGAAACGGTGGCGCTGCTGCAGGGGATGTGCGCCTGATACAGACACGTGCCCGTCTCCGTGTAGAACTTGACCAGGTTCGTGTAGCTACTGGGCGTGCCCATGTCCTCCGACTTCGCGCCATCCAGTCCGGTGCGCAGGGTTCCAGCCACGGCTAGTAGCTCCCTCGAGTTGCTCCACTCCATGACCATTCCCAAGGCGCCATTAAGGCATGTGTTGATATGTGCGGGTGAGACGTCGTCGAACGACTTAAGCAAGTAGATATATCCATTCTGGAAGCTAACTGCCAGGACAAAGGAGCGTTTGGCTAAGGGAAAGGGAATAATATAGGATTTATCAAGTTAATTGAAGTAACTTTAAAGTGGCTCTAAATTACTGACCCGCATTGGTTACACCTGGCTCCGCTTCCTCGCCCTCCTCCATCTTGAACTTCTCGCATGACCAGGCCATCGAGGTGATGGGCACATCGTTGGAGAGCTGCACCTGGGACACCATCGCTCCATGGACATCCATCACAATCACCTGACCCTGAGTGGTGCCGAAGTACACCTGCTGATCGTCGGGTGTCCAAATGCCGCAGGTGATCGTGGACTCCAGGTTGAGCATGGAGGACCAATATCGCTGACCCGCCACAGATCCCACCAAAACGAATCCATCCTGGTAGCAGATCAAAGCCATGCGACCATCGTGCGACCAGGAAAAGTGGGTTACTGGCGTATTGCGATCGTTGATCAGTTCGATGGACCAACGGCCCTCGTATTTGATCCACACAAAGATGATGCCTGAACTGTCGCAGGAGGCCAACTTTTGGTAGGGTTCATTCCATTTGACCAGGATTACCTAACAAACAAATATGGCTTTAAGATTTCTCATTCATTTTTAGTTAATTTTTCTGCGAAACTCACATCCGATCTGTGCCCTCGCAGGTTGTAATTAGTCCTCAGCGGATAATCCATGTTCTTGCGGCAATGCGAGGTGGTGAAGGTCACCCCAACAATGCCGCGCACATTGCCCGTGGCCAGCCATCCCTCCTGGTAATAGTTGGTGCGGTTTAGCTTCCATCCCTCGTCCTGGAAATGGGGAAAGAGAAGAGAAGCCCGTTAAAAAAAAGGATGTCCACAGCTGCCGACAGCTGGTTGGCAGGTCGCCTAAGCAGTCGCCAATTGCGAGTCAAGTGCCCGCTGCTGGCTTGTAAAATGGATTACCGGAGGCTCAAAGCCCGGTCCTCCGTCCATTCACACTTTTCCACCATCGACAGCCGGCCGGTTGGCTTGGCAAATATGCTCCACTTTCTGACTGCATCTCTTATTCTTTGAGCCGCTCAACCTGCCAGCTGCCTTTTCACAGCCCCGGGCGGGATATTTTCACTCAATCCATTTGAGTTTCCAGCAACTAGCGAGCCGATTGGGGTATGATAAATTTATCACTATGGTGACAAGCACGGATTTCAGCTTTATCTAAACTGCTTTTTCATAAGGCATTTCGATCTATCCAACCCGTTTGAGATTCTTATCACAGTTCTTACATTTCTTAATTGAAATTAACCATTTTGAATATCTAAAAAAAACGTACAGAGAAAAGGACCGCAATTTCCTAATTTTGTTATTCACCTTAGTTTTCCTCAGTTTATTTCCCTATCGACCAAATTTCCTTAGCGATTTAAACGACTATTTGGCTTGTGCAATCAAAACCACAGTCAACACGTAAATTAAACGAATTTTCTTGTGTAAAGGTAAATGAAAACTCGCGCTGCAATTCCATTTGGGGTTGAATTGAAACCAATTATGCCATCCAATTAACATTTCAAAAGCTTGCCTTCAGTCATCAGTCAGTCGAGCATTCAGTTGCCAACTTTTAACTTGGTTTGTTTGCCTGCTGCGCCTTTCACTCTGCGGGCTTTCTTCTTTGGCAAACTCTTTGCCACTCTGCCAGTTTATCAACTGCAGCAGCAGCTCGCAGCAGCTGCTACTGCAGCAGCAGCACCTCCTCCTACCGCAGTGCCTCCTGCTGCTGCCTTTCAATCGTCCTTCTGTTTTACAATTTGATTTGATTGTTGCCTTTGCCGTTGCCGTTGCCGCCCTCTCAAATTGATTGTTTTTCCGGGCGGTGCTGCTGCTGCTCACAAAAGCTTAGCCTACATTTTGGGGCGCTCTTTCGGCTCGACAACGATAAGCGGCAGGAGCAGCGAAAAATATTCCAATTTAAACCAAAATTTTGGGCTCTTTCAGCATTTTGGCTAATCCCCGCTAAGCCAAATGGGCGCTCTTCGACGCCCAAATCCAATTTGTGGGGCATAAATTAAAATGCCGCCGCAGAGGCAAAAACAAAAATTACAACGAAATTCGTAATTTCCGCTTCGGACAGCGGACCTTGCCGGGCGTTAGCCAAGTTAATTGCTTTATTGGCCTGATTGATTGGTGTGCATATGCCGATGTCCTTGCTGATTCAATTATATAATTGGAGGCACACACACACACACACATACATATGCGCACACATGTCGAAGATCCATCGCCAACCCATCGAACGGCTCACTGCCTCATTATGGCACAATTGGGGAGCACATCAAGAGAACGCTTGAATGGCAACAATTATGAGCGGTCATTCGGCATTTCTTTGTGGAGTGTTATTAACCTTTCACTGGGCCACTTGAACCGGATCTGGTCCATGCTCTTCGCCAAAATAGATGCACTCGAGCCACTCGACGGCAATGGGAATTTTGCATTTCGCTGTGCATGCTCGAGAGCACTTCAGTTTAATAAGTATATCACGGACCAATAAATTGCTACAATGCCATCAGTAGAGCGCAAAAAGGAATGCGTTTGGAAAATGTGTTTGGGAAATTCGGGGCCCAATTGAGTTAGGCAGAGTTTGCTCTGGGCATTCAAATGGTTTAAATTTCCGTTTTCACTTTGACTAATGTAAATTTCCCTTAAACGCTGTAATTTCATTTGCCACACAACAACAAATAATCGCAGCAACAACCAGCAACCAGCAACCAGCAACATCAGCAACCAGCAACATCGACCAGCAGCAACATCAATGTCAGAGCTGCGACATCAAGGCAACGCGGCGTTGACAGCCTCTCACTTTGGCCAAGTCTTTTGCTCCTGCCTGAAATGTTTAAGTGGCTACTTGTAACTTGTTAGCCGTTTGCCGGCGCTGACATCTCCAGCCCGCACTGGCGTAGAAAATTACCTGGCAATCTCTCTCAGTTTTCCGGCACATATTAAAATCCGTTGCGCAAAACTTTATGGTGTTGGTCTGGCCCAGAAGAACATGGGCCTAAGGCCCACCTAAAACCAGATGCCTGGCTGCGATTATGCTGCAGTTGTGGACGCGCAGCAACATCGCCTCCATAAATTATGTTGCTGCCATTTGGCACACGAAACAGCATTTTCGTGCTGCTCCATTTCGCGAACACGGCATACGCATTTAATTAAAAAAAAGCCATTTTTAAGGCGGGCACCTGACCGACCCTCTGCACTTCCCCCACTTGCGCACATTAACCATAATTGCAATTCATTATGCATGCCAATGGCAACCCGCGACGCATTCGCATCCGCTTCATTATCCTCATGGACACGGGGCTAATGGCTAAACACGCGACTAAATGGACAACTAATGCTAATAAACATTTAATGCATTAAATATCTGGGCTAACGCTTCACAAGTGACCAATAGAAAATCAAAATCCTGCCATTTACCAGCCAAAATAAACTTGAATTAATTATAAAACGATTTTGCGATTATGTAACGATGTTAAAGAGCTCGCTAATTAAAAAACGATGCTGATAAACGTTTATTTAACATTTAACTTTTACAAAATAAAATTTAAATTACAGATTTAAATTACAATTTGCCAAACTCAATGGCCAAGAAATGTAGCTAAATAGGCATTTAAGGCCAATTAATTTGGTATGCCAATGCTTGAACGCCAATATCTGTTTAAAATATATTTAATGAATGGCCAAAATGCAATGTATAGCTTTATAGAGCTCTTCAGCTAAACACCAATCCAATAAATATTTAATAAATGGATTCTTTAGCGAAACGCAAAACAAGTGGCCAATATAAATACATAACAAGATAAAGAGCTTATCAGTTTTTCTAAGAAATGTTCAATAAACACAAGCAAAAATATGTTCAGAAAAGTTTTTTTTGCTAAACACGCTTATGCAAAAAAAATAAACTTATATTGAGTAGATTAATTTTGAAGCAGAGAGTGGGTTGCGTTTTTATCAGCTTTAAAAAGCCTTTTATAAATAATTGGAGCTCCCATGAGAAAGTCAAAGAACTCTTATGCAAAATAGAACATGCAAAACGGTGTATATATAGATTCCAATCTATATATATATCTTTTTGGGCTATTTTAGTGCCTTTCTGCAGCCAATTTTAAACGCCATCCCGAAGGCTTTTGTTGCCCGTGGGCTTATTTTCAGGTTCGTTGACAAAGAGTTCAAAGTACCGCCTGGACAGCCAGCGAATCCATTCGGGTCAAGTGCAAAACCAAATGAAAACAACTTGGAAATGAAAAGAGAACTGCTCGATTGCCAAAGAGTTTCGAGAGCATTTCAATTTTTAGCCACTCGTTTCTCAAACATTTTCTCTCGGCGAACGAAAGTGAACTTCCGAAAAACTGCGACGATCCATCAGCACTTGGTCTCAGTTCCCAAAGTTCGTTTGCGCGACGCGTTTGAAGATCTCTCTGCAGATATTTCTAAAAATGTTCTAAGTGCTGAAATTGAAACAAAGTCCCTAACAAGAAATGTGTGCGAAATTTTTCTGGCTAGGGCTAATTGCCTGCCTGGTTTTGGCAAAAAGTGGAGACTGTTTCCAGGCGAAACGGTTCTTCGGAGTGGGCAAAAGGATCGATGGGGACCAGCTCCTGGTCAAGGATGTGCTCTACTCCCGTCCTGCCGGCGTCGATGAATTACCCCGAGTGACTTTTACCTACGAAATCCAGGAGCCGATCACTTGCATTGAAATCTATTCGGAGGAAGTGAGTGCAATAGTAAACATTTCTTTAAAAAACACTATGAAATTTTCAAGTAATTGACATTACTGAAATAGAATATACATTTTCAAATGCAAACATCCCAAAAGTTATTATTATGAAAACAAATTCCATCAGAATATGGTTTTACGAAACAAATATTTTTGTTTCATGAACTAAGAAATCGTGTATTTTGGGTTATGAACAAGTGAGCGATATGTACGGATACTATAATGCGGCTGGGCATTTGTCGCTGACCCCTTGTTGTGTTTTTGTGTGGTTTTTTATTTTGCACATGCCCGTACTGAAAATAGAAACTGAAACTGACGTTTTTTTTTCGTCACGGCAGCCAATGACAAGTTTGGCCCATAGATGTATTTTTGTATCCAGTGTTTGGGGCTGCCGGGCCATGTTTACTATATCTAGTCGCCTATATATTTTCATAATTTTGTTTATTTTTTTTTTGCCCTAAAAATTGATTGGGTTATGAGCTTGCACAAGTGAGGTCCGTTAAACTTTAAGTATTTTATACATCGACATCTGGGTCGATAATTGGAAGTAAAATTAATGTATATATTGTATAAGAAAATCGCATACTTTGAAGCCAATAAAAATAAAATAGCGTGAGGAAATGTGGCAATTTGGCAAGCCGACAAGCTAAATGGGCAAAGGAAGTGGAGGAAAACAAGTCAAGAGTGAATATATATAAATTCTAGAATACACGAATGAATGCAAATTCAATTTTAAAGGCAATTATGACGGCGGATTTTCCTCAGAAAATGTACGAAATTCTCGTAAATCATCTTTGGCAAAGTACATATAGTATACGTTTGTCCGTGAATCTGATTGTCAGCCCGAGTAAACATCTCGAAAAATGTGGCAATCGTTGATGGATAATGCCGTGATGGTCACGCCTGATTGGGTCTGTCCGAATTTGAGGAGATTTCTTATAAGGTTTCCCTCGTGTTTTCAGAACATTTCGGCGGAGGTAAGATTCAGCCTGGTGAATCATCAGATTGTGGGCTTGGTCCAATTGGCGGGTGGCAATCAAAGCTTTGACCCCTCAGTCGAAGTAGCCACCGTGCCACCAATAAGCGGATTCGACGTTACCATCATGGTGTTTGGCCTAGATGAAAACGCAACCATATTTGATCCCTCCCTAATCATCAATCGCAATCAACAATATGAGGGCGACATGGAGCCCTACGAGCAGAGCTCTCCCCAACCAGATGAATATGTCGAGGTATTCGACAACAACAGGCGAGATGCCCTGGAGGTGGACGAGGAGGTTGAGAACCTCTCCGAGGAGGAGGTAGAATTATTTACCGAGGGTCCTCTTGCAATTGATGATTTTGAAAAGCCGGACAAGAACATCGAAATTGGCAACAGGCAGGCGGGTGAGTTTGAAACTTAGATGTATAAAATATGGCGTAAGTTAAGAACTTTATTTTTTAGGTGATCAGCTTCTATATGAATGCTATATGACGGGGCCCGATAACATAGAACAGGCAACCAACCAGTCGGTGACTTTCTACTACATCGACAGCAACTGTATAACATACGTTAAGTTTGTTGTACTTGGTGTAAGTATCTTTGAAGAAATAAATATATATATATATATATATATATATAATAAATATATAACTCTGCAAAGGATTTTCCTACAAAGAGTTACGATATTTACAAGTCTTACTTTAATATTTGTTATAAATATTTTTAAAAAATCTATTTTCAACCGTTTAGAGTTATGATAACAAGACCTCTGGTGCTGAGTACACATCGCCGGTGGCGGAGTACAGTCACTTCTCAAGTGGAACCCTGAAGGCGGTCATTACGCACTTCACAAGCAACCTTTTCGTCCAGATGTTTGTCTACGGTTATTGGGGTCGCGAGGCTCCCGCCGGTTATGTGCCCTTCCTGCCGCCACCGCAGCTTCAGAGGACCGCACCGGGAAACGGCACTCCGCACCTGACGCCGCTGCAGACGATGCAGTTGCTCCTGCTGACCGGCCAGAGGACCACTCCAGCGCCGGAAGCCCACAACGATATCTTGGAGCCGGAGCTGCCGCGGTCCATTCTGCCGGAGGAGATGGTAATCGAGCGGATCGACGATGAGAGCAACTCATCGGCCTTCAGGCAGAAGGAGTCGGGATTGGGCGCCTTGCTGGGCCTGCTGCTCCTGATCCTGCACAACTAGAGCGCTGGGGAGTCATTAGTTAATCCACGGAAAGCTTTATGAGTAGTCTTTAGTCCAACATTCTGGGTATTGTATTTTACGAAATAAACTTTTGGCCTAAGCCAAGGCACACCACACACACACACACACTCTCAAACACTCTTCCGCAAATTGAAAAAGTTGCGGCGAAAGTAGGTCATGGCGTTGGCTTGGCCCCTGACCCCCAATTCCACCGCCCCAATCCTCCACCCCAATCCTCCAGCCCCGCCAAACCGCTCCCACAAAACACTCTCACATGCGCCACCCCTTAGCCCATAAACCAACTCCCTTGGCAAATTATCTGCGTCGGCGGTGGTTGATTTGACTTGGCCGACAAAAGGAAAGGCGGAAAAGCGGGCGAACGGAAAAAGTGGAAATCCAACTGACGACAGCGGCAGTTTTCCCAAAAAAAAAAGAAAACAAAAAAAGGAATGGAACCCACTCCCCATCGAATGTGTTTATTTGCTTGGACATTAAGTCAGACCCAAATGTGTCCTTTGCCTTGGCAATTTATGTGCCTTGTATTTTGTTTCAACGCAGCCGAGAGAAAGTAGCCAAATTGGAAAAAAGGCAAACATAGCTTCCGAAGTTTCGAAAGGCCAGAAATCAAGAGTGCCCGTTCCAAAATAATCCTTTAAGCATTTAAAATGTATCCTAGGGAATCTCACGTAAAATGTATCCTAGGGATTCTCACGTTGCACGTCAAAGAAATCTAATAACTTTTATTTCAATTTCCGGCTAGCAGTCCTGCGGCTGCAATGCTATTTCGTCCTTTGTTCCTTGTCGTTTGCAGATGGCAAGAAATACAAAATACGAAATACAAAATACAAAATACGAAACACAAAATACAATATACGTAATGCTACCTGGGCGTCGCCTGCATCGGCAGTGAGGGGCAGTAAAAATGTCACAGCCACCCAGAGAGAGACCAAGATGAAACCGTAGTGGGATAATGGCATCCACATCCACATCCACGGGGGACGAGGACTGTCCGGCACAAAGGACATGTGAGTGAATGACTGCACCGGAGTTGGCGAGCTTCGCAGATTGGAATCCTGCCGCAGCGAACAGACCCCCAGGGCTCGGCATTCCCGGCAATATTTATGTTTAATTTACAACTGAAATTTAACAATATTCGCAACACTTGCCGCGCTTCCCACCGGCAGAAACTTTAACAGTTTAAGGCGAATCCTGCCAATCCTGCCAGTGGAGCCAGCTTGTGCGGAATTGAAAATTTCTTTTTACGCGTGCGAGCGCTTACAAAAGTTTTTATGCTCAGACATATAATTCTGGAATTATACGAGTGTATATACACAAGCGAATGGGTGTTTTATACACTGATATTTCAGAAATTTTTTATTCAAAATAATTTATATATTCGTATCTATGAAATTCAAGACTTACTTTAAATAAAATGATAGGTATTGATGAACAAACTTGTTTTAAAAGTTTTTAATCTATTTCAAAAATCCGAAACCCATTTTAAGCCATTTGATATTACCTAAGAATTTTTTCTCAATGCTTGTAAGTGTGCTTGTGCAACTAGGCGTGGCATTGTAAACAATATGGATAAGCAGCGCACAAGTGTCGTCCGCCTTCAAGCCTTCTTCCCCCTCGGACAACATGGACTCAACTCGTTCCAAGGCAGGCCAAGTGCACCCAACCCAATCCAATTCCAGGCCCAGACCCAATCCCAATGCCACATCCCAACCAAGGCAACACAAGCCGACGCCACAAGGGGTGACGTGAGCTTTTGTCAATAACTTAATAACTTAAAATATGGTTTAATGCTCACGTAACAACATTTTGCCACTTGTGCCAAGCACACGTAGGTGTGAAAGGCTTGGGTGGTTGGGATTGGGTGGTGTGGTTTCCGAGGAAGGTTGCTTAAGGTCTCATCGCACCACCCTTTTGCAGGCAGTCAAAGCCAAGGAAATCCACGGACCAGGCCGACCAGACAATGCCAATGGCAATGGGAACGGGACTGACTGGCAACTGGCAACTGGCAACTTTTATGGTTGTGCGGCAAATGGTTCGGTTCCTATGGCTTACAAGTGTATACACAGGATATAGTCGTACTTCGGCGATAAAGCTGTATTCGCCTCCTGGCCGTGCGCACGTGCTCCACCTTTTGATCCTTTTTAATGCCACAGCCCAAAAAGTGATATCGATTTTTTTCTTACGAGTACATGTTATTTTTTTTTTGCCCCAAGTTGACTTGCACATGTGCTCGCATTTAAAATAATTAAAAATACAACACGTTTCAGATCTGAGCGCTTACAAGTAAATATTTAAAGGATTTCCCAGTTAATGTGGGTAAACAAAAGGTTCTGTCACTTATTGAGAAACCTGAAAGCAAGTTAAAAGCTTTTAACTTTAATAATGTAAATATAAGTTGTAAAGTCTGTATGCACAAAATAAATGCAAGGATTCAGAAACAAAGTTTCACTCTTAAATATACTTAATTTCATTATTAAAGTAAAAAATTGTATATCCTTAAGTGTATCGCCAGACTGAGTTGTATTTTTTGAGTGCGTGTCCCTGTTTTCCCCATGACCACAATTTTGTGGGGGCAGTCGCTCCACTGCATCCTTTCGGCATTCGGCTTTCGGCTCCAACTGCACATAATGCATTCCCCTCTGTTTTTTTGTGTGCTGGAGACAAAACTCAACTCATTAGCGTGTGGTACCAACTGTGGGCCTGTGAAAAACTGGGGAACGGAAAGGGAGAGGGGGGTTGGGGATTCTATGGGGGAACCCTGCCACACAATGGGGACACGGGGCGTGGCATGTGGCACATGTCTGGCTCACTGGTTTCTGCATTTGAATTTGCATTTTATTAAATTTCAAAAGCTCTTCTCACATGTCCCCATAACAGGCGCCCCCAACCACTCGAGCATCCACCTGAAGCCCCCATTGTTAGACAGGTGGGTGGGTTGGCAAAGTGGTGCCACCAGGGTGGTGCCGAGTGCAAAAGGTTGAGCATTGCATATTTATGCACTTAATAACGCATTTTAGCATGCTCAAGTGCAACTCATCTTTTGTTACATTTTTGCACAGAACAAAAAGCGGGAGGTTGGGTGGAAAACGGGATGGTGGCTGGTGAAAAACAGATGGAAAATGAGCGAAATTCAGGCGAGACAAAGCGAAATGAGTTTTGTCTGTGAGAACAGCCAAATGCTGCCAGTGTGAGTTGACAAATGGAGCATGAGCTCCACTGACATGTTCATATCCAGAATGGATTCTCATATTACAAATATGCTGTCAGCGAAATTAAGAGCATTGTACACTTTAAGAAAAATAAAAACCTTTTAAATTGTACAAAATGCCTTTTTCATTTGCTAATACCCGTATAAGTCTAGATCAGTTTTAATTTCTCTTGCTCTTGTTTTAGGAAACCTAATGGAAAACGAAAATCCCTACAAAGTCGAGAAGCCTTCCAATCAAAATCAGAGCCCTGGGGACTGCAATCAACTTTGGATCCATGCATTCCTGGCCAACGTCACTAACAGCAGTCTAGGATTATGCAATAACAATGGCCAGGCGGTTGCATAATTGATTGATTGAATTCGTATGCAACAATTGGACAGAGATGGCTGGCCACTGAGTGGCTCTCCGAGTGTGGATGTTTCTGTGGGCCTGTCTTTGTGACCGACCATTGTTGGCAAGTGGCAGAGGCGCAAAACACAAAACACAAAAACCGCAGTTCCTGGCCGAAGGACTCGGATCGAAGGCAGTGCAAACAAGCAAACAACGAAATGCTGGACAAACCAATCAATGACACAACTGAAAGCCACAACGTCACCCAAGTGTGAAGAGCCAAGTGGGGATGATTGAGCAGCAGCAGGACACTTGGAAAAAAAATTAGTTAAAGAATACTAATTTAAGTAAATAATTTGCTAAGAAAACAAAGAAAATGTATAACATTTTCCCAATCAAATTATAATTTTTTAAGAATAATTTATTTGTATTAATTCAAACTAAAGGATTTTTATCTACCAAACACACATGATTCTTTTGTTAAGGGGTTAAAACCTTTTCGGGGAAAACGGCATCCTCAAATCCTGCAGTTAATTGATTTCTGTGATGTGAATAATATTTTTTCTTTGTGTATCTAAGGGCCATCGCTCAAGACATGTGTGGCAGCCATGCGGGCACATTAAATTACAGTTTTCAGAGCCAAGAACAAACAATCGAAAGTGCAGACGCGCCTTCAGCGAAGGATGTGGCCGAGGGTCGATGGTTGGGAATTGAGCTTGGCACAAAGGAAGAGCGGCGCCAATCGGGCTTCTTAGAGCCGCGTCCTTGGCCAGAGCGCCCTCTAATTGAAACTGTCAGCGACAGCGGCCTGGTCGTAAATCAGGGCCAGAACGGGAACTAAGCCAAGTCTGTTTCGAGATGTTGCCGCTGCCTGAACAATTAAAAAGTTTTCAATTAACTCGCAGCTACGAAATTGGCACTTGTAATCGGCACCTGTTCAACAAGCGTAACAAACAGAGGCCTGCGGATGTTTTCCCGGGGATTGCGATGCTTTTCGGGGTTTCTGTTCCTGTTTAAATAAGCCCAGCGGGGTGGGGGATTTTGGGGGGTGTGGTGAGGGGCTGGCACTACCACAAGCAGGCACGTAACACATTTATTACGCGTGAGCACGCCGTCCCTTGATGAAAATCTGTGTGTGTGCGTAAATGAGTTTCCAACATTTCGATGCATACTTTCGGGGTGGCAAAAGTTGGGCTTTAAAGACCAAAATGCAAATGCCCGTGCTTTTCACTTCGGTGGGAAAAATCTAGTTTGTTGTGCCAGGTACACACTCGCAGTACTCTTTATTCTACTGAAAAATATTCCAATCAGAGGTTCTACAAATAAAAAATTCATAAAAAAGATCTAGCAGGGATTGGTTCCTCCAGAACCAACTACTATAAATTCATTTTTGGAACTACGATAAAATCAATACAAATTTTATTTATATAAAAGAGCAGTATGCAAATATTCGTGTTTGGTTTTGTAATGAAAAGACTAGTTGGTTGTACCAGGTACTTCAATTGTCAGTTTACTATACAATATTTTTGTAGAAAAATAAATTCAATCAAGTGGAAAAATCAATTTAGATGGTAAAAAGTGAGTAACACAACAAAATGTAACGTCCTACCACCTAAACAATTTTTTAAAGCTTTAAACAAAGGGGTTTTATTTAAAGGCTAGTTTGCAAACCATTTCTATTTGATTGAAAATTAAATAGGCTCCGTAACTCGCCTAGATTTAAGTGCCTCTACCCTTTTCCCAGGCACACACAGTAAAAGCGGAAAAGTGGAAAGGTGGCAAAAGCTGGCCATTATCCAGATCCGGTGGAAATTAACTTAGAGCACGCACCGCCAGCACAAAATGCGCGACTGAGAGCATAATGGTCTGCTGCACATAATTAGCCAGTGGCTATCCGAGGGCTATTCAAGTGGTTTTGTGGTCAGTGACCAGCTTTCAACAGTCGCAGGCTCTCTCTCGACTGTCGCCCTCGCAGAGAGATTGAAAAGAACTCAATTATTTTTTACTGCGCGTAATTAAAAGTCAGCAGCTAGCACACACAAAACGCCGAGGAAAGGGGATCCTGATTGTCCTGTGTCAGTGGCACTGGCAAATATTAATGATGTTAAGCCCTCCTCAAACTGCTAATGATAATACTGCCCTGCTTCCACTACTACTACTTCCACTAATTCCAGCGTTCGTCGACTTCATCAACAGTTGCCAAGTTAATTACGCTAAGTGAACCATTTCAGCTAAAAACCATCAGCTTGAGCTTCATCTTCAGTTTCAGTAGCGTCTTCCAACTTCAACTCAAGTAGAAATTGTTATTCTTTTTGCATTATTAAAAGTTTTTGCACGACGAGGCAAGTTCATAAAAAACGTGGCGTACTCCTGTGCTTGTCATAAATATGCAAAAAATATGCCTTGAAATTTAAATGCCTCTTGGGGAAAAATATGTGTAAGAAAGTCTACAGCGCTCGCCAGAAATATTAAACATATGGAAAGAGCGAAAAAAGTAAGTAAAAAGAAAAAAAGGAGACTCGCGTCCATAAAAGATTCATTACCCTTTTCAGCTTAGAGTTCTACTTTAGTAAGTCGTATCAGATAAATTCCATAGCTATAAGTTGTTTCAGAATCCTGATAATAGCATTACATTTTTTTGCATTCCCAAAACTTTTTCCCACTTCTTTTTATCGTTCCATTATTTAGTAATCATTAGATTTCACTTGTTATGGATTTTGCATAAAGCCCAATCCACCAGAGAGGAAATTATGACGTTGAACCCAGGGATTTCGCTTCGAAAAAGCGACATGTGTGTCATATGCCAGGGAGTCGACTATTAAATTTCATTTTATGATTTCAGCTTGTGTCCTTGTCCTCTGGCATGTCAATTTGCTGCGCCAATTTATGCGAAAATCCCGCGACAGTTGTTCAACCCTAGGAGTGTCGAAAAAGAGAAGAAACCAAATGGATTCACAGGACCCACCGTCCAGTCCTTATTTGTGATGTCTGCCTTTCCTCTAAAGTGTATGCAAACAGACGACTAATAAATCAAGGCACTCCGTCGACGATGACGCACTCCGTCATCAATATTCTATTAATGGCAGTGCAGTTGTTAAAATATTATGACCCTAAGAAAAATTTGACTACTTTTGGTGTGGGGACGGCGGGCACTTAAAAAATCACTTCGAAATATTTCTCGCTTGTTTTAATACGCATTTTCTCGCTAAGATGATTTATGCAGTAAGGAAATGGAAATGAGTGGAACTCCCCAATGGGTTCGAATTTGTTTGGGTTCGGGTTCCAGTTAGGGGGAAATTCCTGCTTATCGCTCGTAAATTGCTGAAAGGCGTAACAAGAAATTAAGCTTGTGGCTTAGCGCACTTGCAACAGAAATGGAAACGTAATCGGAATGGAAATGGAAACGGAAATGGGTTGGGTTTCTCTGTGAGGTGGGGGTTGCATGATGATGGTCCGGAGGGATGGATAGACACGCGTCTCTTGCAAACCTCGACACGTGTCCGTTACCACATAAAAACGTTCTAGAGAATGCACTTAACAAAAAAATGTATTAAAAGGTTAGACAAATTATTAAAAACACATTTTTAAAGGAATATAAATTCTATTTAAACTGATTTAGATGTTTTTAAACATTTGTAAAACAAAATTAATAGCACATAAGTTACTACATAATAATTTCAAACATAGGACCTCTTACTTTCGGAACATCAAATAATTTGTTCAAGTGCACTTGTTTGTGTTGAAAACAAAATTGAAAACTGTTAAATAAATCGCAAACGAGTTTATTGCTCGAGTGGTGTGCACCGCGGCACAAAGGAGAGGTCGAGATAACCAACGTAGCCGACACATCCCGCCCAGCCGACATCCATATATCCCACTCAGCCAACTTATCCAACTCATCCAGCATATCCTGCCCTGAAAAGGACCGCAGACAGACGGAGGATCCACTTGAGGTTGCGTGGGCCGCATTCACTTAACTTTAATTTTGCGCCACGGAACACAAGAGGAGTGGCACGCAAGGAGGCGGCGAGAAGAGCCGAGACAGACGTGATTGGATTTTTATATTCAATATAAAAAGGATTATATGGCATTTGTTGTGCAAGCATTGAAAGTTCATAATGATTGGAAAAGTTAGAGCCACTCAGACGGACCCTTTTTCCGTTTAAGCTTTGCCTTACACGTGGCGTGTAAAATCAATTCCGAGTCCCGAAATGAGTGCAACGTGGCCACTGGAGAGTCAAAATCCAGCGACACCTGCCGCGTCCTTCGGAGGTTGCTTAATAGGTGTATAAATAGCTCCTGGCGGGTGCCTAAACCCCGGGGTGCCTGGCCTAAGCACTTCCGGCGTGAAAATGTTCGGCATATGTAAAATATTCAGAGCCGTACGAGGATTATCTGGATTACGCAGAAAGGCCATGCAACAACCAAACTGAAGCCACTTTCCACCTCAGGAGCTGACCACCATCCATTCTGGCTAATGGCTAACGATCGGGCTTAATAGTTTCGCCTGACAGTTTAAAGTGCCCGACAGCTTAATAGACCTTCCCTCCAGTATTTATTGTATTAATATTGCTCCGACAGGCGTTGCACAAATGAGATGGGAAAACCTGGCCGCACACTTAGGAAAATAAATGTGATTGAGGACTCTTTTATTTTCTACTAAGGTTCTCAAACATTTGCTTAAAGAAAAGTTGTTTCTATTTTATGAAGTATTTTTTCCCTTTAATTTTTTTTAGTGTAGCAGCGACAAATTTCATGTAAATGGCTTGTTGACTGGACAATCGTTAATGACTGTGTACTTACCTCGGGTATATCATCTGGCACCTTTCCCATCCATGATAATGAGAGTATCGTGCAATCGCATTTTGTGTTGATGTTTCGCTCAAAGTGTAAATGCATTTTATGGCCCAAAAGCGAAGGCCAATCAGCTAGTTCCTCAAGTTCTGGTTTTCACTGTAGCTATAGCTGCCCAATGCTGATTTAAGCCACAAACATGTTGCTAAAATAAAGAGAAAAAGGGGAAGGGAATGAGTTTCATTATCGTTTAGTATAACATGCCAATAACTAATTTACGATGAAAGCCAAATGGAGTAGCGGTTGTTGTTTTTGTTGTTAGTGGTGTAGCTACTCGTGTTGCCAATGTTGTTATTATTATTCCGGTTCCTGCTGCTGGTACCTTATCAGGCTAAAACACACACTCACACACACACACTCGCACTAACTTACGGGTCATTGGATGTGCTTTGTACGGGGATTTATTGGTGGGTGGAACGATGTTCCGGCATATGTTCGCCGTACTCCCCCTTAAGCGGTATCAACTTCATCTTGCTCCTTCAAGGGTTGACAAATTGCACCACACACACACACACCCGCAGAGGCATCATAAACACACATTGGCTCACGAGGAACTCACACACACGTACACGACATAATTTGAAGCATGCTTTTCAGGGCACACTAATTGGTATTAGTGGGGAAGTGGAAGTGGATGTGTCCTATCTGCCTCTGCTCCTCCAGTTGCCAGGATAACCCACTCACCCATACACACGCACACCGCTCATAAAAATGCTTTTTACCAAATGGCACACATATTTATACGGATACTTGCTTTCAGAGTTTGAAAAGTTTATAAGGAAGCCGAATGCCTAAGGGACCGAAGTTTGAATTTGTTAATTTTGTTACTCTTGCTCTTTAAAATGAAATTTGAAAAGTTTGATAAGCTCAATATAAGAATATAAAAATATTTAACTTTTAATCGTTGGCTTCAAAACTGAAGTCATTAAAGAGTTAGATGAGCAAACTTTTCTTTAAGAAAAGTGAAGTTGAAATCAATCCATATCTTGTTTATTTTATCGATTTGCAAATACTTTCCCTTTATACCCTACATACCATTTTTAGCTCAACAAAAGAAAAAGACAATAAGTTTTTAAAAGATTGCAAACATTTCCAGAAATAAAACACGACCGCACAAAAATATTACAAATTGTAAAAGCTAAAACGTTGTCAAAACTTCTTCGTCACTCGCATTTAAATTATTGAAAAGTTTTCAGGCAAAAAGTCGAGTAAAGTTGAGCTTGGCTAAGAGCTCTGGGCAAAGGAAAACAATCCCTCGCTGAGCAGAGAGCTAAGAAGAGCCCTCCAGTATGAGAATGTTTCAAATTATGCTTGAATAATTGATATGGCTTGCTGCTGTCTGTTGTCTCGTTTGATGATTGCTTGACTAGCCGGTTTCTCGTTCTCGTTCCCTGCAGAGCGTTTGTTTTGTGTATTTGGTCTAGGTAGGATGGAATTACAGAGAGAAAAAAGTACTCATAGACCTTAAACATTCTATACCTTCTTGACAAATAACTTAAGTGGCTATTAATTTCCATCCAAATAGAAAATGGGCAAACATTAAGATGATATTGCAATATCTTAAAATACTTTTTCCAGTGTACCTGAGCATTGCCAACGGCCGAGTGTGCTTTAAGACGAAAAGGGAAAGAGGGTGGCCGCCCAGAGACAAAAGCACACACGCATTTGCTTCAATTATGTCGTGCGCTTTGTCTGATTGAATTTGACATGTGATATACCATTTTTGATTGCGTATACGCCCCGGGGGCGAGCCGTCATCAGATCCGGGCATCTTACGTCTGAAAAGCCAACTAATGGAATCTTTCAAGAAGGATTGGCCCTTTGCCTGCTTAAATATTGATAAAAAAAACCAACTACAACTCGTTATAAATTGAAGAGTCCTTTGAATTCCATTTCAATAACACAGTCAGACAGAGCGGGTAAAAAAAAAATAAAAACGGGAGGAATGCATTCTCGAGTAGTTCACGAGATGAATGATTGCACATTCACCGAGGGGCACATTCCGAACGTGTTACTTTCGCCACTCTGCGACAGCCAGACAGCCATTGTTCGGCTGCTTTTAAATTGTTCAACGTGCCGCATTTGGCAGCCAACCTGCACATTTGCCACCACCCACCCGAGCCACCACTCCCTGCGAACCACCTGCCTTTCGGCGCTTTCATGCGACACTGAGCACTTTTTAGCCATGTGCGGTTCATGGTCGCCATAACGCGGCGGAGTAACGAAAATAACTGAGGCGGCGTCGGAAGAGCTGTCGAAATGCCAGTCAGACTTCTGGCTCGAGCGGAAAACTTTGGGCAGGTGTGCACTGTGTACTGTGCAGCTGTGCAACGGACACGGCAACCAGGGCCAGACATCATGAAATATGCATTTAACCATCAACAATGGCAACCAGCCTTGGTAATGGCCAAGAGGGATAAATATATCCAAATTACTTTGAACAAGATTACTTAGCGCATTCCAAATGCAATTGTTATTGATGCAATTTACTGCCACAAAGGCTTTATGTCAATAAATCAATTAAACAATTGAACCAATAACCATCGACTCACTATCAAAATTTCAATTTGTTGAACAGCAATTGAATTTGTTTAGTATTTATGCCAATTCTATTCACTCTTTTGCAAACAACCCCCGAAGCATTATACTTGTGCCTAAAATACAGGATTTGTTTCGGATTTGCCATTAAAAGTTAATTATGTGGAAAGGAGCAGAGTCAAAACACACATAGCTGTTCGCAAAGTAAACTTTTAGTTGCCTGTTAGTTGGTTCTCTGTCTCTTTCTATTGCAATTAGGCTGCCGAAATTAGATTGCGTATACGCTCCATAGTCCACAGCTTGCTGTAAGGCGCTTAACTATTATGTAGTCGTAACTGCTGTTGCTCTTGTTGTTACTGCTAACACTGTTTCGGGTAAAACTTTCGCACTCTTCGCTGGTTCGCATAATTTTTGGAATGTGAAAATGGCAGAATGGAATCACACGGTGGTATCTTTTCGTCCAGTTGGATAACCGAAATTTGTTAAACATGTATTTAATTAAAAACTTCCGATTTAGTTTAAGCACTTATCTGGCGCTACTTTCAAATTCTATCTTATCTAAAAACAAGTTACAAAAAATACAAATATAGCCAGTTACACATCCCTTTTTTCTCATAAAATTATAATACCCACTTTTCACTGTATTAACTTAATCCCGACCATATTTACAGCATATTCCAGATTTACGTTTTCTCCCCACTGTATACGTAATGCATAAATGTGTATTTATGTCCAGGCCAGTGGCTTTGCCCCCCACTTAATGCCGCTAAAATCCTGATTTACTTTTTTATCCTTCGCGCATGTCCCTCCATTATGTCTGCGAATTAATTGTGGCAATTTGCTTTTGATCCTTGGGGCACAGGACGGAATTTGAATGCACGCAATTATTTCATTTTCATCATGCTTTTCATCTACCTAACGAGCTGGCATTGTTCATATTTTCTTGTCCCTGTCGCTGTTATTGCTGTCAGCGGTCCGGGAATGCCCTTGAACCGCCTGAAACTAGCCCAGTTGGCTGCTCCTTTGCATACAGAATAATGTGGTATGATGGAAGTGCAGCGGTGCATGCAACAAGACCGACTACAACAAGAAACACACTGAAAAGTCGAGTGGAAGGAACCAAAAACTTTGTGCCCAATTCGGAATTTGTGTGCGTTGCCCTCGACTCGAAAGTTTCGTGACGTTGGCCGCTGGGAAATATACACACTCGTATTTACGTAGCGTTCACATGACGACATGTATCGGGAAGGTATTTATGTCAGCCTTTGGTTTTTAGTTAAATATATAGAGTGCAAAGGCCACTCGTAAATCAAAGGCCTTGAGTGCGGAATTTGCTATTGCTATTTGCGAAATAATTTTAATTACGGAATTTAGTTTGATAAACAAATTTGCCAGCTCTTGTGTTTATTTACTGTCGTACTTGATCATATCTTTTATTTGAATAACATTTTAGGAAAAGTTGTGTGATAATTTTAAAATTGAAAATTGTTATTTATTTCTCCAAAATTTCGTGATTTCAGCACGCAAAAATCTCTTCTTGCAAGATACAGCTTCCCACATGCTAAAGCTATAATTTGTGGCGAGCTACTGTTGCAAAAAGGAAATAATCCTGGCTTTTGCCTTAAGTTACCCTAATTATGTGTCCGCTTTGTTGTGTGCCGCATGCCAGGCAACCAGTGAGATTGAAACAAGTTCAAAGCCCACCTAGCCCCCTCGGATTTTCCTTTCCCCGCAGGGGCGGCAGGGCGCCCAAGTAATTGCCGGGAGTTCAGTTCAGTTTCCACTGCCCATGGGGCATTTGCCTTAATTAGCCACACGCTAGCAAGCACAAGAAATGCGTTTCAAAGGGGACAAAAAATCATTAAAAACTGGTAAACAACAAAAGGCGACACCAAATACGTCGTGCATGCATTTAATTGGCAGATTTTTCCAGGACAACCACTCCCTTAGTTTTCCTTAACTCTTCATTTAAAGCGGAGCTGGAGCTTGGGGAAAAACCCAGGGAAGACAAGAAAAAGCAATAAAATTTTGCATAAATGACGAAATAAATGACAGCCAAGAAAAGCAACATTGACAAATACGCACCCCGTGGGATGGGGGATGTTGGTTTTTCCAGCTCTTTAGGGTGCCGGCTACATCGAATGTCTCTATGTGTGCACTGAGCTTTAATGGTGGAAAACCGATGGGGGAAAACACTGGGGAAAATGCCATATAAAAGCTGACGCTGGGCTCTTTTCCCGGCTGCCCTCCATTGTTCGTGCTTGTTTATTGACTTTCCACGGGGTTTGGGGCAGCTGGGGGTGTGTCGTATAATTTGTTTCTACTTTAACCTAACCCTCGTCCCATTCCCATCGCCTTTTCGGAAAACATGTTGGGGAAAATTGTGCGCCTCGGTGGCGCTACAGTTATCCAAATGTATCTTGTTGTGGTTGTCGTTGTTGTTCTGGGTGCGTTTTTTCTTTTTCCTGGCAATATAAACAATTTTTCCATTATTTCCATTCCGTCGCTACTGCTGCTTCAGTTATGCAAAATAATCAACATGGCAGATATTCAGATATTGGCAAGGCAAAGAATAACACAAACAATAACAATCACGAAAAAAACAAAAAAGGCAAAACCAAAGCCGCCTGTTGTCAATGGCGAAAATATTGGCAAAACATTCGGAAAAAACCGCAAATCGAGCAAACTGCACTTGAACTTGCCACAAAGACCCGCCACATCGTCCTCCCAACGTCAGCTCGAATTATATAATGCAAATCGCGACAAAACACAGTCTGACTTGCCTAGCAAGAACCACTACTAAATAATTATTTAACAAACTGAAACATAATTTTTAGTGTTTTAAGTGTATTTTCAATATTTTTTGGAAACTTAATTTTTCAAAAATTTTTTGAATGCAAATTTTTAATCTGAGAAATGTTTAACGATGTCATACTGTATTTTCGGAATAGGGGGCGGGGTCAACTAAAACGCAGCGAAATAAGACAAAATGTAATGACCTTGGCAGCCAAGCGCTAACGCAACGCTAACACACATTGGTACACATTCACACACACACCCCCGCATTCAAGCACACACAAACTTAAAAATAATTTCTCAAAGAGAAGCGCCAAGCGCCAAGAACAAAAACAAGAATAAGACATTGGCGGTCATGCGTCGGCGTCGCTGCTGCAGTCGCAGTCGACGTCGACGTTGGCAAAGGCATCTAAATTATGCAAACTGAGAAATTGCCGCACACGTTCACATTATCCCGTCCAGCTGACGCCCCATGCAAATGTAACGGTTATGTGCTATATGGCTCAAATGCTTATCGTTTTAGCTGACCAACTAACGGAATTTCAATTTTGGCACGCATTTTCCACAGCCCTTTTATTAGCATTTGCCCCTGATTTCCCGGCGGAGTCATTTCTCGATTACTGAACAGTTTATGCGGTTTATGATTTCCATTTTTCCCAAATACCACTATTTAAATTTCAAATGAAATACTGAAACATTGCAGGTTTTCCAGTTCGAAGGCTCTTTTAAACCTAATTTACTGGCAATATAAAGTATAAATACAGCAAAAATCAATTTAATCAATTGTGTTCGGGATAAAAATTCTTTGGGCAACGGTGGGGCTTGTGCTCGGGTTTCCTAACGAATTTTCCTTTGATATAAAGCAGCTTTCAAGTGCAGGAAAAACAAAACACACCCGTAGTATCCACAACGAAAGCCAATGCCGATCGATTTTCACTGTCATTGGGTGTTTGATGCGGATTAATCGAAAACGTGCGTGGGCAGCTCACTCAACTGAAACTAGAAACGAAACCGAATCGCTTTGAATTTAAGCCGTGTGAGCCAAGCAAATATGGCTAATAAAAAACGTTTAACCAAGGTAGAACTAAAGCGTGAATGTGGGCAAAGCACCTTTAATTAGCCCAGAATTCAGGGAGTTTCTGTGGCGCCCAAGGTGTTGTGCTGATGTGGCCACAACAGAAACTCACCCACATACAGTTAAACTTCACTAGCACAAACTGACACCTGACTGCGATTCTTAAACAATCAAAGATTAAAAATAAGACTATGGATTTAAAAAAAAACTCTAGTTGGAGAATTCCTATATTATGTAAGCTTTAACGTATGTAAAGTAATAAGGATATGTTTTTTCGTACGAATTCTGATTTATGCAAGTTGTCCTGTAGTATAGACATTCACAGTGTCCGTGGCTTTGGGGCCAATCCACCACCGAGTGAGAGAGGCTAAAAAGGATGTTTGCCAGCCAGGGGACAACGGAATTCCGCAACTCACCTGTGAAGTCCCCGCCCCCTCGTCTCTGCTGCTCCTTGAAGTCCTGCTGCCGTGGAAAAACCTGCTAGGTGAAAAGCTGATCCAATCGAATTACAGCTTTTCAACCGAAAAATTGGTGCACCGCCAACGGAATCTCGTGTGTGTTTTTGCAACTGTTTTGGGGCAGACGTTCCCGTTACTTTTTCCCGTTTTCCTGTTATTTTTCTTTTTCTGCTTCTTCCTGAGCTCCTCTCACACACACACAGTCACGGGCGCAGACACACACACTATCGCAAACGGAACGCACATGCAGCGCGGATGGAGTACCGTTAGCACACACTGCTTGCAACGACGCCCGAACATGGACTGCCTGAGAATTTCGAATCCGGAAAGTTTAGCGGAGCACCGCGTAGTCTAAGGGGGGCGCCAAGAGCGCGCCTGCGCATCGGATCGCTCATCCGCATAGTTCTTATCAACGTAACTGTCAAACTGACGGAATTTACGCGCTCCGGTTGTTATTAACGGGTATTGATTTTCTTGTTACTTCGGACAGTGAGGTTACTTTTTGTTAAAAATAATCTTCTAACTATGTCTTATACACTAAACTTTTATCACTTTTCCAAGGTCTTAAAAACTATGCTTTCTACATTTATTTATAGTTTATAAATAAACAAATAAACATCGCAGCGCTGCTAACAGAAAGCTGCAAATGTAACGGTCTGTTATGCTTGCAACGCTTGCGAGGGCTGCACTGCTTGCGACAGTAAAATTTTATTAGATACTTATCGCACACCCAGATAGCAATGGAGGGATGGCAAAAATATATCTAACTCAATTTATATCGATTATTTTTAGCCAAACATATAATTCGTTACCCTTTAATTTAATGAACATAAATGTTGTACTGATAAATTATATTATTTCAACTAAGCCCTTTGAGGTTAATATGTCTACAGCAATATAAATCTTTAAAATTATTTAAATATATATACTTTTGCTATTTAAAATATAAAATAAAAAAGAAAGTATCAGGCAAGAAAACTAATAAGAAAATTTGTTTCGATCCCCGTTGTTTAAAGTAAAACACTTAAACTTCTTTATCTTATTATCATGCTTATCAACATCTTATCGATATTATTGGTTGATCTGACAACCCTATTGGCAACCCTTTGGCCAGTGCTCTGCAGTGCTGTTCAGTGCAACGCTGCCCAGCACTAGACCACCAGCAGATTTCTCGTTTAATAAATTGTCAATAACTTTGCCAATCCAGTCGTTGGATGCAGGTTGTTTTTCTTTTCGCCCGTATTATTTGTTGTGCAGCCGCGAACGCGAGTGTAAGTGAGTGAGTGTGTGCGAAAGTGTGTTTGTGCGGGGCCTTGGATTGCCCCGGATTGCAAAAAGATTGCAAAGAGGCCGAGAAAGAAAACAGGCCCAAAGGAAAATTGTGCAATAGTCGCGAAAATCGAAGGACTCGCAGCAGGACGACGACGGCGACGACGATGTGAAGCTGCAGGCGTTGGTTGTGGTGAAACAAAGTGTGAAATCATGTGCCTGGCGGAGCATCCGCAGAAGCAACCGAACCGGAGCAGCACCTCACCCACATTCAATGCAAAATACAGGCGAAAATGCCTGCTGCTCCTCACGCTCCTCCTCTTCCACGGTTGCTTCAGCGGACTGCACCGCGCTAGCGCCTTTAACTGTACCGCCCACGGCGGTCGCTGCCAGAACGACGGACAGTGCCAGGAGGACGGACAGTGCCTCTGCGCCGACGGCTGGCAGGGTCCGGAATGTCAGTTCTGCGGTGGGAAAGTCCGGTAAGTTTTTAAATAAGTAACTCTCAGAAATCAGATCAGTAGATACAGTGAAACTTCCGGAACTCAATTCCTACTAACAACAATATGGAGACAAGGAGATTTCAACCTCTAGAAATGACCTTAAAAAAATGCGCTGGTGAAATACATACCTACAGTGCAACTTTCATAATATGAACAAATCATAACAAATTAACTAGTTTCATGTTAAAACTATATATCCTTGAACTAAAAACTCTACTAAAAATATGTTTTAACTTTCTAACTTAGTCAATATTATTTTGATACACATAGATAATAATGATGTATACATTACAAATCATCAATATAATATCAATTATTTTTTCCGTTTAGTCAGGGTACCATAGTGATTCACTCCACGTTATTCAATCAGATCTCCTCTACCTTTTTTGGCCCGGCCTATTTGTGTCAGGCAACGGTTCAGTTTCATCTGGTCGGACAGGTTCTTGGCCGGGTTTATCACAACTCTCCACTCTTCACAATCACCCATTTCTCCCGTTCTCTTTCTCCCATTTCTCTCTAAACATTCTTTCACCTGCTTTCCGCTTTCTACGCCTCCTGACGCTTTCATTACGGATTATTCAATTAGTCCGATTTGACTTTGAACTTGTTTTTGGCCGCTGCTTTAAGCCGTATGAGTTTCTTGACAAATGTGTGTATAAAAAGGTGCAAAGCAAGCTTCATTATTTAAAGTCTTTATTCGGATTCAAGAACTTTATAAATCGCTCAGAGAAAGGCAATCTATAAATATTTATATTTAAAAAATTGTTCTCCAGACTGCATTCATGTCAATCTGTGCTCCTATTTTAATAACAACAATATTATGTTTTGCCAAACAATAAGATAACAGTTTTTGCCAGCCACAAAATGATATTTAAAAGTAGAGGTCAAACAGACTTTGTTGTCTTTCCATGCGTGCATAATAATTATATGTGAGAGTTGTCGCCGGGCCAGTTTGGTTGCTCACGTTCACGCTGGCGTCATAAAGCTTATGAAATGGTTTGTTTATGTTTCTTAACAACGGCTATTTGCTCGCGGAGCCCGATAAGCGAGTATTCTATCTTGACATTAATTAAGCCCCCCACCTGCGCTGATGATGGGACCTGGAACTTGCGCACTCGAGCATTGAGGTCACCGTTTCACCTGCCACACCATCGAAACCAGTTTGGTCTACAGACCCCTGATCCCCAATTGCGGTTTAGCGTTGGATCGCAGCTTTTAGCAGGTCATAAATTCCGAAGCTACACACTCGCCCCTTCAATTCGATCAGTGATAAGGCAACGAATGAGTCCGCTTATCAGTTGTGTTGTGTCCGCTTATCGCCTGTGAATTTTCATGGTTCTACTACAGATTCAACTGCCGGCTGCGTTTGTCTACGACTCAGCGATTCAAACTGTTTTGGAGCCAACGTTTTGCCGGCTTTCTATGCAAAAACAAGGCACAGTCAAACTGGTTTTCCCCCACTCCGCACCTCGAATGCATTCCGACCCATTGGCTCCTTTATTCACCTACTCAGGCTCCCGATCCCAAAGCTCCGGCTTCAAACAGTGCGTAAGCTTAGCGCTCGAGTGCACAGAAGTGACTCACCGGCTGCCAATGAGTGTGTAAATATATCTTTGCCCAACATTGATTTTTCGTGGCTATCGCTTGATATGGCCACTGGCACGGCCTGCATCCCGGCTGGACGAGTGTTTACTCAAAGTTTAGAACGGACCGAGACAGCACGCCCACACGACCCAGACTCCTACAGATGTGGTCGCAAAAATAGTAAACATTCTGAATAACTTGCCTTAAAAGACCTTAGATACATTAATAAAAAAAAACCTGTATCTCAAATACAAAATTCATTTTCACAAACTGTCAACCCAAAAAAATCGTTTTCATTTTAAGTGCTTTATAAATCATATGCCAGAATGAATATTATTTTTAATCACCTGTTCTAAATCATATTTTTTGGCACCCAAAACGAAAAAAAAACACATAATAAAGAACAGCACGATGAATATTTTGTCATTCTTGATATGCAGCACACCAAATTGTACTATTTAGATAAGCTTTTTTTCGGCTATCGCCTAGATAAAGAAATAATTATCTGGTAAAGCAATAAATTCGTATAAGTACATTGCAAGTGTTTTCCATTAACCAAAAAGGGCTGAGAACGGGCAATCTATTGCTTTGACCGCAACTGTTTTTTGTGCTATATGCTATATTCAGTACTTATCGGCAGTGTAACGTGAGACGCATTTAGAACGCGGAAGGCTGCCGATTCCACTTTCTCCGAGTACACTGGCTTTGAGAGTTGCTTGTTTTGACAAGTACAAATATACAGCTTGGTCGACTGGGCAAAATGTTGCCTCCAATTAGTAAGCAATAAATAAGGCTTTACTCAAATCTGTGGGAAAATTATACACTTTATTGATTTATTCATCAATTGAATCAATGTGTGTAATTCACATCTAACTTAATAAGCTTTGCGTTATATCATAAATTTTAATATTTATCATTAAGCCTGTGTAAGGGTACAAAGACATAGCCATTTGTTCTGTGAAAGTTTTAACTTTTATCTAGCAGCCAACGACTGCGGAATACTTATATCGCTTGAGTGTAAAATACTTGCAAAACAGAAAATGCACTATAAATAAACTATACTTTGATGAGTGTGACGCTTTTAGTATAAAATAATTAACATTAATTTCGCCAACGGTTCTTCTCTGTTGACCTTTCAATTGAAGAGTTCAACTATTAACCCCGTTACTGCAAATTCAGGCTTAAATTTAATTGTCATGTTTTTAGAGCACTGCGCTTTGTGCTCCGAACAGCTGTAAATTGAAATCAGAGCGGCTAAATCGGGGAAAGCAGTTATTTATAAGCGGATGTGCACACACAAAACACTAAGAAAACGACAAGACAGACAAAGGAGGACTTGGGCAGGCGACTCTCGGATACCCTTATCGAGTTTCAAGCTCTTAACTTGTCACATTCCGTCCAAGACTGTCTTCCCGACATATTCCCACTCGTAATCCCCGCTAGCAGAACAAAAGCTGCCGGACACAAATGCCAGAAGGGTGGACAAGGAACGGCGACTTAATGAGGCTGCCGCGAGCCGCGTCAACAGTTGAGCGGCTTCAGTTCAGTCACACAAAGTCTACGAACCATATTATGGCGATACTCTCACCATATCAATTATAGATTGAAATTGCACTGGCCGGCAAATTCAATTATCTTCTCACAGCATCGCACTATTGGCATTTGCATACGTGCATGTGCAATGAGCGTTGCGCTGCTGCCGCTGCTGCTGCTGCTGCTGCTGCACTATCGCAAAATCGATAGAGGAATTGATTTATTTTGCCACCTAGAAGCTAATGGATTCCACATCCCCTTTCTCCGCATCTTGCAGCATGTACCATCCGATGGGCACGATACACGACGGCTGGGGCAACTATTCGGTGAGTGTCAAGTGCAGCTGGCTAATCGACGCCAGACATCCGCACTGGAACCGCCGACATAACACCAATCCGTCGCGAGCGGCCAACATACGGATCCACCTGCGAGAGTTTGCCACGGAATGCGGCTGGGATCACCTGTACATATACGATGGCGACAGCGTGGACTCGCCCTTGTTGGCGGTTTTCAGGTGCGTTGTTTCCCCTTTCGCAACCTTTTTATTTTTGAGACTAACTTTTGGTTTTCCCTTCCTTATTTTAGTGGCCTCATGTACCGCGGCAACTTCTCTATTCGTCGCGTGCCACAGGTGATTGCGAGATCCGGCACCGCACTGGTGCACTTCTTCAGCGATGACGCCTACAACATGTCCGGCTTCAACCTCACCTACAAGATGAACGGCTGTCCCTCGGATAGCGATGGTGGGTTATCGGATTTTATGGTTTCAAGGGGAGTTTAAATGTTGTAATCCTCTTTCAGAGGTGGAGTGCTCTGGCCATGGCAAGTGCCGCGATGGCGACTGCATCTGTGATCCCATGTTCAGGGGCGAAGCCTGCAACATTGCCGCCTGTCCTAACAACTGCTTGGAGTCCAAGAACCAGGGTCATTGCCGACTCGACCAGGAACGGTAAGTTTATTCCACATTCAGTACTAAACAAGCCATTTCCAGATTTCACATATTTTTTGCTTCTTAATCCTGTTTTACTTCATATCTAAAACTTTGGTGTCACTCATCTAATTTAAATTGCAATTATTTCCTCGAGTAGCTAAACTGAGTGTTAGCTGGAGTAATTTAAACCAGTCTTGATAAACTAGATAATCTATGTGAAACTGGAAAGAGCCATATTATACATTTGCATTTTCTTATTAAACCTTGCAATTTCTCGCAGCTGCTCCTGTTACGAAGGCTTCGCCGGCGACGACTGCAGTCAGATCAGCGCCCACGGCGCCTGGTCCACCGTTCACCCGAAGCACTCGCCGGCGCCAGCTGGCAGCGCCTCCCATGGCGCCACCGTTTGGCGCGACACACTGCACATTGTGGGCGGAGAATCGTACGGACGGGGCGAGTTAATGAGCACCTATGACTTCAACGGCAACGTTTGGGAGACTCTGCATCCGGAGGATGGTGGCGAGGTGCCGTACAAGCGATACGGTGCCTCCACGGTGATGTACGGCGACAAGATCTTTATGTACGGCGGCGTAGTTAAAGGACAAGGCATCTCCAACGAGCTGTGGGCCTTCGACGTCTCGGCTCGAACGTGGGCCAACATCTCGGTGCGACCGGATGCCGAGTGCAATGCCACTGGAGGAGCCACAGCCATGTGCGGACCCCTGCATGTGGTGGGTCACACGGCGACGTTGGTTCCCGGCTACGGGGACAAGAACAACTACCAGTACATGGTGGTCATCTTTGGCCACTCACCGAACTACGGCTACCTCAACACAGTGCAGGAGTTCAACTTTGCGTCGCGCGAATGGAGAATAATTCCCACCACTGGGTACGTGGTGAAGGGAGGCTATGGACACAGTGCCGCGTACGACTTCCTCACGGAGAAGGTGTATGTGTACGGCGGAATTGTTTCCGAGAGTGAATCCAGTCAGGTGCTCAGCTCAAGGTTGTATGCGTATGAACCTGCCACGCGAATCTGGACCCTTCTGTCGGCGGCGCCAAGTGCTCGACTGCTGCACACGGCGAACTTTGTGAACCAGGGACTGATGATGGTCTTCGGCGGCAACACGCACAACGACACCTCGCAGAGCTACGGAGCCAAGTGCTACAGCCAGGACCTGCTCGTGTACGATGTTTACTGCGACTCGTGGCACTATCACCCGATGCCGAACCACCTGCAGGCGGATCTGGCCCGCTTTGGCCACAGTTCGGTTGTGTTTGAGGATTCGCTGTACATCTACGGTGGCTTCAACGGCCAGTTGCTGAGCGATATGCTGCGCTACCAGCCGGGCTACTGCAGCTACTACACCAAGCAGGAGAAGTGCACGGGAGCGCGGCCGGGAGTGAAGTGCATCTGGGATGTGGCGAAGATGCGCTGCATTGCCATCACCCAGGTCCAGCGATCGGCCATCTACGGACGCGAGCAGTACGACTATGTGGCCTGTCCGTCGAAGAGTAGGCTAATGCTCACCTCGGAGCTACTGCACGATGTCCACCGTTGCCAGGAGCTGGCCAGCTGTCAGTCCTGCGTGTCCACCGCCTTCGGCTGCACCTACTGCGGCAATGGAGTGTGCAGCAAGGAGCGCTGTCGCGAAACCACCTCGGTGGCCTCCGTCTTCTACGAGTCGTCCACGCAACAGGCGTTCTCCACGGCGAGTCCGCCGCTGAATGCCAAGCACCTGGACTCGTGTCCCCTCACGGAAGATTACCTCGTTCGCTCCGTTTGCGAACAGCTGCACAATTGTCGCGCCTGTTCCGCCAATCTGGCGTGTCGCTGGGACTCGGAGCAGAATCGCTGTCGGAGCTATTCGAATACCGGTGGAATGGCAGTTAATCGGACGCTGGATGAAGTGGCTTGCACGCCGTCCTGTGCCTCGTTGACCAATTGCCAGAACTGCACGGAGGACGAGTGCATCTGGTGCCAGAACGAACAGCGATGCGTGGACCGCAATGCCTACACGGCCAGCTTTCCGTATGGTCAGTGCCGGGAGTGGACCACCTTTACGGCCAAATGCCGATCTGCTCCGATCCAAACGACGGCCTTGTCCGTGGGCAGCACTACGGCGTTGTCCAGTGCGCAATGTGGTTTCTACAACAGCTGCCAGATGTGCCTGGATGATCCGGCTTGCGGATGGTGCGACAATGGATCAAATACGGGTCTCGGCAGATGCGTTGTTGGAGGAGCTTTAGCTCCATACGATGAAACGGAGTGTGCGCTGAAGCATTGGTTCTTCACGTCCTGCCCACGATGTAATTGCAACGGACATTCGTATTGTAACGACCAACAGCACTGCGAACAGCCGTGCAACAATTTAACAACGGGAGCTCATTGCGAGAAGTGCCGCACGGGATACTGGGGCAATCCGATCAACGGAGGTAAATGCCAGCGCTGCGATTGCAATGGTCAGGGTGTCTACTGTCACCCGGACACCGGAAAGTGCTACTGCACCACGAAGGGGATTGTGGGTGATCATTGCGAGAAGTGCGACTCGCAGAACCATTACCACGGGGATCCACTGAAGGGATCCTGCTACTACGAACTAACCATCGACTATCAGTTCACGTTTAACCTTTCTAAGAAGGAGGATCGCCACTTCACACAGATCAACTTCCGAAACTCGCCGGGAAAGCCGGAGATAGATGCGGATTTCACGATTACCTGTAGCGTGCCGGCCAAAATGGACATCTCTGTGAAGAGAGCCGGTTCGCCGGATATGCTCATCCTGGTGGGCGTCAACTGCTCAACGTTCCGGCACCGTTTCCCCAAGACGGACTACCAGTTCGGGCACTCGCCCGATGACAACAGCTCCCTGACCACGTTCTACGTGTTCGTGCACGACTTCCAGCCCCCAATATGGATACAGATTGCCTTCTCGCAGTATCCGAAGCTCAATCTGCAGCAGTTCTTCATCACATTCTCCTCATGCTTCCTCCTGCTGCTGCTCATGGCCGCCGTCCTGTGGAAGATCAAGCAGAAGTACGACATGTTCCGGCGGCGTCAGCGATTGTTCGTCGAGATGGAACAGATGGCGAGTCGACCGTTTTCCCAGGTGAGCTTTTGAAAAGAAAGATTGAGTGTATAGGTAATAATTTATATATGATTTTCGCACAGGTGCTGGTCGATATCGAAAACCGCGAAAGTATTGATCTGAGTCTGACGCTGGAGGGCATTGGCCATCTGTCCAAGAAACGCAAAAAGGTGAGCGCAAAATATTTTAAAATTGTTTGAGAGTTGTGAACCAGCTTAACAGATTGTAACAGGGGTTATATCAAAAAATATCATTAAAGAATCGAACAACAAGCTTTTAATGGAATACCACTTTGAAATTAGAACTTATGTTGTCTCAATTGTTATTTTGCATATTTAATAAATATTTATTTTCTCAGGAATGCCCGAGTCCCATTGCTTTGGAGCCTTGCAGTGGCAACCGAGCCGCCGTGCTCTCGCTTCTAGTCCGGCTGCCCACGGGTAAGAATTAATGTTTATTTAAAATCTTTTATAATTCTTACTTATGAATCTTTTATTTCATAGGTGGCCTTTCGCAGGCGCCGTCTGGCCAGTCCGCGGGCCTGGCCGTGGCCAGCGCCTTAGTCACGCTCGGCAACCCGCGTCGTCCGTCGATCGAGCAGCATCCCAAGGAGCCAAAGTCGAAGCGCAAGCAGAGCCAGCACCCAGACAGTTGTACATAATAACCGTAACACTATGCTTACCTACATAAAGTAATAATGATAACGATAATGATAATAATTACGATAATATGTAACTAGCGAATAGGTCCGAGTATATAGCATATTTGCCCCGACTTTCTTCTACTAACCACACACATACACACACACAAAAGGCAAGCGCTAGCAAGTTGATAATCCGCAGTTATTATTACTTTAATGCATTAGACTAGTAACGAAACGAGGAGGAAAGAAAGAAACAAACAAACAAACAAATAATAATAATTTTTAGCAAAAGGACATATTTATATACGGTTATATACAATTTGATATAGTTGATAGGTCGAGTAGCGTTGCAATAGTTATAAATGTTTAATTTATTATTTATACCGCGTACGTGAGCTAAGTTCGATGGCAGCTGTATTCAAATTATTAATGTATTTTTTTTACTTAACCACATAGCCTAAGCGTGTTGTTAGAATTTATTTATGCAAATTTTGTGCGCTGCCTCGGCAGCGGCTGCACCAAAAGCCGCAACATTTTAGGAGACAGAAACAAACAGGAAGCGCGTGGAAACAAAAAGACATTCGATTGATCTTAGCAAAAAGTGATGAACAAACCAGATGACAGACAAAGGCGATAGAAACAAGGAGCGAGGTGGCGGAGACATGCAATACTGTGTTCAATAATAGGAATATTTCTGTTTTTAATATCCGTGCAAATATTTACAACGCAAGACATGAGTGGATCAAGACATAAACCGAACAGAACAGAGCAGAACAAAACAATGCAAGTGTAAATAAAATACGTAAATTATGAACGCTATATAGATAGTAGTTATACATATAACAAATAGCTCTTGATATGAGAACGCGCCCAAAACGAATCAAAAAGATTAAAAAATGTACATGCAATCTAGATGAGATCCAACATTTACCAAAATTCCAACTAAATCACAAACTAATCGTAAGGTTTCCTCTTGGCAACAAAAAACAAACTACAGAAACAACTCACACAGTTAATTAACTTGATAATTCAAACTAAGACAACTCACACCAATTAACTAGACGCACTCTCTGTAATACAAATCCAGGAATGGAACAACCTCTAGAATCAAAAGGCACTCGTCTAAAACTTTAACTAACACCTAGAGATCTTTTAAGAAACACACAACCCTTCAAAGTACACAATCTCCAGCCGAGATGTTGACGATCGCTTCGTGTTAGCCGACAGACAATTGTAAATCTATATAATTTTTTTAACAATCTAATAAAGTCCATTTACGAAATTTAATTTCAATTGTAAAATGCGTTTAGAGACATACACTTAAATGATATATATAGATATGAATACTTGCCAACCCAGTTCCAAACCCCCCAAAAAAAAAAAAAACAAAAATGAGAAACAGAAATAAACAAAGAAAGATAACAACAAACCCCTCGAAGACTTGTTTGTCATCCCAGAATTTAAAGACCCCTGACGACAACAGCAGCAGCAAGATATACATAGATAAAGAATCATATATTAGTTTATTAACCAATAAAAAGACACTCCAAATGTAAGCAATGTGGAGTGGTTTTGTTTTCATTACCAGCCCGGCCGTCACAGCACATTCACCATGCATTTCACAGAACTTTCACTTTCGGCCAGCTGGCGGTTTTTTCAGGCGATCCAAAGTTGGGGGCGCGGCTACATGGCCTGATAAACCGGGTAAATGTGAGATGTTTATTCAGGTCGAGGTTCGATTCGATTGGAGTACTATAATTGCATGGCTGCATGTAGAAGCTCTCTTTCACGTACGCGGATGTTGTGATTGGGGTGGCCCTTTCCTGCTCGTCGTTTTCCCCTTTCTTTATTGCTACGTTTTCGAAGATGTTCGGCAGTTTGTGTGGCTTTTGTGTCACGATATCTCCGAGCACCGCATTTAATTTAATGATGACGATTTTATTAATGAAATTAAAGAAGAAAGCCGACAGCAGCGAGCGATGGCAAAAGCGTGCGAAATCCAAAGCGAAGCGGAAGTTGCCGCCAGAGATCTCTGTCAAAACATCCATCAGTCGAATTCATCGCCCTTGGTTCGCCTGCATTGACGTATTCACTATTAAAATCGTTTAGCTATATACATATTTTTGTGCATACCCAAGTTGAGTCAGCCGATGTGCGGGTAAGCCACTTAGGTTTTACCCACCGTCAAGCTAATTCGGGACCGAGAAGGCCAACACGCACTATGCTAAGTGAACTTTTGCGCTCCATAACAAATAATAATCAGCATTAACCGATCGTTATGAATCAACGGCGGAGTGCCCGAAGTTTAAGCCAGAACCGAACCGGCAATGTTTCGAGTCGAATTGGAGCGTGAATAAGTGTCCACACATGGGAGAAACACAAAAACTCAACCCGCTACGCAGCATATTTCAAAATCCCCCATTAACAATAATGATAAAGGCCTCAGAATTTTGTGACAAAAGGGCATACTTTTATGGGCTTGTTGTTGTGGAGTAGCTAATTATATATACAACAAAAGTATTAGCTTTATTATCGTATTTGAATTAAAATTTTTTTGTTTAGCGGTAACAACTTTGTATAGTATAAATTTATTATTTACATTTGACAACCTAATAATTGGATACTATTCCCAACTCTATTTTATTATTTTTTTTTTTTGTTTTATTTATGGAACACAATAAATCTGTTTTTTAAGAATACTGAAAGCATTTTTATTGTTTTTTTTTTTTTTTTAACTGAGTCATAAACTCTTTTATTTTCAACGGAAGCTAAACAAAACATTTTTTTTCTTTACTCAAACGCTTTTATTTATTAATCAAAAGCCAATTGAGTAAACTTTCTTTACTTAGATATTTTGTTTTTATCTCCTGCTATCTTCCATTTCCAAGAGGCCAAGGTATAATTTTAACCTGTTAAAAACTCATAAATTAAGTGTTATTTTGGGGCAATACCTTTGACTAGTTAACAGCTATTTTATTTTTTAATAGAGCGGCCTTGCAACTGCGCATAACCCTCCGATGCGTCAGCGGCCTTTGAAATGAGTTAGAGCTCGGCTTTCGGCTTGTTTTGGTTTTTGGCAGTTCGCTCCGCACCGCGACATGTTCGATCGAACCGGCCGAGGAGACTTGGCCAACTGGGGAGCTACTAGGCCACCGCGGAGTCTTGCAAAAGCTCAAATGCGCAACGCCCGCCGTTGAGGTTGCACGCGAATTTGAATTGCCGCCGCGAACTGTATAAAAAAGACGTAAACTACTAACGAGAGAGTTTACTAAGTGATCGGAGTGAAAACCGAATTTGGCACAGCGTTTCAGCTAAAAAGTCTATCTGTTTGTGCGCCCAGTGAAATTTAAGTGAAAATTTGCCAATTTCATAGCACCGGCCAGCTGTGCACCTGGATTAAAGCACACACCGCTGGAAATTGAAACCGAAAACGAAACCCAAACCCAAACCCAAACCAATCAAATAGTTTCACTTTTTATTGGATTAGCCGCAGCAGCAGCAGAAACTCATCTCAATTAAACAGGTTTGTTGGGAAATAGCCGAGGGTGTGTAGTCCGGGGCTAATTGAAATTGAAACCCGAGCTTTAAGTGCGGCTCGTAAAGGTGTCAAAGGTGGGCAGTCAAATGGTATTTCGAGACGGCAACTCAATTGTTTAATGGGCCTACGCTAATTGAAGGCTCAAGGTGAACTATTGGCATTTACGATCGATATCGCGATCGCTTCTCGATTCTCCGAAAACTGGAATTACCAAGTAAACAGCCGTGTGTAGACGCATTCTGTTCAAATATTTTTGTTATTTTTTGCTCATTTCGAAATTATGTCAGACTACTGGGGCTGGGGCTGGTGTGAGACCCCTTAAGAGTTCGACACGCGCAATTTGAACGGCTCTAAAAACGAGTGAGCCAAAGAAGAAACGACATTAACTGCGCCAGTCCAAGCCGAACCGTTAGGCGTAAGCCAAAAAAACCATTTCGCAAGTGTGGTCTAACTGAAGTTAACTGTAGCTGCAGCTCAAAAAAAGTTGGCAATAAGCCAGTCGACAAGGGAAAGAGCCAAAAATACCTGTGCGACTCGCATTTAAACCTTAAAGTGGAACATTTGGAGTGCTTGGTTCCCAGGGAAGTTGGGTTAAAGGTTCAGCGCTCACTTGATCCAATTATAGATAGTTCCCGATGGGCTCTTCAAGCGGTAACCTTTGCCAAACTCCGACTCGTTTTGCATAATCAGGTGTGACTGCTTTTAAAAGTTGCCTATAAGAGGAAAAAGGCCAAAAATGCAAATTCATGGGTCTAAGATTTCAAGGCTTATGTTTTTGAGCTTTTGGTTTATTAGAGATTCAATTCATAAAAATACTATTTTAAACAAATATTTATAAATACCTTCGAATGAACCAAGCTTAAGTGAAAGACTTGACACTAAAAGAAAAATTTCTACAAATCTTATTAAGCCTACATTTTGAAGTGCAACGGCTTAGAAATTCCAATTTCCCATGGGAGTGGGTCAAAGTTTGAGTACTTGCAATCGCATGATCGGATTATAGGTATTACCAACTGAAGTACCATTAAATCCCTTCAGTTATGCAGTGCCCCTTCCCTTCCCTTCTGAAACCCACTGACATGTGGCCTCATTTCACCAATCATTTAACTTTACACTCTAGTAACTGTCGGCCAGGCCAAGCATGTCAGGCAGGGTCAAGTCTGCCATCGCAGGTCGTCCATCGGCTGTACCCACAACCCATTAGCCACACTTGACTCCTCCTCAATGACAAACAATAAAGCTGCGGGCCAAGTGTTGAGGTTTTTGCAGCTTTTTGCCGCATGCGAGGTGAAATCTTTGGCAGTCGCGCTCAAGTTTGGCCCAAGTTCAAGTCACCAGGCTTTCGTTTTGACTTCGCTGCAGTGAAAATGCGGCGTCGAAGCAAACTGGCCTGGTTTTTCAGAACCATGCAACCCAACAGTCCAAAAAATCCACACTGGCAATTTGTGTATTTTTTTCCAGTTGGGTTTTTTCTTTTTTGCTGGCAGTTCCGTGTTGAAATTTCGTTTGTGGATCGACCAGGTGTTGGCGAGTTTTCATGTTTGGCCATTTGCAAATGCGGCCACCGGCCAGTGAGAAAATGATTCACACAGTTTTCACCCAAAACAAAGTGGGAAACCAAACAAAACTCCTATGAAGGAAGCAATCAAAAGACTTAGGCCACAAACTTTTTTTTTTTTTCTTGTAAGATACTCATTTAAAATTTTGTTGACCACCGCCATATGTGTGTGTGTGTGTGTGAGCATTATATAATTGGCCAGGCATAATGAGGGAAAATCCTCGGTGTCATTAAAGTGGTCAGGGAGTTGGCCGCATCTGAACCATTTTCAATGGACCGGAAAACGCAAACTCACACACACACACCTACACGCACACGCACGCAGCATAAAAGTGAATTTTTAGGAGAAGACAAAAAATAAATAAAAATAAATGATGTATAAAGTTGACTGGTTGTTGCTGGCTGTATTTCTTTGCTGGTTGCCAAAGTGAAAGCGCAGCGACGTCAACTTCAGCGGCGAAGTCTGCGCAGATTAATCACCCGTCCGTAAAGCGAAGACAGTTGGGCTCCAAAAGCAACAAAAAACAGAAAAACAGATCCAGTATTCGGATGGGTTCGTGACCCCCTCGAGATGCTCTCCATTTTCACGGGTTACGCAATCGAATCGCTTTGAATTCTTTGCCGCGCCCCGGAAAGCAGATGCAAATGTATGCCTAACCAAAGATAGTGAAAGTGTCTAGCTGAAATTTGAATCTCACGGCTGGCTCGTGTGACGTCAAACCCCCTAGCTTGGCAACCATGTTACTCACGCACTCATCCGATCTCTCTGTCGATTTTTTCTTTACTTTTTGCAGCAGCCGCAGCAGCTGAAAACAGGAAATTTTTTTGGCAACTTTTGGATGCCCAAAAATGGCACACTATGATCAACGTTGGCTGAAGCTCTTCTCCGGCTGCCTTTTCCTCCTTTTGCTGGCTCTGCAGGTTTCGGATGCCAAGCGATCAAATGGTGAGTCCACAGAAAGAAAATACTTAATTTATAGCATTAAATTATTAATCAAGGAACCAAATCGAAAGCCACATTCATGACCATGAATTGTTTGCCAATTATATTGGCAAATTAAAATTTGTTACCGTCTTATAATTGCTTAAAATAATTACACCTTCATATTGCCATTTAAAAGTATTAAAAGAGAAATGATTTTGAAGAGATACATCCCAATTAAATGTATTTATTATTCTTATTAAAATTAAATTATAGGTAGTCAATTTATTTAAATAAAATAATTCATTTGCAACTTGATTTCCCATCCAAAATATCATATTTATATTTTTATTGCCGTGTAATGCCAAACTGACCTGCAAGTCAATGACTTCTTGAGCGAGAACTTTATGTTTTTCGCCCTGCTCTTTTTTTTTTTTTTGGGCAAAAAGCAGTCATTGAACCCGCAACCGGCGAATGTGGACCATTTGGTGCCTCATTAACCGCCAGGCTGCAGCTGCATAATTAAAGTGACGTGTGGAAATTCGTGTAGAACTTGGTGTGTGTCTGGGTGGTGTGAAAAATGGCACGCCATCATTAAAAAGCGCTTAGCTGAAATAATACGCAGGCCACCGTTAAGAGCCCCGCCAAAGAGCTAGAAAAAGGGAAACAAAGCCGGCTTCTAAGTGCAGCGCACACTGTGTCAGTCGGTCAAAAGAGGTCCCAGACCCAGACCCATACACATACCCATTCTCAATTTTATCTCACAATGGGCCGGCAATTTTCTAGATACTTACCAGCACCCCGCTTTGATTTCGTTTTCGTTACGGTTCCGTTTAATACTCGTTTTTTGCTTTTCGATTTTCTGCCTTCTTATTTTTTTTGCCGAGCGGAAGCCGAACGAAAGACTTAGGCGACAAACTCGATTTGAACGGGGAGGCGAGAATAAAAGTCGGCCTGCAAATGACGTCTAGTGGCCGTTTTTTTTCTGCTTGATTATATTCATCATTGGCCAGCTTTAATTGCCAGCTGCCCGACGGCTTTTGCTTTGTTGTTGCTGTTGTTGTTGTTGTTGTTTCTTCATTCACGACAGAAACCGAAAGCCATTTTCATTTCTTTTTTTGTGTTGCTGTTGTTGACCAAACGGCAAATACAAATTGATGGCCAACTCGAGCTCGAGGCGCTGCCAAAAAAAAACTTTCATTCATTTTCTAGCGAAAACTCCAGAAAAATAAAACCAACGGCCGCAAAGAAAGGCAGTGAAAAGTAAATAAAAATAAATATTTCGGATGAGCCAAGGCGGATGTGCGGCGAAAAAAGAAATCTCCACTGATAAGTTCAGCGATTACTCAGCCCAGTCGAAACTTACTTTAAAAACGTATGCTTTTGTGCCTTAAATGAGGCTTAATCTGGTTTCATATCGAAAAGAAAGAAACTGAAAGGGCAGAAGTATTTTGAAGTTAAATAAAAAGAATAATTATAATGTTTTTATTAAGCTTTAAATATTTCTTTACATATTTTTTTCCTTCTTTGGGTGCTCTTACGTTTAAAGCACCTTTAATGCCGTTGACAGTTGCATAATGTCAGATGCATTAAAAATGTATCGAAAGTGCATAGGAAGTGACCAGCAGTAACGACTGCAGTTGACGCAACTAAAGCTCAGCTGTCGCAACCCCGAAGTCATTGTTGCGTGCTGGACAAGATAAAAAAAAAACAGAGAGGAATGGGGGGTGGCATGAGGTAATTGGGGGCGGGATGATCACTCACTTTAATTGCATAACCAAGTCGAGACAATGGACTGGCTCTTCCCAAAGCAGAATGCTCATGGCATCCCCGGCCGAATCCGCGGCCATTTGAAGCGAATTGCTTATACGCCTAGTGGACTCATCGCTATGCGCATACAAAACGCTTAATTCAAATCTGACCATGGAACGGCCGAGCAACAGCTGCAAATGGCTGGCACTGTAACAACAATTTCAGCAATGCCGCCGCCGGGCACTCCATTTTGTGTTTTTAATTTCAATTTTGCAGTTTTCATAGACAGCGGGTTTTGTTTGTTCAGCGCACGCGTCACGTCCCAAAAAAATAAAAGTGAAATTTACGTCGCTGATATTCGGTAGTTGAATAACACCAAAGTATGTCAAACTCTTCTTCCTCTCTCTAAAAAATATATATAACAAAAATAAATAACTATATTACAAAAAAAAAGAGAAAAATCTGACCCAAAAAAGTTACTTTCAACTTTTTGTGAAACCTATCGGAACGGGATTGCTTTTAAATCCTCGCGGCTTAATAGTAATCTATGTTATTTTTAATATGTTTATCCCTGTTTGTATTTCATTTTAAATAAATAAATCATATGTTTTTAGCCAACCTTACGGCCTGCCAACACTTAAGACGCTCTGAGACGAGAAGAGCGAAAGCTTTGCAATCCGGCTTTGAAGGACCATCAATAAGAGCACCACGTTGTCTGAAGAACGGTGACTTTGACACCATCCAATGTCAGAATGAAAAAGCTGGCCGAGATTGCTGGTGTGTGGATGAATACGGCGTGGAACTTCCTGGCAGTCGAAATGAGACGAGAGCGGGAGTGATTTGCTCCGAACCAAAGCATTGCGCCGCTTCCGCTTGTAGGATGTTTTGTCCCTCGGGATTTGCCCGTGATCCCGAAACTGGATGCTCAGTTTGCCGATGCCGAGATCCTTGTGATGGACTGGAGTGTCCTCGAGGACAATCCTGCCAGCTGCAGGAGGTGCAATGCAAATCAGAGCCATGTCCTCCAGTGCCCACCTGCAAAAAGGCGAGATCCTTGGCCAATCTGTGTCCCGCTGGCTTGCCACTTGCCATCGATGATACAGTGAGACCATTCCTTTGTGGTCAGGATCCCGGAAAACCACAGTGTCCACCTCTGTATCAATGTCTGGTAGAGTCTGGCAACGATTATGGAGTGTGCTGTCCTAGTGCACTGACCTTCCAGAAACCCGGAATTTGTCCGGCTCCAGATAAAACTCAATATACAGAACGAACGGGTTACATGTGCGGATCCCCTTGCTCTCACGACTTGGAGTGCCGGAATATGGAGAAGTGTTGCTTCACCAAGGGTTGCCAATTCAACTGCCAGCAGCCGGGAAATGTCACGGGTTGTCATCAGGCCAAGGCCTTGGCGGACATCCTGTCGATCAATGAGCGCGAAGGACGTGGCTATGTGCCCGAGTGCAATGGTCCAGGTGGCCAGTTCTCCCCGAAGCAGTGCTCACGCAATGGACTCGTCTGCTGGTGTGTGGATCCCCGAACGGGTCACAAGATCAAGGAGACCATGGGTGCTGCAAATAGTGTGAATTGCGAGGGTTGGGAGAACATGATCAGCAGATCGTATGCCAGAAGTTTCCAGATGGAGCAGTGCGATACCAACATTTGTGCTGCCGTTTGCGAGTATGGATTTAAGGTGAGTTATTTATCATGAAGCCTAAGTTGGTATTAATTTATTAATTCTAAATTTAGAACGATCACAATGGCTGTCCCACCTGCGAGTGCTCGGAACCCTGTGATGGTTTCAAGTGCTCCATCGGTTCCCATTGCGAGGTGGCCACCGATCCTCTGTGTGAATCGGGTTCTTCCCTTTGTGCCTCTTGGCCAGTTTGTAAACCCGATTTGGTCTACTCCAATCCCTGTGATGTGGGAACCCCACTTTCGGATACTGTCACTGGTGAGGTGATGTACTGCTTTGAGGAGCGACAAGGACGTAGTTTCCAGCCATTGGCCTTCTTTGAACCGGAACCAGAATCCCAATCCAAACAGGGTCGTTCCATGAGCAATCGCATCGTGTGTCCCGAACAATACAAGTGCACCAAACTCCATAGGGAAACGGAAAATGTTTGTTGTCCAGTGCCGGAAAAGGTCAATCCAACCGAAGATTCAACGGGAACGCATCAGCAAACTAGTAAGTTATAGTAAGATATTATTAAATACCTCCATTTAAACTATTTCTTGTTACAGTGTGCGAATATCTGAGGGACTTTTCCGAACGAATGGAGGGCACTGAGGAGGGCATGCAGTTGGCGGTTCCTTCACCTCGTTGCACCTCCGAAGGAGATTACGAAGGACGTCAGTGCCAGCTGAAGAAGATACGAGTAACCCGAGCGGAACAGCGAAAGATCCTGGAGGAGAACACCATCCGGCGGATGAGGATGCTCCTGGCCAGTGCTGCTCCCAGTGTCCCCAAACGATCTCGTCGCGATTCGGAACGCCTAAAGCTCTATCGAGTGGATGACAGTGCTCTTAAGGTCCAGGTGGCTGCTCCTGTGATGGGTCGCAGTGCCAAGGTGATCGACATGGGTGCGGATCGCCAGCAGGGATTGGGTCAGCTCTTCGAAACGGAGTTCAAGAAGGTAGCTTCGGCCACCAAAAGACCACCGGAGAACGAGGATGAACTGGTGGAAATGGAAGTGGAGCAGTGCTGGTGTGTGGATAGTTTTGGCACCGAGATTCCCCGATCGAGAGGATATAATGTGAGCGAGGAGACTTGCAGGAGTTTAAGGGAGGATTTGGACTGCCTGGATCTCACCTGCAGAATGGGTTGTGAATATGGATTCGCTTTGGATCAGGATACCCGTTGTCCTGCTTGCCAGTGCAGAGATCCTTGCGAAGGAGTCACCTGTGGCTCTGGGAAGGAATGCCGCGTGGTGGATGTGAGCTGCGAAGGGGAATACTGTCCACCAGTTCCCGCCTGCTTGCCAAGGAAACCAGGACAGTGTCCCTATCTAGTGCCACCTGGTCCAGATAACCTGGATGCGAATACCTGTGCATATGAATGCCGAACGGATGCCCATTGTGATGGAGCCAAGCGTTGTTGCTCCAACGGATGTGGCACCCAGTGTGTGGATCCCCAGCTGAAAACTGCCTGTCAACATCTGCAATCGATTCAACTGCATCAGAGTTCTGAGTTGGGAATCCCTGCTCGGCAAATGGCAGTGGCTCAATGTGATGCAAAGAGTGGAAAGTGGGAGCAAATCCAGTGCTCACCTGATGGTAACTGCTGGTGTGTCGATGATCAGGGGAAGATCCTGCCCGGCACAAAGGTCAAGTCCCCCGAAACACCAAAATGCCAGGAGAACTCCAGTTTCGCCTGTCCAAAGACGAACTGCAGCCTCCAGTGCGAAAGTGGCTACCAAATGGACTCGAATGGCTGTCCCACCTGCGAGTGCAGAAACTACTGCAATGAAGTGAGCTGCTCCCCTCACGAGGAGTGCCAACTGATCTCCGTGGAGTGTGTGGACAGTCCCTGTCCCAAGATGCCCATCTGTGTTCCTCGACGGGCCTCCGTTTGTCCCGAGGGCAATCCCCTGCAGCAGGGAGATCTCGATATGAGTTGTGGACCCCACAACGAGCACGAGGTGTGTCCCACCACCCACTCCTGTCAGCTGAATCCGGTTAGCAATCGAGGTGTGTGCTGCTCCAAGACCCGCGATGTCTGCTTTGAGTCCATGGATAATGGTTGCCTGGCCACTGGGAAATCGGAGCGGAATAGCACTCGCTATAGGTTCAGTCCCAAGGCCAATAAGTGCTTACCAGTGGTCATCGATTCCGAGGCACCCGCCTGCCAAACGAAGAACCTCTTCCACAACGAACTGGCCTGCAACTCCGTTTGTCCAGGTGAGAATAAATATAGTGTCTAAATTCGTAAAAAAGGTAGAAACTATAAACATCATATTCAACTATTTTTACTAGTAAATAGAAATTGTTTCTGAATTTATTATTAATCTTTATATTTGAGAATGTCCTGGTTATTTACAAGTTAAATTTGATTTTATTTTTGAACCATATTTAACTTTTTGTTGTACTTTTTCAGTTCTTACCCAATGCGAACGCCTCAAGCTGAAAAACAGTTTGGCTGCCCAGCGAACCGGACACTCCTCCGTGTGGTTCCAGCCAAGATGTGACCCCGTCACGGGTCACTGGAGTCCAGTGCAGTGTTTGGGCAAACAGCCGCAACCCACGGACCTCCACCACACGGAGATTGTGAGTCGTGCTTTCGCATCGGAAACCTCATCCGCTGGCGAGGATTCCCCTGGAGTTTGCTGGTGTGCGGACAAGAAGGGTGCTCCGCTGAAGGGAACTCTCACCCGGGAAACTGAACCCATCTGCAACAGTCGACAGGCTCGCAATCGCAAGAACTTCGATGCAGGAGATCCGCTAATGGAGCAACTGATTGCCCAGCTCACCCAACTGAATGATGTGGCTAGCGAGGATTTGGACTTTGATGAGCTGGAGGCCAGGATTCTACCAGCCACCGCTAGTGCAGCGGAGTCCAGTGTGACTGAAAGGGTTCTCGAGTTGGCCAACTCCCTGTTGGATTCCCAACTGTCCGTGGAGCAGGCTACCCTGAAACCCATGGAGCTGAAGACCACTCGTTGTCGAGCTCTGGCGGAAACGGCTCCATTTCCGGTTAGTTGCGACGAAGCGGGAGCCTTTCGTCCTCTGCAATGCAATGGAAGGAGTTGCTGGTGCGTAGATGCTGCTGGAAATCAACTGCAGGCCACTCACATTTTCGGAGCCGGAGATCGTCGGTGCAATCATGTGCCCATCGAAGCGGTGGCCATTGAACTCCACTTGACCAACAGCAGTGGCAAAAGTATACGAAATGCCTATGACACGATTCGAAGGGAATTGCAACAGCTTCTGGGCGGCGAGTCCGTGGAGAATCTGCGGGTGCAGGAGAACTTCGATGGATCCGCAATCGTTCGATTTGAGCTGCACAACGAGGCCAAGGTGGATCTGGCCTTTGCCATCGAATCCGCCATTTCTGCAGGGGATTTCCGCTTGGCAGGCGGTCACTTCCTGCCGGACTTGACCCGCTCGCACTTTGTGCACCGAAGTGCACAGATCCCAGTCGCCCAGGCGGCCACTTCGCAGGACGAGTCCATCCAACTGGTGCTCTTCATCATGGCCACCAGTTCCGCCTTCCTGGTCAGCATATTTGTGGTCTATGTCATGCTGAAAAGGAACCGGAATCTCAAGTCCGTAAATCCGTATGTGAAAAGCGGAAATGGAAACGGAGATAAAGCGGTGGACTATTCTGCTCCCATTTTCGTGCTGGCCGCCAGCGATATGGATGCCCAGTTGGACAGCATGAAGGGGTTCAAGGCGTAGGCACACGCCTTTTGTTGAGTTATCTAAATCAATTTGTAAATAAACGAGAGCAAATTTAAGATCTACTTTTAGGGGGGAGGAGTTCCACGGCGGAGGTCAGAGGTCATGATTCTGCCCCACTTAAGCCAAAAGGGGAGTGCGACCAAAGGGGCCCCCAAAATCGAATACTTATCGCATATGTTCTAGCACCCTAAGACGATTAATTTATGAATAAAGCTTTAAAATCGAATAATTTTTGATTTTATAGGGGTAAAAATGGATGAGAATAAGAAATCAATTCATGAAATATTCTACCTGATTCTTTCCTTTTACCTATTAACTTCTTTACTCAATTCATCGCAGATAGATACTATCATATAATTACTATCCTTTTAAGGAAAACCACTTTAAATCCACAAATCAGTTTCAAACCTTTTCCATTAAAAAACACAGATTGTCAGCAAACAGTTTTTTGATTTTAATATTTAATAATACACGACATAATTGTCCGCCTGTATGGTATTCATAATGACCGATCTATCGCTATCTTGGCGATTAGCTTCATGAGCGCACCTCCTTTCGTGGTACATAAACGTATAACATTAATCAATTTTGGCTTCATTTCATGCAACTCGAACTCAGTTTTGTGTTTTTTGTTTTGTGTATATACTCGTATATTGTGTAGAACGATCGCCGATTCGGTCGATCGCCAGACATTGGTATAACTATATATTGTTCATATGTATCTTGTATATGTGTACGTATGGATGTGTATATCGTATGCTAAGTGCTAACACGACCGCCGGTCCTCAAACGGAAATCCGAGCAGTCTTCTTTGTGTCATGTTAATATCTAAAAAAAATTGTAAGTGGCTTAAAGTATGCTCAAAGTCATCGATAGTTAGATAGATAGATAGAAAAATGCAATACTCATGGTTACAATTGGAAACATTTGTAGATTTTTGATTTGGAAAATGCATTGCTTACATGTAGAGTGGTTCGTTAGACTTAAAACTTAGTATTTAGCTGAATGCGTTTGGAGAATGTAAGATCGTTGATCGTAGAGAAGACTTGGTTCCGTCTATTGAGCAAATTGGATTAGTATACCTTCGGCTTAAGCTACTTTTTGCACATGCAATTCAAACGTTAATATCGTAAAACTCGAGTGCAGATTGTTCAATATCATGGCCAACTCTGTGGTGAGTGTTTAGTGAGTCATGACTGAATGAGTGAGTGCACCCAATAACAGTTTCTCCCTCTCTGCTCATGTGTGTGTGTACGGGGCCCTAAACGCCCCTAATATTTGGTTACGTGGTTAGTCGCTATTCATAAATTAATGCTCTTCGTGGGTGTGAGTGTGTATATATAAATCTTGTAAAAGAACAAAGTGTGTCGCTGCCGATTGCCGATAAAAAGAAACGACTGAATAAATGGCCGCAAGATGTACGTATAACAAAATGATGCGGGAGCCCGCGGCCAGGGATGGATTAATAGGATTGTTTTGGTTGGACTCTGTATCTCTCGCGGACTCTTTCTACTTTCCAGCTCCGCCAGCCGAGCCGTTATTGTTGCTCCGGCTGTTGTTGTTGTTGTTGGCACTGCGGAACGGAATCGAGGCGCGCTGGTCCTCCATGCGACCGCTCTGCACTTTCATGATCAGCGAGAAGAAGTCCTCGTCGGGCACGGTGGCTCCGCGGCCAGTCTGTCCACGTGCTGCTCCTCCGACAGCTGCCTCTGGCGCCGATCGTGGCGGTGCCTCCGCCTCGGCATCCATTGTGACGTTCGGACGTGGAAGTTCGGACCGCTGCTCCTCGAGTCGCGATCCCTGGCAGCGCATCAGCATGTCCAGGAAGTCGTCGTCAGGCTGCTGAGTGGTGGTGGCACTCCTGGCTAGCGGACCGTGTCCGTGTCCCATGGCAGCCACATTGCCCGACGAGGGTGACTTCAAGCCAGGCAGGTTGGTGGGATCCACGAACAGCGAGTTCTGCTGCACCAGCGGCTTACGGGTGGCTCCAGTGGCCAGCGGCGGAGCTCCGGCGGGATTCACCTTGATCGAACAGCGCTGGTCGTCCATGCGCTTCGACTGCGAACGCGACAGCATCTCGAAGAAGTCATCGTCTTTGGCTTTCCCGGTGGCCTGTGCCCGGTGCTTCTCCTCCTGCATTCGCTTCCCGTCGGGCGTGATCTTGATCAGGTCCAGCTGCTCCATGCTCTGTCGACGAACGCGCACCTGAAAGGCAAGCGTTCAGGGTAATTAATGTAGTTATGAATCTATTTCGGATTTCCCTTTCGCCGTGTGTGTTCAGTTCGAAAGTTCACTGTTTTGTTTTGGTTTTCTTTGGGTGTAAATATTTACTCTACGATTGGTGGGAGAACAGGTGTCCATAAACAAAAGTAAAAGTTTCTTTATGAACTATAAACATTTGAAAGATTTGTATGGTAAAGATTAAAAAGACTGCATGAAAAACTATGAGCTCTTCTGTAGTATTAAATAATATTAATAAAAAGATAAATCTTAGTACATGAAAATATAAATCGTACTCACCATTCTTCCCTGCGAGTTCTCCGATCCGTCGGACTGATTTCCGCTGGCCGAGTGATCGGATGCACTGGATCTGGCCTCCTCCTCGGTGGGCGATGGTTCCGATTCGGGCATTCCCAGCAGTTTCCTCAGATCGGAGATGTTCACCCTGGCTGTGCTCTCACCCACCGGATCGTGCAGCTCCTTGGCCAACTGTAAATGCTGCTCCGCGTACTTTAAAGCTCTCTCATGACCACCGATGGCGGAATGGGCATTTCCCAGCGACCAGCAAGCTCTTGCCTCGCCAATCCGATCGCCCAGCTCCTGGGCAATGGCCAAGTGGCGATTATGGTACTCGATGGCAGTGTTGAACTCGTGCAGCAGCGTATACGTGTTGCCCAGACTGTAGCAACTTTGGGCCTCCACTTCGCGTTCGCCCAGCTCGACGGCCAAGGTCAAAGTGCGTTTGTAGTGATCGGCGGCTTCCTCGAATTGTCCCAAAAAGATGTGCGAGTTTCCCAGATTACTGTTGGCCCTCCGCTCCGCAGCCCGATCGCCAAACTCTCTGGCGATGCGCAGTCGCTCCTTGTGGTGCTCGATGGCCTCCTGGAAGTCGCCCAGAAGGTAGTAAGTGTTTCCAAGATTACCACAAGCTCTGCCTTGAGCACCGCGATCTCCCAAATCCCGCATAAGCTTCAGGTTCTCCTGGTAGAACTCCACGGCACGGGAGAGAGCCTCCTTCACGTCGTCGCCGAACTTTCCTGGGTTTCTCTGACCCAAATGCTTTCCCTTGGCGTGGTAAACGTTTCCCAGGTTGTAGAGGGCTCTTCCTTCGGATAATCGATCGCCCAGTTGCCTGGCCAAAGTCAAGTGCCTCTCACAACAAATAGCGGCCTCGTCAAAGCGACCCATCACCTTCAGGGTGTTGCCCAGATTTCCGGAAGACTTGGCTTCACCCAGACGGTCGTTCATGCTCTTGGCCAAAGTGAGATCGTGTTTGTGGTACTGCATCGCCTTGTTGTAGTCGCCCAAGTAAAAGTAGGCGTTGCCCAATTGGGAGTATATAGCTGATAGGGTGCGGAGATCCTCGGTTCCTGCTTGAATGGCCGCCTGGAAGAAGGCTACGCCCGCCCGGCAATCGCCTGCCTTGCAGAGGCGTTCGCCTTCCAACGCCAATTCCAAGCACATACTGGACCCGCCATCCGATCCGGAGCCCTGCTGCGAATTGCCATCGTGCGAGTTGGATGCTCCAGTGCCCAATCCCAAACTGGACACATTCTCCGCGGACGCGGACAGCGAGGACATTCTGTTGCGACGGAGTCTCGCCTTTTTGTCGCGATGCTCCTTTGTTGGAGGCAGGTGATGCTGCTCGGAAAACTGGGAGTTGTCCACTTTGCGACGATGTTTTTGGAGCTTTCCTTGGGGTTTTAGGGTTCTTTATGTCTGGCTGTACACGTATGGTGGTTTGTGCGAGCTGCGGCAGGTGAAACTTCAGCAATTAAGTGTTCTTTTGTACCGTTTTCGTTTTTTTTTTACTAATTAGTCTGCGTTTCTGATTCACGGCTAGGCTAGTGTGACCAGAGTGGGACAGCGCGATTTGCACGGAGGGTACTGTTATTGAGGGACACCACTGTATGTCTAGCAACAACAATTTGTATTATTTAAATAATAAAGGTTTAAGTTAGGTTAAAGCTTGTTAATCATTTGACTGCTCTATAAAGATTGGAAGAGTTCTATGTCTATTTTTTGAAATATTGATTAACGAAAATAATTTTCATCAAATACTTTTCAGATTCCCTATTAGCCTTGACTTAAGTTACAAGATCGTACATCAAGATAAAAAAAACCTGCAAGGAAATTAACTTTACTTAATATTACCTCCAGAAGACTCTGCGAATATAATCTGCAAGAAATCTAACTTTACTTAATAGTAGCGTCAAAAGACCCTCTAAATAAATAAAAATAAAACTTTGAATTTATCCCGTGCGCTTAACACCCAACTGCGCGCTTACCAACACTTCCGCAGCCTGAACGTGCAGAGGCCGCTTTTAAAGATGGCGTCACTTCTACGGTGTCTGTGTGAACGATTCTAGTTGCCGCTGGAGAAAAATCGCAATTCTCGCTTAAAACACACCTGCCGGCCGCTCAAATTGATCGAAAAGTCCACGTCCCCCATTGCGGCGCGTCAAGCGAGTGAAATTGTGGCCGTGCGTGTGCAAAAGACCGACGAAAAGCGCAGTGCAAAAGTGCGAATCGGGAGTCTGGATTTGAGGTGTGTGCGTGCGTTGCGTTGCGTCGCTTTTTTTGTGATTCCGTCGCCTTTTTGGTTGCAACTCGCTACCAGTGCATCGCAAACATTGTGCTAAATTACATAAAACGCAGAGTATCTGAAAAAATAGGCGAAAAAACAGGTTAAAAAGGAAAATTCGAGGAGCAAGAGTGCAAGAGCGACAGAGACGGACATACGCAGAGCGAGCGAGAGGTCGATAACGATACCCTTGTTTGGTTATCGCCCTCGATAGCAAGAGAAAAAAAAACAAAAAGCGGCGTCCTACCAGTATGACCGTGTTGCAGACCAACGGATATCTCACCTACAGTGTGACCGTGTGAGAGACCAGCGAGCCGAGAGAGCGTGACGCGCAACAACAGTTTTGTGTGGTGAGTGTAGGCGGCGCAAACGAGAACGAAACCCACCACGCTCTCACCCAGAAATCTGGCACAGTGGTATCGAAATTCGAATGAGTAATCAGAATCGGGGAGTTTGCCAGCGCAATCAATCTGGACTTGAAGTAAAATATTAAATCATAAGTCAGGGAACTAACAATAACAAAAGGGAAATTATTTTAAGTACTACCCATTGCTGTGGTTCTACGAGTTTGTGTGGGTTTGCAGTCTCTCGCTCGCGTATAGTATATACACATGTGCAAATGAGAGAGCAAGCCGAAAAGAGAGCGCGAGTCGGGCGAAGGAAAAAAATATCGCCACAGTTGCCGTATGCCGCCTTCGTCGTCTGTTGGGTGCAAAAGATATAGAAATCTTTTATACACATACACTCGCCTGATATAGAACGCAATCGTCGGTATTTTAATATATTCTGCAGCTCGAAAAAAATAATATAAACCGAAGTAACCAAAACGCAACTTAACAAAGCCGAGTGCAAAATTCAAGCCAAATTTCCAAGGCGAATGCAAATTTTTCAAGTGCGCAGTAAGCGGCTAAGTCTCCAGACGCAATTTGGTGTTCCCCAAAAGTTTTAATAAATAAATAAATATGTAATTACACTCGGCACCTCTTACTTACACACATACTCATGCGTATTGAGATTCGTTTGGATTTCGTATAAGCATATATATTTTTTACTTATATTATTTTTAGAATATCGATTTTGTTGCCGCGTGCGTATGTGTGTGTATGGTTGTGTCTCTCTCACATCGAGTGTGTGTGTGAAACATACATATTTATGATAAGTGTGTGTGTCAAGCAGTAAAATGTGTTAAGAATTATGTTCATATAGACACAAGTTACCTAATCTTACTGCAAAAAAAGAAAAATAGAAGAAAGGAATCAACAAACCGAAGTGTAGCGAAAGAACGAGCAAAAGCGAAAGAGCCCCATCAAAACAGCTGCGCTCTCTCACCTTTTTTTTACTCATCCTCTTATCCTCTCTTCCCATTCACATTCACATTCTCCCGTTTTTTCCCATTCCCCATTTTCCCCACTCATACTAACACACACACCGTTGCGATCTTTGTGTATTTTGCTTCGACACCGCATTTACATGTGTTGACCCCACTTGGACCCGCCCCCCTTCGCCAGCCCCTCGCGATGCGTTGTGCAAAATTCTCTCGTGAACTACAGTTTTAATTCAATTATGTCAACTGCTATACACACATCCACAGTGAAACCCAGCAAGCAGTGCTAAAAAGCAACAAAGTCATCTCCGCATCTTCGTGACGTAGACGAAACGGGAGAGCCATCGCAGGAAACTGAGAAATCGAAAAACTTTAAAACTGAGAAACCGAGAATCAGAACCTGAGAAACCGAGAAAGGTATGCCAAGACCAACGGAAGTTGGCCCACAACAAACTCAATTCAAATCCAACCATTTTGGGCCAAAAGCTCGCTCCATTTCCGTTCAATGCTTAACCCTATGAATACCCTTATGACATATCAGTAACATTCTGAATCTGTATTATGCAAATTTACGATATGTGTGTGTTTTTAATATACCTAGAATTTTCCTTAATTACCAAAGTCAATTCGATAAATAAATCATATGGTGGTAATAGTGATAGAAATGTACGCTTAGGGTTAAACTACAACCGAAAGTCAGACAAAGAACTGGTTCTAATTGATTGAGTGATTGTTGGGCTTCGGGGAAAGGGGACTAGGTAGTGTGGGGGGCAGAACCTGCTCGGCAAATTAACAAGTTCCAATTGATACATACGTGTGGGGACACACGAAATTCGTCGAGCCTACTCGAAATTAGCATAAATGTGTCAAAATGGTAAATCATTTCGGGGGCTCTCGCGTTCACCTGTCAGCTAGGTGACAAGGCCCTTGCAATGCCCTGGAATTAAGCCATTATATATCGCCGAACGGATCGGGTTAATTACAATAATCCATAAGGCGAGCAAGCACGCCCAGTGGAGAGTTCCCAAACTGAACGTGACTTGTGTGCAATTAAACGACGAAGAAAACAAGATCATCGCTCGTATAGCACTTAACTTTTCAACGATATTTCCAGTTTCTAACCTGCCAATCGATTCGTTTTGTTGTTTGTCCAAGCGGGTTTGTCACCTGCCATTAACTTGCTTTTTGGCATGTTCGTGTTGGTTAAGCACTACTGGCCCACTGTGTCTTGTTCGTTAACTCGACTTTGACGTCACAGGTTTATCAAATAAGGATTGTACTTGAAAGAAAGATGCATTCTGGATGCTCAATTACTTGAAGTAACGACTCAAAAACACGAAAAGGTGAAACCTTTAAGTCATTAGCAAGCTGTGAAATGTTCTTTTTATAGCCGGTTGTAGATAGAACTACATACTTAAAAAAAAATGTTTTATAAGCTTGAGGATAAGTATTAATACTTTTGTAGTTCAGGAGATTAGCCTTTATTTTCGTTGTTTGAATATAAATTCGCAACCACTGGCGAAATAAACATTTACTTCCACTTCCTATATGACTTAAAATAGGTTTATTTCACCTCTAGCAAAGTACAATATTTTACTTCATTAATATGGGAAATAATCTAAAGTTTTATTAATTTAGCTGGGTATCCAAATTGAACATAAGGTTTCTGCTCTATTTATTGCCCTCCTGACCGATTTATCTCGTTTTCAGTTTAACTCCTGGGAGGATTTTAATTTCTGAAATATTTTAACGAGTTAACCGAGGCAGCGTGTGCAACAATTTGTATGTTCACTTATTGTCTGGCCACTGGAGTTTTCACTGTGAAGAGGAGAATGTAGTGCTGCCATAAAATGCCTCCGCATACAAATGTGCGCATATGAAGCGCTACTCCGTATACATCCTAGTATCGGCTGAAAGACGAGAGGTCTATTATAAAATTACTAAGTCTCTGGGGAATACTACATGTAGTATTATAACCCCCGGACGACCTGCTTTGCGTCTGTTCACCTTTTTGTTGGCGGTAAACGCACATTCTCCCGGCAGCCGATGTTAATTTTGCTGCAGCTTTAACTTTTCTGCCTGGCCGCAGAAGTTAAAGAGCGTGCTCAGAGTCAATTTGCCTTTGCCTTTTGCTGTAAGCTGACTCTTTCTCCGTCGATTTTCCTCTGCCAGCTGAGGCTTGGTAACCTCTTAATGACCACAAAAACACTCGACTGTGCACATTTCTGGCTGTCTGTTTTGACATAACTGACCTCACTTTTAGCCGCCTTATGTGTGCTGGCTGGGCTGGTTTCCCATACATTTTCTCCCCCTCATTATGTACGGATTGTTATTGCTGGGTAATGCCTGTCTCTTTAAAAGAGTGTTCCGAATTTCACACGGAAAAATAGGTATACAAGAATAATACCGGATTTAAAATCGGTCTGCATTCATTAAAAACGACCAATAAATAATACCAATCCCAATGATATTAAATTTGAAAAAGAATTGCACAAGCTTTGTTTGCTTTTCGTTCAGCAACTCACTTCTTCTTTTCGATTTCACAAGCTCTCTTCGAATTCTTTGTCTGCTCTAAAAATAAAGCGAAAACCATATTTCTTTCAACTCTATTCACATCGAATTGATTTACTCTAGTCCGGTGTAAACAAAGGTATAAAATTGCAGCCAGCTTCAATGAATCGTTCTGTATCAAATTCCTTCCCATGGATCCCGTGAAAATATCTGTGAAATGTAAAGTTTTCCACAAAATTCTCGACAAATCGCTTATTTAATCTTTTTGCAGTCCAAGTTTCTTTTTAGCTGCCCCACCCTCGCATCCCTCAAGTTTTGTTTTTTTGTTTGACCCGAAAATATTTTCGTTATTTGCAATGGCTAGCTCGCTCGAAGCGAAAACTACAGACTGGGCAAAGCTTTTTGTTTGATTGTTTGTTTGTTTGTTCTATTGGCAATTGAGAATCCGGTGCAATGGGAAAAAATCAATTTTATTTGCTACTTTGTTAGGCGAATGTATACGAGTATTTATACAATTTAGGAAGCCAGCGGTGGATGGACTATGAACGTGTATGTGGGGGATATAACCTGCAGTACTCCAAAGTAAACATCGTTCGCAGACCGCAAATTAACGACCGTCTGAGTGGAGGGCAAATGTTTCTCTCGTTATAATTAGACGATTGCCTCGACTGTCTGACTTGCTGACTTCTGGGCTCTGCTGAATCGTTTACTGGGCCGAGCCCCAGATTTTTGCCTTTGTTTTGCAAAATGTTTGCATTTTTTACTTCGCACGCCTCGCTAACGAGAGGAGCAATCAGCTGTCAGAAATGAGAAAAAGCGGCGCGAAATGAAACGATAAAAAGTCAATTAGACACACAAAACGCTAGAATACTCTGCACTAAACCAATGGAAGAACGCGCTCGAAAACTAAAACTACCTCAGATGCATTCGGATGTGAGCTCGCCTATTAAATCATATATTTGTTATTATCATCAACACAGTTTTTTTTGTATAGACTTGTAGCAAATTTTCAATGTTACATCAACGTCACAATTTGAACAATGTATTTATTTATCTCAGACAGAAACGCTGGCCAAATATTGATTTTCTGATTGTGAGCTTTCAGCGGAACATGTCTATTAATGAATGTTTGATCTACTTTAATTGATGACAAAAAGAATCTAGTTAGTTACTTACAGCTTGACAAATAGCGATTCAGAGATAATTGTTAACAAATGTAATTGTGTATTTATTTCCTTGAATTGTGTTTGCCAAATTTTTGGCTGTCCATTGCAATATTTAATGACCTCATGCCAATGAATAAGCACATAATACTGTGACAATTTTAATCAGCTTAAAGATTAATCGATTTCGTTATTCATTGCAAACCTTGCTGCAAAAGTGTATATAGACTACCAGAGAAGTCCATTAAGAAAAATCTACATTCATTTAGCTGCTGTCTAGCAATCTTTAGAAATATTTTTACATTTTCTGCCAAACATTTTCGTTTCTCATATTCTCTGGTTTTTTCTATGCCTCTCCTCTGCGTTAGCGGCAATTAATGACGTTTTTCACCGCGCCGAATTTAATTTTAGATGGGGGAAATTCGGTGCCAGTGAGAAATCTTTTTGCTGATATTTTTACAGCCAGCAGAGTGGCAGGGGGCATTAAATAAATTTCCGTTTTGCCATATTCCATTTGCGGTGCAGTTTGTAGCGTACGTAAATTTATTTTCAAAAAATATTTATAATTTATTTGGCGTGTATTTTTAGCCGATTTAAATTGGGGAAATTCTTTAGCATGAAGTCATTTGACCTTGAATTTCCTCAGACTGACGCTCTGTTACAAGCCGATGGGGCTCCATTATTAATCCAGTCTCTGTTTGTTATGGTCACTGTGGCGTCGTGGACAAAATCAATAAACAACACTCTCAATGAGACGACAGCTGCAGCAATTTAATAAAATCGCATTGCACAATTAATAATTCACACTTGCGGAGCGCCACACAAACAAAAATAGATAGCGCATTTGAAGGAATTCCTCGGCAGGTGGCAAGCTTTTTCCTATCTTATCTCTTTCACCCTGAGATACATTTTCTCGTCTTTTGTTTTCACAACGTTGCCGCTCTGTGTTTATGCGACATTTTTGCGCTGATTTTGATTAGGCGGCAGCCACGCCCACCCCCACTCACTCGCCGCCCGCTTATCACAGCTCAAATCGCTTAATTAAAAAGCACAAAATGGAAAAAAATACGAAAAAATAAAAACCAGAGAAGAGGTGTGAGCAAAGGCAGGGCAGCAGAGCGCTTTTCAATAGAAAATTTTCCATGCTTTGGCATTGAATTTGCAGTGGCACATATATTTTACTAAGTAGCACATACGCAAATCTGAACACTAGACCTGTATTTCATGTATATGTACTTGTATATAGAAATACCTCTGTAGGTGGTGACGCTATAGGCTGGGGTATATTTCATTGAACTAAGCGGCGTCTGACGCGTGTTTCACAAGCGAAATTTGCATTCTTTCAGCCTTATGTTTCGTTTCGCTGTTTTCTTTTTTAATTAGTCAAAGGCTGTCGCACTTCGCTGTGTGTCTTGGTCTTAATTATTTAATTAAATTGAGGAAACTGTTGTGACTGCTGTTGTCTATCTGAGCTCCACCTCTCTTTGCGCTTTGCTGGGTCTGTTTTCGTGTTTTACGATTTCGTCATATGGTTTTGTTGCTCTTGACTGCTTTGGGCCCCATTTAATAACAATACGTCGAGCAAAGCCGAAACCAAAACAGAAATCCCCGACTCGAACATAACACTTGTCGCTGATGCAATTAGCTGCGGCTTGTGTACATTGTCAACTAATTTCGTGGCACTTTCTCTTTACCACCTTAGCAATAAGTTAAATAAAGTCTTACATAAAAACCAGAAGCACA